GCTTCATGTCCAGCCAATCGACTACTTTGACGTCATCGGCAGTCGAAGGACCCCGAGCCGATCCTGCACCCGAGCAGATCCTGTACCGACACCGTCTTGCTGTTAGCTTGCAGTTATTGCTTTGAACGACTCATTTAAGGAAGTAAAATGCCATGTTTGACTAACTATTCACCTCACAAGTACATTTCACTATAAAATCATGTTGTTTGTAATTGAAAAAGTAGTTTGAGATGTTTTTATAGCTGACTATTTCCTTTATATCACTGTTAGCATTGTTAGCTCAGCATTAGCCTCTAGCCTTCTTCACCCAATATTAGAGTAAAACAAAAGAGGGCATGGCTTCTTAGGGATTCAAGAAATAACTTTTGGTTCGCTCATGTTACTGGCTTTCGTTCTTTAGACAACTCTGTAGTCATTTGCCAGCAGTAGTTGAATTACAAATGCCAGCGCTGCAGCGTTAGCTTGCAGGCGACACCGCAATCACGCTCACTGACATGAATGATGATGAGAAACAATGTAGCCACAGTTTCCCAGCGACTGCCTTACATTGGTGCCACCGACCACCACCAGCAGTAGACACCTGTAGAAATCTAACTTTATTCTTACACACTGCACCTTTAATGGTTGTTTTGAAGTATTATCAAAGAGTAAAAAGAGTTAAAAGAGTAAAAATGACAAAAATTCCACTTAACACTTACATAAACAAAATCACCATCACACTGGAAATGGAGCAGAGATCCAATAGCATTTTAAATCAAAGTAAATAGCATTATAATAAAAACAAATATACGCTTTTGGAGTAAAAAAAATGTTTAACCCTAACCCATTTCAAAAATTATGTTTGTCACAACAAACAATTGTAAGAATTCTACTAAGCTTAAAGCAAATTAAGTAAAAAAATGCAGGTAGGCAGATGTCAGAGTTATGCTTTTAAAATATTTTATTTCATTGTGTCATCAGATGTTTAGTATCTGTTTTGGTGGTACAAACAACAGTGCTCCCTGGTGGCCAGCATGCAGCAGAGAATCCCTAGAAGACCTGAGAGTTCCCCAACCTTCTTGCATCACTACTGCAGCTGTAAACCTCAGTTTGAGCCAACAGATACTGCAGACAGCACCGCCACCACATGGACAGTCTCGCAAATTTAAATAGAAAAATTGTCTTGAAATCTAGTCATCATTGTATAAAAAAAAGAACAAACTGACCTCCCTTTTAACCTAAAATAACACAAACTTCATGAATAGATGTTTACAACTTGATAATTGCATGGCGGCTACACTTGTTGTAATCATACACTGTTTAAATTTAGGGAAGTCCATGCTGACTCTTTATTTATTATAAGTTACTTCCAAATGTTTGTTACTTGTCCAACAAATACTATGCAGAAATGGCACAAAGCAAATTTGAATAAACAATAAAGAAACAATCACTTTTTTCTGGAGCTGTGTTGATCACAGACAAACTTTATTTAGACAGGGGTGCTGCAAGGTTGCCATGGGGCCTCCTGAAGACAACAGTGTTGTCTCATAACCTAAAATTGTAACCGCTCATAACCTTTATATAACACCACTCTAAAAACGTAACTTGGTCCGTTTAAATGTGTTTTAATAAAAGTTGGAGCTGCTTTAATCCTGGTGAAATTATGGGAAGCAACTCGTATTATCTGTGTGTCATTCTGCTGTTGAAACTTTATTGCAAACATTCAGATAAGTAAATAAAGTAAGCAAGTAAATTTTATTTATATAGCATTCATCACAGACAGAATCACAAAGTGCTTTGCATAGATCAAAACAAAATAAAATATAAAGTCATAAAATCATAATGATCTATAATGATAAGGGGATAAATTCAATTCAATTCAAAAATACTTTATTAATCCCAGAGGGAAATTGATTGCTGTAGAATAATAATCAAGTTCTTGTCATTCTTGGTTGAAGTTGCAAGGAGCTACAACCAAAATATGGGCCCTGGGTGATGTGTTTCTCAAGTTAAGCACTTATGAAGTTGGAGCAGGAGGTCATCCATCCATCCATCCATCCATCCATCCATCCATCCATCCATCCATCCATCCATACGTAACTCGTTCCATGGGGAGAACGCTGGATGAATGCCAAAAGGGGGCGTTGGTTTCGTGCACCCGAAGGGGCGGGGCTAGAGGTGGGTGTGTATCTCTCAGCTGATGCGCGTATCCACCGACTGACTCCATCATCAGCATCCGACTCCTCTGACAGCGGTCGAAGCCAACCGAGCCACGGCAGAACGGCTAATAAATAAATAAACATCAAATCAAAGCCTGGGGAGCTGGACCGGACGCTGCCGCCGTCTCGTGACTATACCGTTCACCGGGAGCTGCCATCTTAAGCAGCGGGGCTTCGAATCAGTGAGTAGCCTTTGATGATGGACCGCCAGGATGCTACAATCGGTAAATCAAAGCTTGCTGCATGATACGTCGTCAACGTCAGTGACTCTGTGCATTTTGATTCAGGTGATGAGTGTTGTGGGGATGCCTCTCGGCGCGGTCGTGCGGTTTTATTTAGGATTTGTCTCCACCGCTGCAAGGCCCGTGGAGCGGGTAATTGTTTGGGAGCGCGGTGGATTCAGGGCTCGATGCGGATGCTGCTGTAAAGCCGCCCTTGCCGCCCAGGGACGCAGAGAAAGGGGAGAGCAGGGAGTCGTGAGGGGAAGGGATGGAGGCTAAACAGCACATACACAGCCTCTGTGTTTTACTACTACTATTATTCATCCAAGTGGAAGTAAGCCTCTAGTAAACGGGCTGGAGGGGAGGTGCATGGCATGACAGCATCTATCTATCTATCTATCTATCTATCTATCTATCTATCTATCTATCTATCTATCTATCTATCTATCTATCTATCTCTCTCTCTCTCTCTCTCTCTCTCTCTCTCTCTATCTATCTCTCTATCTATCTATCTATCTATCTATCTATCTATCTATCTATCTATCTATCTATCTATCTATCTATCTATCTATCTATCTATCTATCTATCTATCTCTCTATCTATCTCTCTATCTATCTCTCTCTCTATCTCTCTATCTATCTATCTATCTATCTATCTATCTATCTATCTATCTATCTATCTATCTATCTATCTATCTATCTATCTCTCTATCTATCTCTATCTATCTATCTATCTATCTATCTATCTATCTATCTATCTATCTATCTATCTATCTATCTATCTATCTATCTATCTATCTATCTATCTATAATAGGATTTGGTGTTATAATGCTGCCCTAAAATCTTCCTTAATTAGGCTAATTACAACATTTCTGCTCAAATATCCACACAGATAGGTAGAAATGCAGATGTCTGTATTTTATTACAGATGTTGAATTACTTGGGATGCTAAAAACAGGGGTGGTTATAGGAGCAGTCCAGGGTGGGCCGCCCACTGCTAAGAGCACAGCCCAGGCATATATGTTGATTATTTATAATAATTTAGCCTAATGGGTATATGGAACCAAAGCTGCATTTATTTGAAATTGAAAAGAGATGCATCGATAAAATTGTTGACGTCACCAGATAAATAACGCAGATGAGGCATTTTTTGAAAAATAGTTGTATGAAACTAACATAAACACTGTTGTAACTAAAGTAGCTGTAACTAAATTGTGAATGTGTACAGGGTCCACAGACCACAATCTCCTGCGAAATAAAATATTAAAAGGTTTAACATGTCACAAATACTTAAATGTAAACTCAAGCTTATTCATCGACTGAAAAAAGCCTTTATAATGTTTTTAAAGGTGTGCTATTTAATTTACCAGTGTTGTGTGTAATGCTGAATTGTTATTTCTTTATTATAAAATACCTATTATTTGTCATTTGTACAAACTGTAGCAACAACACTTCTGTGGAAAAACCAAATAGATTACCTGAAACAACAGAAAACAGAAAATATTTAACTTTTTATTCAATTTTGGGGGGTTTATTGGAGGATACTGAACAAATTTGCAATAAAGTTTGCTTTTGTTTTTGTCCAGCTCCATTCAGAGTTGTGGACAACAAACAGTGGAAAAAAATGTACATTTGATTAAACATTTCTAAAGCAAACTTTTTATTTTCATTTAAAATGTGCTGATATTATAATTAAGATTACATGACTGAGTGAATATTAATGTCTTGTAGTTTCAATGAGAGCTTTTGTTATTAATCAATCAAATCAATCAAAGATACTTAATTAATTCCAGAGGGAAATTAGAGTTTCAGTACACACAATTCAGAGATCAGACATACATGGGCAAGACACATGACAAGAATTGGTGACTGTGGTCATTCGCAACCCTGAGTCGCGCTACCTTAATAGAGATAAGAGGGTTACATGAGGATTGGTTCAGGTGGAGGGAAAAAAGGCCCTTCAGAGCTATCCTCCACCAGGAGGGCAGCTTTGCTCTGCAAAAAAACACCTCAGACAGATATGCAACAGACTTCAGACAACACAACATAAGTGTCCACTAGGTGGGGTGGTGGGTTGGGACTATCCCCACTTCAGTTCCTGCAGCCACGATAAACAGCGCATGTCACCTCAGTGTGGATAGGGGGAGGAGCATTGAGGGTTGGAGGGCTGCAGTGACCCTGGAACATTTCAGCGGCCTTCCCGCAGTCCCGCCCAGGCTGGGATAGGAGACAGAGTTGAGTTGCCATAGCGACGGCACATTCCACATATCTTCTGAGGGGGGAGTTTTCATTGGAGCCTTGCAGGCTCAAGGACGCCAGATTCTGATTAGAAATTGTTTTGGGGCCAGACAGAGATAATTTCCTCTCTGTCTTACAGTTTGTTGGTCCTCAACCTCTCAAAATCCCAATAATGGACATTAATCTATCCCAATCCGTTCTGATTCGTCCACTCTATCCTTGATGGCATCCATCTTTTGTGACAATAATGAATCTCGGCCAAAGTCCCAAGCTTACGATTCATCTGGACAATTATGTGAGTCTGTGAATTCACAGCGAGGTGCAAACCATCTCTGAGCTTGGGGATCAGGTCATTCCTCGACAGCTCGTTAATTTTCCGGTAAGCCTGGAAGCCTCCAAGGCCAATGAGCAGGAAACCTGACACCAACACCACGAATATCCACACGTATTCAGAGTCCTCCACAGACAGCTGAGATAAACAAATCAAGTTCCACTGTTTCCAGGAGTCCATGGTGTGTCCAACTGGGTCTGTCCCGGAGGGGCATCCGGGAGCCCCTTCTCTCGTTCTCATCGTTGAAAAAATGTTATCAATCGCGTTGAGAGACCAACTGACGAGATCCATTTTAGTGAGTTTCAGTTTCCAGAAAAAATGCAGAAGTAGCCGTGCACCCAGCACACAGAGACAGACAAAGGCCTTGAGGATAAGATATGGAGGAGAGGAGGAAAATAGTGTCTGCACCCTCCAAGAGCCGGAAGAAGACTCAACACTACATTAAACCTTCATGACCTTTTTAGGTTATTTTTTGCCGTGTTTATTTAACTTTTTTTTTACTTTTTATTGCAGAACATTAAAATAAATCCAATACAAATATTTGGTTTAAACCTTCTGTTGTCAAAACAGTACAAAAACAAATTATGATTTTATTTAATGTGCTACCGCTTGTTTAAGCTGCATGCTGCTATAAAACTTTAAAGAGCAAGTCACCCCCTACCAGATTATTTCTCCACTCCCTCTCCCACTTCCAGTTTGAAAAATGCAACAAATGCTGTTGCCTAGCAGACCGAGAGGGAAGAGCCGCTAACAAATACACACACACACACACACACACACACACACACACACACACACACACACACACACACGCGCACACACACACACACACACACACACACACACAGGTTCACAACTTACCCCTAGCTATGAGTTTGACTTGTGGGATCTCAAAATCAGGCCATTTTGTGACGTTACACATCAAATCGTACCAGCTAACGTCTTATAGTACCTCTTAGCCAACAGAGATGGCAGATTGAAATTCAAATGCAGTGCAGAGTTTTTACCTGACAACGGCACAACACTGACAGTTTTAGGTAGAAAATTGTAATTTTAACTAAAATGCACTAAAGTGCAAAACTATTGACTACACGTGTCTGCAGCACGATTAGACACGCATTTATATAGTTTATCAGAAAAAAAGTTGATTTGGGGGTGACTTGCTCTTTAAAGACAATATAATATTAAAAAGTTCGTAATCTGAATAGATTTATTTGAAACCCACGTTGTTGTTTTTAATTACCGTTAAACATGATTAGAAATGCTATTTTTTACACATTGTTAGACATTCAGGTCAAATACAGCTAAATGTTTTGAATAAAAGTTTAGGAAAACATTTATAGATGTGGACAAAATTGTTGGTATCTTTCATTCAATTAAGGAAAAACCCATAATGGTCACAGAAATTACTTGAATCCGACAAAAGTAATAATAAATAAAATTTCTACAAAATGCAACCAATGAAAGTCAGACATTGCTTTTCAGCCATGCTTCAATTGAACTATTTAAATAAATAAATAAATAAACTCGTGGAACAGGTCTAGACAAAAAGGACGGTACCCCTGGCTTAATATTTTGTTGCACCAACACTGCAACACAATAACTGCAATCAAACGATTCCTGTAACTGTTAATGATACTTTTGCACCTCTCAGCAGGTATTTTGGCCCACTCCTCATAAGCAAACTGCTCCAGGTGTCTCAGGTTTGAAGGGTCCCTCTTCCATACAGCAGGTTTAAGCTCCTTCCAAAGATGCTCAATAGGATTGAGGTCAGGGCTCATAGAAGGCCACTTTAGAGTAGTCCAGTGATTTCCTCTTAGACACTCTTGGGTGTTTCTATCTGTGTGTTTTGGGTGCTGTTGCAAGACTTATGACCTGTGACTGAGACCAAGCTTTCTGATACTGACCAGCACATTTCTCTCTAGAATCCCTCGATAGTCTTGAGATTTCTAGGCTAGAGACTACCAGTCGGTAGTAATCATCCTTATAAGCCGGCCCGCTGATCAGCTGATTAGGAACAGCTGTCGCTCCCTCTCCTGAAACCAAGCACTCAGAGATAGTGAGAATGTGGGACGAGTACTCACCCCAGCTCATGACATTTGCTTCCTCACTGGAAGACGTGTCGGTGGGATTGAGGAGGTCTTCGAAGTATTCTGCACACTGATCCACAACATCCTGAGTAGAGGTCAGCAGCACACCGTCCCCACTATAGATAGTGTTGGTAGTGAACTGCTTTCCACCCCTGAGGCGCCGTATGGTGGACCAGAATCTCCTCGAAGCCGTACGGAAGTCTTGCTCCATGGTCTCACCGAACTCCTCCCATGCCCGGGTTTTTGTCTTGGCGACCACCCGAGCCGCATTCCGCTTGGACTGCCGGTACCCGTCAGCTGCCTCTGGAGTCCCACAGGCCAAAAAGGCCTGATAGGACTCTTTCTTCAGCTTGACAGCATCCCTAACCGCCGGTGTCCACCAGCGGGTTCGGGGCTTGCCACCACGACAGGCACAGACGATCCTGTCGCCACAGCTCCGGTCGGCCGCCTCAACAATGGAGGCACGGAACAGGGTCCATTCAGACTCAATGTCCCCCGCCTTCCCCGGAACATTTTGGAAGTTATGTCCGAGGTGGGAATTGAAGCTCCTTCTGACGGGAGACTCTGCCAGATGTTCCCAGCAGACCCTCGCAATACGTTTGGGCCTGCCTGGTCTGACCGGCATCCTCCCCCACCATCTGAGCCAACTCACCACCAGGTAGTGGTCATTTGACAGCTCCTCCCCTCTCTTCACCCGAGTGCCCAAGACATGCGGCTGCAGGTCAGGTGAAACAACAAAGTCGATCATCGAGCTGCGGCCTAAGGTATCCTGGTGCCCAGAGCACATATGGACACCTTTATGTCTGAACAAGGTGTTCATTATGGACAATCCATGACTGGCACAGAAGTCCAATAACAAAACACCACTCAAATTCAGATCAGGGGGCCGTTCCTCCCAACCACACCTCTCCAGGTCTCACTGTTGTTGCCCACGTGAGCGTTAAAGTCCCCCCAGCAGAACGAGGGAGTCACCGGAAGGAGCGCTTTCCAGCACCCCCTCCAAGGTCTCCAAAAAGGGTGGGTAGTTTGAACTGTAGTTTGGTGCAAAAGCACAGACCACAGTCAGAACCCAGCCCCCACATGTAAGCAGAGGGAGGCTACCCTCTCATTCACCGGGGTAAACCCCAACGTGCAGGCACCAAGATGGGGGGCAACTAGTATGCCCACCCCTGCTCGGCGCCTCTCAGTGGGAGCAACTCCAGAGTGGTAGAAAGTCCAACCCCTCTCAAGGAAACTGGTTCCAGAGCCAGAGCCATGCGTTGAGGTGAGTCCGACTAGTCAGAACCTCTCAACCTCACACACCAACTCAGGCTCCTTCTCCACCAGAGAGGTGACATTCCATATGCCAAGAGCCAGCTTCTGTAGCCGAGGATCAGACCGCCAAGGTCCCCGCTCTCGACTACCACCCAACACAGAAATTATTACGTTTGTCAGATTCAATTAATTTCTGTGACCTTTTATTTCATCAACCGAAGGGTACCAAATATTTTGTCCACATTTGTAATATTTTGTTATTTTTGCTACGCCAATTATCTTGTCGAGGATCCATGAAGGATCAGTTGAGGGGCCGACCCAGGAGTGGGACGATTACATTCTTCCCCAGTCTGTATGACTGTCGGTCACACGACTCAAACTAGAGAACATGATACGGGAGGCACATCAACAACACCCAGCACTTGAGGGGTGTCCCAAGGGCAGCCTTTTTGTCCCAGACCATCTGGTCTCTGAGGTACTCTCCTTGTGCCATTGTTCTCGTCTCTATTGTCACCCAGGAGTTAGTAAGACCATGTCGGTGGTCAGGGAGCATTTGTGGTGGAAGACCATGCTGCAGGATGTTAAAGGATTCATTCTAGCTTGTCCTGTATGATGTCAGGCCAAGCTCTCACGCCGACCCCCAGCTGGTTACCTGCACCCTCTTCCTATACATCTGGACCCACATCTCCATGGATTTTATCACAGGTTTGCCCCCCTCTAAGAAGTTTACTGTACTACTCACCATTGTTGACAGGTTCTCCAAGATGGTACACCTGGTTCCCCTCGTAAAGCTGCCATCTTCCAAGGAGCTTGGAGAGATCTTAGCCCGAGAGGTGTTCAGACTGCACAGCATTCCCATTGACATTGTCTCTGACCGAGGCTCTCAGTTTGTCTCGCAATTCTGGAGGGAGTTCTGCAGGTTGCTTGGAATTAATGTGTCTCTCCTCTGGTTTTCATCCACAGTCTAATGGACAGACCGAGCGCTTTAAACAAGAGGTTGAGACAAAACTACGCATACTGTGCAACCATGACCCTACAATGTGGTCTCAAAATCTCCCCTAGGTGGAACAAGCTCTGAAAAGCCTTCCCTCCAGTGCCACTGGGCTATCACCCTTCTATACGGTGTATGGGTTTCAACAACCTGTGTTCTCTCTCCAGGACAGAGCTGCCAAGGTTCACTCGGCTCATGCAGCAGCATTGAGATGTCAGCGGGTATGGATACAAGCCCACCGTGCTCTGCTTAAGACTTCTGCTGTGTATTCCCGTGTGGCTAACCAGAGACGGGTGCCCGCACTTGCCTACAAGGTGGGACAGAAGGTTTGGCTGTCTACCAATGATCTTCCTCTACGGGTCGAGTGCTGCAAACTGACCCCTCGCTTTGTTGGCCCATTCCCCATCTCAAAGGTTCTCAACCCGGTGGCAGTCCACCTCCGTCTTCCTGGGACGCTCCGGGTCTGCCCTACCTTCCATGTATCATGTGTGAAACCTGTGTCTGTCGCTCATTTTGTGCCCTCCTCCAGACACCCTCCTCCCACCCGGGTGGTTGCTGGGGGCCCTGTCTTTGATGTTCGGCGGCTCCTCCTGTCCCATCGCTGGGGCCGTGGTTTGCACTGCCATGTGGACTGGGAGGGTTATGGCCCTGAGGAACGCTCTTGGGTCCCTGCCCGTCACATCTTGGATAAGTCTCTCATCCGAGACTTCATGGGGCTCATCCTTCCATGGCAGGTGGCCCGTTGGGTGCCGGTCCTTGAGGGGGAGGTACTGAAATGATTCCACGTTTTTTAGTCATGCCTGACATGTTTGTTTTTTTCCTTTCTGCCTGTCCTCCTGTTACTAAATCAGCTTCACACAGTTCACCTGAGCCCTGCCTGATTGCCTGATGCTGCACCTGTGTGCTCCTCTTTTTAAGCAAAGCTCAGGTTCTGTCTCCCTGCCAGATGATCGACTGCCTTGTGCCAGTAGAGACTCCAGAGATATTTTTCAGCCGAGCCCTTTTCTGAATTTTTTGACCAAATTTTCTGTCCATGGATTCTGTCTGCCTTGCTCCTCATGGATTGTCTCGCCCATCCGTCATCTGGACATCGACCTTGGCTCTGAACTTTGACTACCAATTCCTGCTCTGCCCCCTGATAAGTATTACTGACTTCTGCCTGCCTGTGTATGACCTTGCTTGTACCTCACCCAGACATTGGATTTTGGATTCATGAACTTCTGTTGGGCTGTACTCGTTGTCTGTTATTCTGAGGAGAGGAGTTCAAATCCACAGACAAGAAGAGGAGTTCCCATAGCTGGCACCAAGACAGTCCCCCCCACCCCCCCTCTCCCTGCCATCACAGCACATGCTGCTCTGTCTCCAGTTTTCCTAACAGCAGAACTTTCTACTCTTCCCTTATTCCCCCACATTCTAAAATAAACATCTTCTTTAAACGTTTAACTGCTGGAGTCTTCAGGTTTTATACATTACACATCTGGGAAAGTGATGGTGGAAGAAGTGAGTTCATAAAGCAGGTTTCAGAAAATCAAAGGGTGTTTGTAAAACTGGATTTGGTTAAGTCTGCCAATTTATTTATTTAAAATACTTATTATTATTATTATTGTTATTATTATAGTTATTTTTATAATATATATCCTGAGTGGTTAAATATAGCACTGTTGTGGCAATTTTGCCAATAAATAAGACAAACCTAAACAATCAAAAAAGGCCTTCATAATTAGTTTTTTACCAGCTCAGTGATGTGATCCTCAACGTATTCAAGACCTTTAAAAGTTAGCTGATGATTGTCCAGACTCACCTTTGTGACCTTTTTTGATTTTCGTCATGGTAGGAGGACCACAGTGACCCTGAATGTGGGCTGGAGTCTTTTCTGCATCTGATATTGTATGACTAGTCATTATGCAATTACAATATTGTATAACTGCTTTCGTTTTTCTGTGTTCCTCTAGTGTGTGTGCCCCCACTACCTGCATTAGGTTGTGATGACCCACACTACTTCCAAATGTATCTGTGACCCTCCCTGACTCCTAACTCTAATCCCTGACCTTTGACCTCCACTATGGGCAGTGTTGGAAGTGGGGTGGCAGGAGAGCAGGAGTTTGCCATGAAGTCCGTGGGCACGAGGACCACCCTGCCCCGAGCCCCTCCTCTATCTCGTCGTTGCCCTGCCGACCGCAGCTGCAGCGCTGAACGACTGCCACGCCCTCCAGCGACCATTTCAGATGGGACGGCATCAAGCGATGAACGCAGGAGCATTAGTATCGGGACAGCGATCTGCACTGACCGACCCACTGAAACAGCCTCCTCTACCAACACTGAATGCACCATGACGGCCCAATCCAACAACAACCAGTTGGACTGCGGCACCGCAGCTGTCAGGAGGGAGTGGGAAAGGGAGAGGCAGCGTGAGAGGGGGAGAGACCGGGACCGGGATCGAGACTGGGACCGGGAGAGGTTAGAGAGGGAGCGTGAGAGGGAAAGGAACCGGGAGAGGGAGCGTGAGCGAGTGGAGAGGGAAAGGCTGGAACGTGAGAGGGAGCGAGAGAGGGAGAGAGCCAGGGAGAGGGAGAGAGAACGGATTGAGAGGGAAAAGATAGAAAGAGAGAGGGAACGAGAGAGGGAGAGAGAACGAGAGCGAGAAAGGGAGAGGCTGGAGAATGAGAGGATGGAGAGGGAGAGAGAGAGAGAGAGGGAAATGCAGGTGGCAGGTTTGGATGTTTGTGGGAACATTGTTGGTCGGGAGAAGACCAGCGTTGGCATGAACCACACCGGCGTTGGCGTGAACCACACCGGCGTTGGCGTGAACCACACCGGCGTTGGCGTGAACCACACCAGCGTTGGCGTGAACCACACCGGCGTTGGCGTGAACCACCACCCGCACAGAGAGATGGCTGCAACCAGAACTGATAATGAAAACAACCCAGTGGGCCACAACCCTCCAAACCACAACCCGCCCAAGATCATGGCAGTGTCCGGAAAACTGGAGCAGGTACATCCACATCTAGGACAGCAACCCGAAGGTCTGCCCTTTAAGGGGGAGTAGCAGTAGTAGTCAGTGTCATACCTGCAGAAGAAAACAGGCAGGAGGATCTCAGTTTGGAGAATCATGCCTCATTTACACCGAGTACAGAATGAATTTGGTCCGGTGTCCGGACGGCTTCTGACAGCCATATACGCTGACGTCTCCCGCGAGAGCACCATAACTCGGGGGTTCACACAAGTTCACGTTACAAATTTGACATTAGATATAAGAGTTCTGTGATCTGTGGACTGAAGTCGCTGTCAAAAGAAATGCAACACGGGTTTCATCTTGAAATAAACGGGATGCACCACAATAACACATGCCTCACCTCCTTTCTGGCTCATGGAATTTCTTTAATTTCTTCACAATCTGCATGTGGTGTTCAGAATTATTAGACTCCATGTGGAAACTTCCCAGAGCTCTGCATCGGGATCTGCAGCCTGTTTGAAGGCAGTGATTGGACTCAGTGAGTTTTGGTCTTTGCAGAAGCCGCATGGAAAACGGACTGCATCAGTACTCGGTGGGAATGAGGCGAAATCAGGGAGGCCTTCCAATTTTCAGCCTTTCAGGGACACAGCTAGCAACAAAGTCCAGCAAATTTTTGATACTAGTTTTTTTGGTACTGTTGTTTGTGGATCTGCTCGGGGTCCAGAAGGAAACATGTCATCCCCCAGAGACTTGGACCCGTGCCCGATGTACTTTAGACCCAATTTTTTGTTATATGATACAAAGTCACTCAAATTTTTCATTGATGACATTACTTTATTCATTTTCATCAACATTTCGATGGATATTTCCAGAGATTATTAGCGCTAGACAATTTTTGTTATTAATTAGAAAAAAAAATTTAAACGACACAAATTATTACAGAACATTTTGAAATTATGTTACATAGCTGTAACATAACCCTCAGATAGTTTATAGTTTATAATACTTAAACAGCATAAAGCAAGCACATCCCCAGTGAGTCGTGGAGGATGGCTGCTTATACTGAGCCAGGATTCTCTGGAGGTTTCTTCCTGTTAAAAGGGAGTTTTCCTCTCCACTGTCGCTGCATGCTTGCTTAGTATGAGGATTGCTGTACAGTCACTGACACTCGTCAGTGACTTGATGCAATTTGCTGGGTTCCTTATATAGGAAACATTATTTCTGATTGGCTTAATGAACTGTGAATTGAAATGTTTATTATGTGAAGTGCCTTGAGACGACTCTTGTTGTGATGTGGCGCTATATAAATAAACTTGAATTGAATTGAATCCAAACCCAAGATAAAGCCAATATGTTAATGTATTTAGTTTGAATACTAATCTCTCTTAAGACTGTATGTCGTATATTTTGCTATAAAACTCGCTTCATTTATTAAATATAACATTTCAGGAAAATCAGCATTAGATTTATGCAGCAAACACTAGAATAAACTGGCTCAACTATTAAATCAGAATGTTTTTAAAAGTTTATGTGGCAAAATATAAAAAAAAATTCATTAACTGCATTGTATGCATCTGTTAACACACTTTTTTGTGTATATTTCTCTGACGAATGAGTATTTAATGTCTTCTAACTATATTTCCTCCTTGCTGTCACCCACAGGCAATGCAGAGTAGCTCCGGACTTGTTCGACCCTCTGCCTTTAAGCCGGTGGTTCCTAAGAGCTTCCACTCCATGCAGAACCTGGTGGGCCAGGCGGCAGGTGCTGGGAGTGAGGGAAAAGCTGATGGCAGGGGTGAGGGGTTCGGTGAGGGCAGAGTGGGCAGAAGAGGCAGAGACGGAGGGGGAGGAGAGACAGGGGAGGTCCCGGAGGCCCTGCTCCTGGATCAGGACAGCCCAGTTAGGGTCAGCAGGAGCGAGGGAGGGGGAAATGGCGCTGAAGTGGTTCAGGGAGGGATGTCAGATTCTGGGAGGAACTCCCTGACCAGTCTGCCCACCTACACGGGTTTGGGGTCTGGCTGCGGGCCCCCGGCAGTCTTGGGTCCACTCAGTGCTTCCACCAGCCACATTAACAGGCTGGGCATGGCTGGGGCCGCTGTTGGCTTGGATAAGATGGAAAAATCTGGATACCAGGTATGTCTGTGAGTTTAGATGGTCTTGTGACATGATCATTGCTGTCATGCATCATGACGTGGTTCTGTCCAGCAGAACGGTCTCAGCGCTTCAGATAGCGGCCGGTCCTCCTCAGGGAAGAGCTCTTCATCCTATCAGAGACTGAGCCACCTGAGTGATGCTCCAGCACCTCTACGCCCCTCCCCATCCTCTGATGACGTCATCCAGGACCTCGAGGACCGACTGTGGGAGAAAGAGCAAGAGGTCTGAAGCTGATTGCTTTAGTTTTCGAAAAAATCCTTTTTAAAAAGTTAACAGTCTCATGAAGCTTAAAGAGAAACTTAAAAAGTGCTTTAAATCTTCAAGAAAAATGTGCTTTAAATTTTATATTAGTTGGGGCGACGGTGGCACAGGAGTTAAGTGCTCGCCCCGTAATCGGAAGGTTGCAGGTTCGAGCCCCGCTCAGTCTGTCGCTGTCGTTGTGTCCTTGGGCAAGACACTTAACCCACGTTGCCTGCTGGTGGAGGTCGGAGGGACCGGTGGCGCCAGTGCTCGGCAGCCTCACCTCTGCCAGCGCGCCCCAGGGCAGCTGTGGCTACATCGTAGCTCATCCCCACCAGTGTGTGAATGTGTGTGTGAATGGGTGAATGACTGGTTGTGTTGTAAAGCGCCTTGGGGGGTTCCAGGACTCTAGAAGGCGCTATATCAAATACAGGCCATTCACCATTTATATTAGTTTTCACTGAAGAATTCATGTCGCTTCAGTCATCTGAAGCAAGGCGTGCATTTTTGTGACTTGATTTTCCTGATTTTAATGTCAAAGCAGCTGCTGACAGGTCTGAATCCTCTTCTTGTCCTCACCGTAGGTGCAGCATATGCGCAGAAACCTGGACCAAAGTGAAGCAGCCATCATTCAGGTGTTTGAGGAGAAGCAGCGAGTTTGGGAGCGACAGATGGACGAGCTGAGGCAGAACTATGCTTCTCGTCTGCAGCAGGTGACGTTATCATAAACCAGGATACTTTCTCTTTCTCACCCCACTGACGCATGCGACTCTCCTCACGAGCAAAAGAAAACCATTTCAGCTTCTTGAGATGTCTGTCGTTGCAGATAACTGCTGATAAACTGTAACTGCCCCCCTGGTGGCTGTTATGTGACGTGTTTGTTTTTCTGCAGGTAACTCGTCGAGCTCAGCGCTCCCAGACGGCCCTGCAGGCCCAGATTTCCCGTCTCTCCCAGGACAAGAGGAGGCTCCAAGAGGAGATGGCAGCTCTTTTGGCTCAGAGGGAGGAGCTGGAGAGAAAGTGTCTGGATTACAGGAAGGAGCAGGCAGACATCCTGCCTCGTCTGGAGGAGACCAAATGGGAGGTGAGACAGGATTCTTTGAGCTGTTTCACTTGACTTGTTAAATAAAATCTAACCTGCATCCAGGTGAAAAGGGTGAGCCTGTCGGACGAAGCAGTTTTACAGCCTATACAGGACCACCGATGTCTGGAATTCGTTTTACAGCTTTAATCGTTTATTACTTGTGCCTCAGGTGTGCCAGAAGGCCGGTGAGATCTCCCTGCTGAAGCAGCAGCTGAGGGAGAGTCAGGCTGAGGTGACCCAGCGAGCTGGAGAGATGGTGGCCCTGAGAGGCCAGCTGAAGGAGCTCAACGCCCAGCTGAGGGAGCAGGAGGAAGTCATGCTGGGCCTGAAGGACTCCTACAGCACAAAGTGTCTGGAGCTGGAGAAGTGTGAGGGAGAGCTGAGGAGGACTCTGTCTGAGGTGGGTTGTATCTAATACAGTTGTTATAAATCAAAGGTGTCTCAATAGCCATGTTGACCTTTTGTTGTTGTCAGATATAGGCAGACTAATGCCTAATGTAGCATACCAAAAAGTCTGTGTTGTAAATTAAAAAGGCTGTAATGTTGAATTGAATTTATTCAGTCAAAACATAATAATAATAATCAATAAAACATTACATTACTTTTAATTGGTAAATGGTCTGTATTTGATATAGCGCCTTCTAGAGTCCTGGAACACCTCAAGGTGCTTTAAAACACAATTAGTCATTCACCCATTCACACATACATTCACACACTGGTGGGGATGAGCTACGATGTAGCCACAGCTGCCCTGGGGCGCACTGACAGAGGTGAGGCTGCCGAGCACTGGCGCCACCGGTCCCTCCGACCACCACCAGCAGGCAACGTGGGTTAAGTGTCTTGCCCAAGGACACAACGACAGCGACAGACTGAGCAGGGCTTCGAACCTGCAACCTTCCGATTACGGGCGAGCACTTAACTCCTGTGCCACCGTCGCCCCGTTAAAGTGACTGAAAAGGCTCAGGCTGAAGCAAAATGCTTATATTTATGCCTGTCCTTTTTAACAAGTTAAACAAATTAATCTACCCCTTCAACACATAAATCTGTACAATTTAAGCAAAATAGAAGGAAGAAGAAGAGAAATATGCAGCATTTAGTCAAATAAGTTCACATTACTCTTACATTCACAACACAACTTATAAACTCTTGGAACCGTCAAAAATTATCTTCAAAACCTTCCTTTCAAACAACAAAAATGTACCACACATTCTTACATTTACACGTTCTTACATTTACGCTGGCATTATTCCATAATTTAAGCCCCACCACAGATATGCATTCCCTTTTCATTTCTTTTCTCTTTTTTTTTTGCCAAAGGAACAATAAATGTATTAATATCTCTAAAATCATACTTCGTTTCTACACAAGAAAAAAAAACTTTAGTATACTTTGCGGAAGTAAATTTAATTTAGCTTTATACATTATTTGCATTATTTTATAGTAAACTAAATCATTAAACGGCCACAGAGAAACTTCTGAGAAAAGCTGGTTTAAAGCTGCTGTCCGGAGTTTTCCCCTTTCACAAATTATGGATGATTTTTCAGAAATCCCAAAAAGTGATCGTCTTATCGGGTACTGTGATATAAGGAAATACTAAAACAATACTCCTTTAAAGGGACATTATGGAAGTGTGACAGCCAAAACATGTATAGAAATAATAAATGTCTTCTTCATACATTCTCCTGCAATGCCCTGGTCCTGTAGAATGAGCCCTGGCATTTTTACTGTGATTGCCTGTTTTTCTGTAAAATCACAGAAAAAGAGAGATGCTCGGGTCGAGCAGGCTGCTTCATGCGCGTTCACGCTCAGGCATCGCCCGTAGCATTTGCTATCCGTAGCTTTAGCAGCAGAGAGAGAGGCAGTGCCACTTTGTCGCTGTTCCTAACGCCTAGTGACAAAGCTAGCTACATTTCTGAGGACCCTTAGCTACTTTCTGTAGAACTTTCTTCTAGATATTTCCTGCTAATTAGCAACAAAATAGCCATTTTCACTCCGAACCGTTCTTTGAACGTTGTTTCAGTTGTCATCAAGGATATAAAAGTTACAGATACAAAGGATGTCACTGCGCTTTAGCTCACCTTGTAAGATGTCTGACTCCCATGCAGAAGACCTGGGTTTGATTCTGGGTGTGAACATAGTTTATTTAGAGTTTATTTTTTACATTAATGGTATTTTTTTTACAGTAAGATGCCCAAATTTTTATTTGAGACTCGCCGAACGGCATTGAATTCACAGATAAAAAAGATGTGGGTTCAACTTTCATTTCGGAACAATTTTTCAAGCAAGGGAAGGGAATAATCTGAGCATGCAGGAGGACTGACCCATCATAAACCTTTGTCGGCTGTGCTGAAGAGAAAGGTACAGAACCTAATTATTTAATTAATTAGCTGTGCGTTCTCCTGTCCTCTGTCCTCCGGGCCACACACACACACACACACACACGGGACTGTCTCAGCTGTTATTTTCGTTAAGGAGTGTGCACGTACAGCATGCGCGCCTCGTGCACGAGCCTACTATTGAAGCTGCCGTTACGCTTTTAACCTGAGGGGGCAATCGCGAGCATAAAAATTCAAAAGTCCGAGAAGTCCCTTTAAATGTGCAAAACTAGTTTTGATTCTAAACAGGTAATAAAGATTGTTTTTTGGTCAATATCAAAAGAGTGGGTGAAAATAAAGCTAATTCTTTTAAAAATCTTCACTGCTTTTTATCATTTTGCTTTAGAAAATATTTTAGTACCTTTCTGATCCTGTACAATATGAATTAATAAATGATTTACACAAAATGTGTTGTTTTAATACAGAACTGCAGATCATTTGATGATCTCAACTAATTTAAATGCTTGGATTTTCACACGGGAGTTACCATTATTCTCATACTATCATCTGAAAATCTTAAAGAAATTAATATTCTGTTTTGCTTTGGTGAAATTAGTGTTGAAACAGGTCTGTAACTCATTTAGAGTTCATAAACAGAATGTTTACCACTAAATCTAGTCTACTTGAGTATTTAATCTCCAAACATCCTATGAGAAGCTAAAGTCCTTTTGTCAAAGCATGAAAATAATTACAGCATGAGCTAATATGAGATGTTTTTACAGGTGTCCCTCCTGAGAGAGAAGCTGGGTGTGTTTGAAGCAGAAGTGTTGAGTTTAAAGCGCGCTCTGAGTGAAGTGAGCAGAGGGGCTGAAATTGTTGTGAGCCCAAACTTAGCGGCAGCAGGGCTGCTGCCACCGTGGGGAACCGTTCACTGCCTCCGAAACCCGACTGAGCACTCCTCCAACTCACTCACACCCACATCTGACACTCTGCTCAGTCTTCAGAGCGATGAAGCTAAAGCCCAAAGGCAGGAAGCTCAGAGACAGGAGAGGCAGCAGCGCGAGGAGGCTCAATGGCGCGACGCGCAACAGCGCCAAGACCCCCATCTGCAGCAAGATATCCAAATGCGTCAGGACCCACAACTCCGTCAGGAGGCCCAGCTCCGTCAGGAAGCTCACCTCCGCCATGAGGCCCAAATCCGTCAAGAAGCGCAGCTGCGTCAGGAGGCTCAACTCCGTCATGAGGTTCAAATGCGTCAGGAGGCCCAGCTCCGTCACGAGTCTCAACTCTGCCAGGATGTGCAGCAGCTGCGTCAGGAGGCCCACCAGGCAGGGCGGGTCCAGGAGGGTCACTGGGATGAAGCTGGAGAGCTGCGCAGGCAGCTAGAGCAGCTTCAGTCTGTGTTACGCCTAGAGCGGCAGCAGCGGGAGCGCCAGGCTCTCAACTTTGACCAGGAGCGTCACACCTGGCAGGATGAGAAGGAACGAGTTTTAAAGTATCAGGCTCAGCTGCAGCTCAGCTATGTGGAAACGCTGCAGAAGAACCAAGCTCTGGAAAAGCGAATGAGCCAGTTGGGACCCAAACAAACCACAACCTGCACCACCACTATTACCACCATCACCACCACTTCCCCCACTTCCTCCAACTCTCCACCTCCTCCACCAGCCTTGCCACCCCTGTCTCCTCCACCTCCTTCTCTCTCTGGAGCTTCACCTCTCTCTGGTCCTCCTTCTTTCTCTGGAGCTTCACCTCTCTCCGGTCCTCCCTCCATTTCTGGTCCTTCTTCCCTTTCCGGTCCGTCCTCTCTCTCTGGTCCTTCCTCCCTTTCAGGTCCCCCTCCCCTCACTGGTCCTCCCACCCTCACTGGTCCTCCTCCCATTTCTGGTCCACCTTCACTCTCTGGTCCCATCGCCCTCACTCTCTCCCCTCCCTGTGAGGACCAAAAGGGCCCTCCATCCCTCCACCAGCTTGCTCCTCCCTGGGCTGGACCGTCACGCCTGGAGAGGATAGAGTCTACAGAGATTTAGTGACAGCGATGTAAAACAAACACTGAGGCCTAAAACCAAAAGAAGGTCTAAAATAGAACTTTTCAAAGCAACTATAGACACTAGAAATGGCCGATCATCGGAGCTGGAAGCTGATCTGTTTTGGTCGTTATCCTCCACTGAAGCCTTTCCGCCACTAGTTGCGCACCAACACATCCGACACTATCGGTGTTCCAGAAAAGTGTGTCACACTGTTGACAGTGCTTAAGTGACACTATCCATCACATGCATCACTCCATGCTAGAAAATGAAACCAGACAATCAGGGATATTGTCAAAAATGATCAACAAGAATATATTGTGGTATTTATTTATTGTCAGTCTGTGTTGCCAGTTTATGTAAAAGTAGAAGTAGTGATCAGAGTGTGTGACGTTAACTTCTGGCCAGAGAGCGCCTTACTCCATTCTCCCCAGCATGTGTAAGAACATAACTGACGCTGGAGACGTGAAGAAAAAATGTCCATCAGAAGGGTGATTCTTTATTTTTTAGAGCTGAAAATCAGGATATCAGCACACCAGCTACGCGCTTTTACATAAGGCTGGACTAGTTCTGTTAAATCTCAGCAGATGGTGACCTCAGAGGTCACACACACACACATGCACCAGTGACTCTTCTTGCACAGGGTCCAACATGCATGACCTGTCAGAACACTAGAAACCAAGAGAGTTTATATTTTCTACAAACTGAATTTAAATATGCACACCTAGCAGATAATCAGCCCCTAACAAACATACAACTATATATATATGTGTGTGTGTGTGTATGTATGTATGTATATATATATATATGTGTGTGTGTGTGTATGTATGCATATATATATATATATATATATATATATATATATATATATATATATATATATATATATATGTGTGTGTGTGTGTGTGTATGTATGTATATATATGTATGTGTGTGTGTGTGTGTGTGTGTGTATGAATGCATGTATGTATATACATACATATATATGTGTATATGTATATACATATTTATATGTATATACATATATATACATATATATGTATATATATATATATATATATATATATATATATATATATATATATATATATATATATATATATATATATATATATATATATATATATATATGCGTGTGTGTATATATACATATATGTATATATATATATACATACCGGTACATATATATATATACATATATACATACATACATACATACATATACATACACACACACACATATATATACATATATATATATATATATATATGTCAATGTAAGAAAACTGGATTTGCTTCTCCGATTCCCTGCAGTGGCTTTAATTCAGCACTGGAGGTCCTCAGAGAACTTCCACGGCTCTCCCAGCTGATCTCCCCACCACAACCAAGGTGCAAGCAGAATGTGATCGCACGTGCACAATTTGAATTTAGATATTATGATGATTGTGCCGCTGTGGATTCACAGCCAAGAAAACCTGAAGGTGCAGTCAGCAACCCCAAAGGGAAACATTTTATAGAATGTATGATACACTAGAAGAGAGAAATACTTATAATAGTTATAGACTGTAAATGTGTGTGTGTGTGTGTGTGTGTGTGAGAGAGAGAGAGAGAGAGAGAGAGAGAGAGAGAGGGTGTGCAAGCGTGCATGTGTGTGTGTATATATATATATGAGAAGCTTCGGCTGGTGAGATGGAGGGACTAAAGTGGCAATAGAAGTGGAGATGTAATAAAAGAAAAAGGTCTTTTACATCAAAGCTTGTGAGGTTTTAATCTAAAGGGGTGTATATGTCTGCATATCTTTTTCTTTCTTCCGTATATTTCACGTACGCAAAGCAGGAGATGGATGTTTAAAAAAAAAACCTGACACGTGGAGGGTTTTCCTATCAAAGGAAAGTGCACTATGGTGTCCAACACACGAGTTCTGATGTACAGAAGAGTCAGATGTGAATATCACGGCTTTTATAACTGTTGTTTATGCCAGCATTAAAAAGATGTTGCTCAAGAATATTAACTTATCTCTAAGGTATTAAATAGTATTATCATCTTTATTACTGTTATTATATTATGGTGAACTGACAGATAAAAGATGTACCATTTGAGCTTTCCTTTGTGTGTGTTTTTTTTAACTGTGTAGCTATGGCCTAATGGCTGACCATGATGGTGCAATCATAGCAACCTTGTCCAAAAATGATGTTCCTTTTGATGTAGGTGATGTAGTTACAGTATTACATTGTTTAGAGAACAAAATGCTTCTGATTTTCTACATGTTTCAACAAAGATATGGTTTGCGTTTCTGTTGCTAGTGCTGCTCTGGCTTGGTTAAAAACTCATTTGTTAAATTCAGCCGAACTAATAAAAGATGTGAACATTTCAGCACGATTGTCTGCGTGTTTGTGTTGAAAAACAAAACTGAGCTTTTTAGATTAAAGAGCAAAGGAGCGGTTCAGGTCTTTGCACCTGGATGCAAATCTGAATAGAAGACATTTATTGTGGGATTAGTTCAAGTGACCTTCAAAACAAAGGATCTAATTTTGTAATTAACACAAATATTTTCATAACTGAGTCTTGGACTTTGCTATACAAACATTTGGATAACATCAAAGTGGTTTTGTGTGCGTTATTAACACCTCAATCTGTCAAGCAAAGGGGTGGGCAGTCATGGTCCTCGAGCAGGTTTTAGTTGTTTACCTGCTCCAACACATCTGATTCCTGGACGAATCACCTGTTCAGCAGCTCATCGGGCTCTGTGGCAGCCTGTTAATCACCAGCAGATTCAAACCAGGTGTGTTTTAGCAGAGAAACAACTAAAACCTGCTGGAAAACGGCCCTCGAGGACCATGATTGCCCACCCCTGGCCTAGCATGTCATCAGATCGGTGTGTTCTCATGAGCATTATCCAAACAAGCATAAAAACTATCTACCTGACAAAAATAGCAACACCTCAAATGTTTCTGTTTTACAGTTTTTTACAGTAAAACAAGTTAAAGTGGCAGAACGACGACAACACAAACAGGTATATGATACATATAAAAACACCCATTACATTAAATTCTCATTAAATTGTTGAAGTCCAGCAATATTTTAAGATACCATTCTATTTCTAATCATGAAGGCACATGGAAAACTGAATTTAAGAAACTGTGCAAACCAATCCCCTGCTTGGGCATCTGGGCTCCCATAGAATTTTTTTAGCAGCACTGTTTGTTCACGTTCATGTGCGATCGACTTGAAGAATAGGTTTTATTTGGTGTCTACACAGGCTTCAAACATATGTCTGAATATTTAAAAATGAAAAGGCAGTATTTATAAATCCTAAAAAGACCAAGGACTGGTGTGATCACATCACACCAGTTTAAGGGTGGGGATAAACACAATTTCTCCAATTACAGGCCAGTGTCACTGCTTCCAAAGTTTTCCAAAATAATAGAAAAAGTATTTGTATCAAGGTTGGATGAATTCATTGAAGAAAATAACATTTTAAATAATGAACAGTGTGGTTTTAGGACCAAACATTCAACTGCAATGGCAATAATGGAACTAATAGACAAAATATCCACAGCAACAGACAATAAAAACTACTTCATCAGCATATTTGTTGACTTGAAGAAAGCTTTTGATGTTATTGATCACTCGAGGTTACTTCAGAAATTGCATCAGCATGGAATTAGAGGTGTGGCGCATCAATGGGTTGGAAGTTATTTAGAGAATAGAAAACAATTTGTCCAACTAAACAACACTAAATCTGAACTGCAGGAGATTAATTATGGTGTGCCACAAGGGTCGGTCCTTGGACCTAAACTGTTCATACTATTTATTAATGATCTTGTAAGTGTATCTAAGCTACTCAGTACTGTTTTATTTGCTGATGACACAACATTGTTCTATTCAGGGTCAGATATTAATGAAGTAACTAGAGTGATAAATGCCGAACTGATAAAAGTTAACAACTGGTTTGACATAAACAGACCTTCACTGAATCTTAATAAAACAAATTTTATATTGTTTAATGACAGAGACAACAAAGACGTAACAATAAAACTGAACGGAATGGACATTCAAAGGGTGAAAGAAACAACATTTTTAGGAGTCATATTTGATGAAGCTATCACCTGGAAATCACACATAGGTTGTAACAGAGGTAAAATTGCCAACGCCATTGCAGTACTACATAAAGTTAAGTTTTTACTGAATAGTTCTGGATTGCTGACTTTATATAACTCACTAATTGTTCCATACTTGACTTACTGTGTAGAAATATGGGGATCCACATGTAAAACTCATACACAACCACTGTTTATTCTACATAAAAGAGCATTGAGAATCATTAATAACAATCACTATAGAGATCTATCCAATCCGTTATTCATCAAATATAAACTACTGAAATTTTATGATCTAGTGAATATGAAAATATCGCAAACAATGTATAAAGCTAAAACCAATTCGTTGTCCACCAACATTCAGAAAATGTTTGAAAAAAGAGTCAGTAATTGTTTCTTAAAAGGAACTGAAGTATTTAAAAAACCGAAATTTAGAACCAGAATGAAAGAAATGACCATCTCTGTAAATGGTGTGAGAATATGGAACAACCTTAGCAACGACATAAAAGAATCAAAGTCACTAAATATATTTAAAAAAATGTTTCAAATCAAGTGTATTACAGAACTACAATAACCTAAATTCAGTTGGTGTCTGATTGTAAGTTACAAGAATATAAAATGAATCTGTGTTTTGTTTTGTTGTTTATTGAGAATTGTATGGAAACATTAAAAAGTTTGGTTTGTAAATAGGGGCAGATAATATAAGATATTTCTTCCTTCTGACCCTTTTCATTCAAATTGTTTGGTGTTTATGTTTATGTATGTTTTTTATGTTGATTGTATAAATATATATTTTAACACTTTGAATGAAACAAATAGAGAAAAAATTAAAATAAAAAAGATCTGCCGAAGTTAACTTGAAACTTTGCAAGTTAACAGAAACAATCTTCAAACAAAATTAGTCTGGGTTCCTGCTTCAAATCAAGCCATTCATCCCTCTGAGTTGTCCTTGAGTTATGGAGCAGATTCTCGTAAAGATGTCGACCTTCGTGTGGAGGAGGAGATAAATCATAGAAAATGGAGCAGACAAAGAGCCTCGGTGGATGAGTAAATGGAATAACATATAACATTATGATGACTAGTCATATAAACTCAACTTTTAAAGCAAATACAGATTGCGTTTCATTAATGTTTGTCGCTCTTGCTAAGCGTCAAACTCGTAGACATAAATGTGTTCCTTCTCGGCTTCCGTACACAAAGTGAGGTTGTAGCGGTGTGTATATTTTTAGTTAGCTTCCTTCTGAAAGTAGCAAGAAGAGCTAAGTAAAGAGCCGTAGCAGGCAAGTGTGGCTGCGAACGACAAAAATTATACTTAAATCGTGTTGTATGTCAAAAATACTGGTCTCGTAAATAAAATTATGAGCGTTTACGTTCCAATTTCTGACTGCTATCTGCTGTTAGCTTATGAATAATTTTGTGGCAGCTATCGAGGATAAATGTAAGGATACACGTAAACATCGCATTGTGTTTAAATACAAGATTAGTCGTTTTTATCTGTGAATAGTTTTGAAGCGTTAGTTTTGGAGTGAAAACACAAATGGATGCTTCAGCCTCCGTTTGCGTTGTTTTATTCATCTACATAATATGTATGAAGCTAATGTTTCCCGTTAGAATAACAGACGTTGTAGTAGCCTTAGTTTAATGTTTTGTAATTAGCGACGTTGTGAGTTTTGTACTTGTTTTTTTTAACCATTTTCGTGTTCTAAGTACATTTAACTAAAACTCAAAACACTAGGCTGTTGCGTTTGTGGACATTGGATTGACATTTAATTCAGTTCATTTCTTTTAACATAAAAATGTCTTCCTTGACAGATTTATTTTGTAAACACTTTTAAAATGACCCAAATAATCATTCATCTAGAATTTTGTAACAAATTTGAAAAAGTGAAATTATTGTGACATGTCTAGACTGCAAAGTACATTTTTGTTCTTAATTTGCTACCAAAGTAAATGAATGGCATTTCCTTTTTAGAAATAATCTGTAATTGTTCAAAAAATGACTTAATAAGTTCAGGTTGATTTGTTAATCGAGTTAGATTGCCTCAGAGCTAACATTTGCTGTAATCACTGAGCTAAACTCTCCTTTATGGGGAAATATTTTGTCTTCAACTAACCTGATGTTAAATATCTGTCTGTTTTTACATTATTTTCTACATTTTTCAATAAGCATCACTGCAGCATTTCCTTGCCTATGTGGCATCAAAGGGCTTGGGAATTCTTTATGTTAACGAAATGCCTTCACCATCTAATGTGTCACTTTTCCTTGACCTGTAAGCTTAGTGATGTAAAATATCATGTTCCACAGCTCCAACGTCATTGTGTGTCTCTGCAGGTTGGAGGATATGGTCGTGAACCTCTGTCAGCCTTACTTTCACACGACAGCTCAATGCAACAAGGTGCGACATGTTTCAAAGACAGAATTATATAACTGTACAACCCTATGGCTATTTTTCAAACAAACTAGTTGCTTTCGCAACATTTCTAATAATTTTGGGGGCAAAAGTGCTGGAACACCCAGGCGTTTGGAGTTGGCAGTAGCTGTTGCTGTCATGATGATCAGTCAAATCGCTCACTTATACCTCTGAGTGGCATCTTACCAAAACTATCATTGCTGTGTTCTCGGGAAAAGTTGAAGAAGAGATCCAGTGTTTGTTTTTTTCTAGTAGATAAAAACAGAAGAAGGTGGAGGACGTAAGAGGACAGAGGACTGTGTGGGAGACTCAACTGTCCTTGTTCTTTTTATTCTGTTTTTATTCACCAATAATGGCTGTCTTTTTCTGCTTTCAGGACATGAAATATGTATTTTTGCTTAGAAAACTCATTTTACTCTTTTGTTGCTTTCATTCTTTGTGCTATGTCTGAAGCCCTTATCTTTATTTGTCTTGGTTTAATTCCAATTTGCATTTGAAAACATAAGACATGTAATTTGACTCTTACTTTATTTGTACATGTGCAAATGTCATAAAAGGAGAAATTATATATTATAATAAGTCTGGTACAAGTCTGTTCTGGTAGCTTTTAATTAGGAATTTTGACCACAGTTTTTTTTTTTATTATTATTATTTTTATTTAGCTCTGCGCAGACGGCTATGACGTCTCAAACCTTGTGTCTGCTGACCCTGCTCTCCGAAAGCGAGGCTTCAAGCTGGAATATTTCGTACGTCCACCCCTGCAGGTACAATTATGCCTCAGCAGATTGTATTATTTATTATAAAAACTATTTGTTTTCTGTAATTTATGCACAATTTTAAAACCGGCTCTGTGAAATTTTAAACTATTTTTATCCATCTGATTAGTATTCTGACTCACTTTTTTAATTCTACTTTTAGTACAACTTGAGAATGGTCTTTGTTTAGTGAGCTTCTCTGCAACCAGACAGTAAAAACTCCACAGTACTGAACTCAAAGTGTGGACCGTCTTAGATCCTTTAATCAGAATCACAAGGGTTTTGTTGCCATATGTGCAAGAAATCATAACATTAGGAAATAGCTGCGGTTCTTGGTGCAAAAAGAAAGGGAAAAATAAGTGATAAGCAAATATAGCAAGTAAGAATATAATCATGATAAAATAGGAATATAAAGTTATGATAATTAGAGTGTCAGCTCAAACCGTTTGGTAACACATCCACTGCCCGGCAAAAACAAATAAAGTTGCCACCTGAATTTAACTAAGCAAATAGTTAGGAGCCTCCTCTTGGATAATTACTGCATGGGTGGTTATTTTTCAGCTAGCAACAAGTTATTTAACCCCAGCTGGTGCAATGAGCTGCTTCTCATTTCTTAAACAACCATGGGGAAAGACTCGTCTCGTGGTCGTGGAAAAGATGTTGGTCTGTTACAAAAGGATCAGATCATTGTCATGCATCAAGCTGAGAAAACATCTGAGGAGATTGCAGAAATGACCTAGCCTAGTGAACTAGACCAAATTCTTGCTTTGCAAAGTTTGGTCTAGGCATGCTCCATTGGAACCTCAGCAGCTCCTACCAGGACTCTGGATTGCCAATCACAGCTCTCTAGAGGGGTTTCAAACACATTTGGGCCATTCCCATCTGTACCGGGTCGGCCCGGGCCGGGTAGCCCCAGTCGGCCCCAGCCTGGCCCGGTTGATTCCACACATCCTTGCCTTAAGTCCATGTGGGCTGATTCTGCCCACCAATCAGAGGCTTGCTCTAATGGAAGGTGTGAATTTGTTGTCAGCAGTGGGTGTGTTGGCCCTGGTCGGCCTGAAGCAGACCCCCTCGAGAAGAGGGCTGAGAATGAGCCTTGGTTGGCCCGGAAAAATACCAGGCCACCCAGATATGTAAACAACCTACGCTACCCGGCCCGGGCCGACCCGGTACAGATGGGAATGGCCCAATTAAGAGCTGTGATTGGTCCATAATGGTGGGCCACTCATGGTGCTCTATCTGCTTAGTGAACAAATCATAGAGCTTTATCCGCTTTGTGGGCCAATCAGGGCACTCTATATGCCTGGTGGGTGGGATGATGCAACAGTCCGTACGTTTACATGCAGCCAATATCCGGGTTATGATCGGGTTAAGGTCGGTATTCGGGTTTCTGAGTTGATCAGAATAACCCGTTTACAAGCATAAATAGAAAGAGTTACCCCTAACTTGCATAACCCGATTTAAATGCGGACGTTGGGGTAGCGTCAGGATGTATGGACGACGTCAAGACGCAATATGCGTCATATTTCGCTGTCTCTGTACTTTCGGCTGTCAACAAAAGACATAATGTTCATACTTTTCACCAGACCGATGAAGACAGGTTTCCTCGTCACTCCAAAAGTGTGGTGCTGTGCCGCGACTCGCCATGTTGCTCCCAACGTGTTGTTTACTTCCGGTGTTCTGGCGCATACAAGACGTCTCGCTACTCAAAAGACCAAGATTCCTTTCGAACAGAGCATGCGCAGAACACACGCTTTGATGGGGATATCCCAATATGTGTTTACACGACCAAACATTCGGGTTAGACAAGGGTTACCCTTGAGTTACCCCAGGTTAGTTTTTGGTGGTGTTTACATGGACCTGCGGAACCGGGTTATTGTGAATATTCGGGTTTCAAAAGGGTTACTGGCTGCATGTAAACGCAATGAGAGTGAAACAAGAGTATGTCACATTCATTGTCCAGTGGAATGCGGAGATCATTTGAAAGACAACGGTAGAACCCGCCCCACAACCGAGAGCCGTCAATGGAGCGTGGCCAGACTAAATAATACATTTATTTAGTCTGGCTTGCCAGGCTAGACATGACCAAAACTGGGTTAAGAACTGTCCAACGCTTTATTAAAAACTGGTCTGATCAGTCCAGATGGACCCTGTTCCAGAGTGCTGGTGCATCAGGATAAGAAGAGAGGCAGATGAAGTGACGCACCCATCATGCCCATTGTACAATCCTGTGGGGGCAGGGCTATGATCTGGGGTAGCTGCAGCTGGTCAGGTCTAGGTTCAGCAACAGGATGTGCTTCAAGAATGAGGTCAGCTGACTACCTGAATATACTGAATGACCATCTTATTCTATCTTCCCTGATGACTCGAGCATATTCCAAAATAATAATGCCAGGATTCATCGGGCTCAGATAGTGAAAGAGTGGTTCAGGGAGCATGAGACGTCATTTTTACACATGGATTGGCCACCACAGAGTCCAGACCTTAACCCCATTGAGAATCTTTGGGATGTGCTGGAGAAGGCTTTGTGCAGCGGTCAGACTCTACCATCATCAATGCAACACTGGATGGAAATAAATCTGGTGACGTTGCAAAAGCTTATTGAAACAATGCCACAGCGAATGTGTGCTGTAATCAAAGAGGTCCAATGAAATATTAGAGGGCGTGGCCTATTTTTTGGTGGCAACTTTTTTGGGCCAGGCAGTGTATGATGGAGAGAAAGAAATCACATCCATGGAGGAGCTACGCTGCCCCTTGAATGGATGAATGATACACTGTAGTGTAAAGCGCTTTGGAGTCCTTACTCTGAGAGGCGCTATACAAGTGCGGGTCATTTAGTTTAGTTAACTCGGGCAAAGAAACAGGAGCAAAGCTATCTAGGATGATGGGCCTGGTTGGAGTCGGGAGAGGCAGCGATAAGGCTGAAAGAGAGATGCTAGATCTAACCTCATTGACTTTGTCCACAAAGAAAGACAGAAAGTTCTCACAGTCTGCAACAGAGTGGATGGAGGCTGTAGGAGTGGCAGGAGAGACGATGCTGCTGATGGTGTTAAACAGCACCTTGGGGTTCCATTTGCTCTGAGACACCAGGTTGGAGAAATAGGAAACCCTGGCGTCTCTGACTGCAGAGTTAAAGGATGACAGAAGATCCTTTAGGTGCAGCAGAAGGACGTGGAGATGGGCTTTCTTCCACAAACGCTCAATTTTTCTGCATTGGCGCTTCAGGCTGCGAAGGCTGTCATTAAACCAGGGAGTAGGGTTCACTGCAGGAACTGATCTGGTTCTGACAGGACAGATGTTGTCCAGAATGGATAGGCAGTGCTCGTTGAACTGAGAAGTTAAGGAATCTGGGTCGTTATCAGAAGAACAGGGTGGATCAAAAGCAGCAGAAAAATTGCTAGCTGTGCTCTCATTAAGAAAACGAGAGCTAACCATACGGCGAGCAGGAGGTGGGGACGCAGAAACTGACAAGTTAAAGAAAATGCAATGGTGATCTGAAATATAAACGTCCTCAGGACAAACACTGTCAGCATTTAGACTCAGGGTAAAAACAAGGTCTAGAGTGTGCCCCCTGGTGTGTGTGGGGCCAGAAACATGCTGGGTAAAGCCAAAGGAGTCCATAAGGCTGGAGAAATTCATGGCAAAGTGGACTGATGGATCATCAACGTGGATGTTAAAATCACCAACAATCACCAGTCTGGACAGTTTCACAGTGGACGATAGAAAGTCACTAAACTCCTGAAGGAAAGAACTGTTTGGACCAGGTGGACGATAGACCACAGCACAGTAGAACGGGTCCTTACGCCCGACTTTAATCAGCTGCCGTTCAAAGGAAGCAAAGCGATCAGAGGTTGTAGAGCTACATGGAAGATGGTCTCTGAAAACAACAGCTAGGCCTCCACCACGACCAGAACCCCGGGGCTGGCTAAGAAGAGAATAACCACTCAGGCAGAGTTCAATTTGACCCGAATAATCAGATGTTTGCGGCCAAACTTCAGTCAGAAACAGAAAATCTAAGTTTTTAGAGAGAATTAGATCATTGAGCAGGAAGGACTTATTGTTAACAGAGCGGGTATTTAATAGAGCCATGCTGAGTGCATTTGTGTTTATGGAAGCAGGTGTCTTTGAGGCTGCTTTGCACCTTTCAGCAGAAGCTTACTGTTGTGCTTTGTCATAAAGTAGTCCCAAGTCCAAAATGGCGCCTGTTGCAGTCAGTATGATTATGGAAGTCACCAAGTAGAATTTCAATTACTGTTGAGCAGGGATGCGTATTTGTCAAATTCTGGCGATACGATACATATCACGATACAGAGGAGACGATACGATATATCACAATATATTGCGATACATTCAGTCAGACGTTACAAGCAATTTTTTTTTACTGAATTTATTGTAAGAATGTTCAATAAGCAGTCCAAACTGATACGTAACATGTTTAACATGAGGTATCTGAACCATGATGGAGGGATTTACATTTCAGTGGTGGAAACAAAACCCGTTGCACACTGCTGCCAACTAGCGGGTGGTGATTGAATTGCACAAAATGAAAAGAAAATACACAAATGTTTGCATGTAAATTCTTTCAAGAATTAGATACACGGCTTTTGAATATCGATATAATATTGCTGGGAAAAAAATCACGATATATTGCCATATCGATATTTTCTTACATCCTTACTGTTGAGTAATTTTAATGACTTTTTTCCAGACTCAAGGCTAGTTAGTCCCATTCACTTACATTGTTTTATGCTAAGCTAAAGCTAAAAGAGTACTGCTAGATCAGGAGAATGACTGGGCTGGTTGCAAATCGTTTTTTCCTACTTGTCTAACTGGTAAAGATGACAACAGACATCATTTTACTTTGGGGAGGAATATCCCTTTAAACACCAGTCACTGTAATGGTTCTTTATTTCATGCACCACTTTCAGGTGACGTTGAAATTTGGCTTCCCAGTTGACCTCTGTCGGGTGGATGTGGAGCTGTGGCCCTGGGGGATGGATCGAGGACAGGCCTGTAAGAGACTTGAAATCAGCACTAGCTCAGATCCCCAGCTCCCACCTGTTTTGAGACGGGATGAGGATGAGAAGAGCAGACAGGAACAGGGTCGATCTCAACACAGTAGCGGACACCGGTGGAAACTTCAGACACAGCACTGGGATGAAGACAAGACCCAACAAAGACATTGTGGCTCCAGAAATCAATCAAACACTGACTCCAACAGTTATGAGTCGGAGTTTAAACTAGTGGCCCGTTGTGAACTGCGGGAAGAAATCAAAGTCTCTTTCAGACGCTCAAACTTTTGCCCCCGGGCGCCGTTCCTCTCCCCTCCTCCTCCCCAGCCGGAGAACTGTCGGGAAGAGCAGCTGTGGAGTCGAGGCCTTCCGTCGCTGAGCTCTGTGACGCAGCTCCGCGTCACGGTGCCTTTTGGAGGTTCTGCGTCTTCTCTGGGGCTGAAGGCTCTGGCGTTGTGGGGTCAACCTGCTCGCAGCTGTCCTGCAGAAGAAGTAGAGAGGATTATGGGAATCCACGAAGCCGCCGAACGACGGGTGATGCCCCCTGCAGTTTTTGCCACTTCAGTCAGAAAAACGACACAAACACTCCAAACACCTCTGAGGTACCAAATGTTTTAATTTATAGCTTTGCTTTGGCTGCAAAGCAAAAGTGCAACACTTTTTATTAAACTTGTATTCTCTTATATGCCTCCCCCTTTGTTAAAGGGACATTATGGAAGTTTGACAGCCAAAACATGTATAGAAATAATAAATGTCTTCTTCATACATTCTCCTGCAATGCCCTGGTCCTGTAGAATGAGCCCTGGCATTTTTACTGTGATTGCCTGTTTTTCTGTAAAATCACAGAAAAAGAGAGATGCTCGGGTCGAGCAGGCTGCTTCATGCGCGTTCACGCTCAGGCATCGCCCGTAGCATTTGCTATCCGTAGCTTTAGCAGCAGAGAGAGAGGCAGTGCCACTTTGTCGCTGTTCCTAACGCCTAGTGACAAAGCTAGCTACATTTCTGAGGACCCTTAGCTACAGTGGCGGTTCTACATCGAATTACTCCCCGGGCGAGGCCCCCTTTGAGCGCCCCCCCCCCCCCCCCAACCGCCCCCCCACCACCACCACCACCACACCACCCCACCTGCATGAACACACGCATGTTTTCTACAAACAGGCATGTTTTATTAGAACGACTATTGAAAATTCATTTTTCTAAGTTGCACATATTTACATTAATTACTATGAAGTTGTCAGAATGTAAAGCACTATACATTATATACTGTATCAAAATATATAGAATCAAATATACAAAAACAAACAATAACTAAATATTAAGAATATATGAACATAATAGATAATAATAGATAATAAATATTCTAAATAGCAAAAATATTTCACACATAACAAACTAAAGATAATCACTACAGCATTGCACTTAGAATAGAAACCACAAACTAAAATTAAAACCTAACCTTGATGTAACGTCATCAATAATGTCATCATATGAAATCTGCTCCCCTACTGAGTGATCGATACTAATCAGAGCCAGGTTAGTGAGCCGCCCCTGAAACATAGGTGACCTCAGGTATGACTTCATCAAGTTAAGCTCCTCTCAGCTTGAGCCACAGTGACTGGCAGAGCAGTCCAAAAGTTGGGGTAGATCTCCAATAGATCTCATGATCCATAATATTTTAGAATTGCCTCTGAAATTGTAATTTAAACTGACATAACAAACTGTAGACTACCAAAAATGCCAACTTTTACAGAACAAATCATGTAAAAATAATCAGTGCAGCCATCTGCAATAAATAAACAGGATAGTTAGTGGTGACTGGGGTGTTTTCTTCTGCTTGTACAGTTGTTTTATTTATTATTATGTGAACATGATCAACATGTGTTAGTTGTTGTTCAGGCAGGCCACGGGCTGCAGCGAGCATTTAACAAATCTTGAATCAGTAAAAAAACGATTCAAGGACTTTTTTCGAACCATTTGAATATTCGTTTCAATATTTCAGCCCTATTAGCTCTGTTAGCAATTAGTTGACCACATTTAACCGTTAAAATCCCAGTTAACTGGTTCAAAAAATTGAAAACATGCATCATGAGAGCTACATACCTTTATCTTTCTCCTCTTTTTTCCTTTTTCCCCCTGAATGGGGCACCTGGTGGTTTTAGCCTTTTTATGTTCATCTCTTCTGTTTGGCTCCTGACTCAGTAAGTTTCCTTTAGTCAGGACTAAACTATTTGACCTTGATGGGGGGGTGACCACAAAATCGTTTTGTTTTTCATTTTTTTATTCGGCCATTTCACACAATTCAGAGAAACCTGAAAGAATGATAGGCCTGTGTAGGGCTGGGGGTAAACGATTATTTTTAAAACGATTATTCTGACGATTATTTTATCGAATAGTCGACTATTCTAATGACTATTTAGAAAATTTATCTAATGATTATTTTTCTATTGCACAATTAACAAAAACCAGAAAATCTCAAATAAATTCCTCAAAAAATTGATAAATTCTTACTGTAAGAGAATAAACACTACAGGCCTTCCATTTTGTATAACACTGTGTTTATTGTGTTGCGGTTGGTTATGTTCTGGTGACGTGTAGAACTTGGGAGTGCAGGCTGCTGCCTGAGAGGTGGTAGAAGATGGAGTGTCTCCATGCTGCTTTGTTTTGGTCACTTATGTGCGTGAGGCGAGTGGTGTTACGGGTTAAACCAAACTCAAGGTGATATTTTACACTAAACCGAAAACCCACAACACTCTAAATGTAATAAAAGGGAGATCTACGCCACAAAAAAGATGAACTCTGAAACCAAAACGTAACAGCTTATCCCAACGCAAGAATTTGTTAGCGAAGATGCTAACAGTAGCTTTACCAACGTTAAGTTCAAGTTACCAAGTTTAAATAAACCAAAACCACCCAGCAGCAAACAGACCAGCACGGAGGAGAGACTGCTACCACCAAAACAGCTCTCCTACTGTCTGAAAGAAGCTCCTTAATGAAGGGAGAAGCGCTCCCGGTGATTTTCTACATCTGCGATAGACACGAAGCAGAGCATCTGACCCCGGAAGTTGTTGTCCGTTGCCGGGAGACGAAGGGGCAAAACAGGAAAATAATCTAGCAGTGGACGGACATTGTTCCGGGTCTTCGGTATTTGGCGGAGATGTTAGTGAAGGTGGAGAAGAGGGCGAACTAGAGGAAAAACGGGCAGATTCCTCCTCTATTTACAAACTCCTGGGGATGCAACAAGTGGGCGCGGTGCGTCGACTTCCGGATCTGACGTCGACAAATTTTTAGAATCGAGCCGTCGACTTCGTCGAGGCTTCGCTACAGCCCTAGGCCTGTGTTTATGATATTATGAATGAAATATGGAAGAACGTTAAGATGTGATTGACTTTAGCCATGTTAATACAGTTGATTCAGCCCCTACCCGCTCATTTCATTTGGGAAAGACGCAGAGGTGAATTCCCCCGCCGCACCCCTCCCCTTCCTGTTCTTCATAGACACACGGTGCATGTGAACGTTCTCAGTCAGCAGGAGCGCCTGCAGCTGCAGGGGGCGCCAACTTGCAGTTTCCAATCCAGACACTGTCATATGACAGATAATAGAAAACCTCGGTGCGGCGCAGATTTCCTTTTTTTTTTTTTTTTACTCAGCGCTTGTGCGCCCCTTTTGTGTCATGAAAAACTGCCGCCCCGGGCAACTGCCCTGTCTGCCCGTGCCTAAAACCGCTACTGCTTAGCTACTTTCTGTAGAACTTTCTTCTAGATATTTCCTGCAAATTAGCAACAAAATAGCCATTTTCACTCCGAACCGTTCTTTGAACGTTGTTTCAGCTGTCATCAAGGATATAAAAGTTACAGATACGAAGGGCGTCACTGGCGCTTTAGCTCACCTAGTAAGACGTCGGACTCTCGTGCAGAAGACCTGAGTTCGATTCTGGATGTGAACATAGCTTATTTAGAGTTTCTTTTTTACATTAATGATATATTTTTCTACAGTAAGATGCCCAAATTTTTATTTGAGACTCGCCGAACGGCATTGAATTCACAGATAAAAAAGATGTGGGTTCAACTTTCATTTTGGAACAATTTTTCAAGCAAGGGAAGGGAATGATCTGAGCATGCAGGAGGACTGACCCATCATAAACCTTTGTCGGCTGTGCTGAAGAGAAAGGTACAGAACCAAATTATTTAATTAATTAGCTGCGTGTTCTCCTGTCCTCTGTCCTCCGGGCCACACACACACACACACACACACACACACACACACGGGACTGTCTCAGCTGTTATTTTCGTTAAGGAGTGTGCACGTACAGCATGCGCGCCTCGTGCACGAGCCTACTATTGAAGCTGCCGTTACGCGTTTGGCCTGAGGGGGCAATCACGAGCATAAAAATTCAAAACTCCGTAAAGTCCCTTTAAAGATGATTTATATAACGATGCAACACAGATGAATCTTGTGTTTGATTCTGGCAGAGTTTCTATTCCTGAAGAATTCCTCGATCCATTAACACAGGAAGTGATGGTGCTGCCCATGCTGCTGCCCAGCGGCATGTCTGTGGACAACTCCACCCTGGAGGAGTACCAGAAGAGGGAGGCCAGCTGGGGTCGAGTGGCCAACGACCCCTTCACCGGAGTCTCGTTCTCTCCCTCCTCCCAACCTCTTCCTAACCCCCTACTCAAAAGCCGCATCGACCGCTTCCTCCTGCAGAACGGGATGGTTGGAAGAGATGGGATGTTGGGGAGGAAAGACCAAGGACAGAATCCACAAACCTCTAGACTGCTAACCTCCAACACTCAGGACCACTCCAACGCCGGCATCAGAAACACAAACGTGACTTCTGAGCAAAGCAGACATCCTCATGACTCAAGTCGCGTATTTAACACCAAACACCTTAGTAAAAATAGTAAAGCAGATCTGGACAAACACAAGAAGCGATGTTTAAGTGAAATGTACAAAGAATCAACAGAAGTCGCAGAAACTGAAAGCAAAAATGCAAAAACATCAAGAACTCATTCAGATTCGGGTGAGAACCACTTTCTCTTTTGCTGCATAACGCTGGAGACACACCGGCCGCGGAAGCGCCGCGAAAATGGGACCGCCTTCATTCGGCGCCCTTGTTAAGCTATTCTATAGACCACATGGGCTGCCGAAGCGCCGGCGCTCCAGCCCGCGCCGTGCAGCGATCGTTTCGGCGTCGGCTCTATTTTTTCGCGAGCCGTGGGTGAATCGGGTCAATTCTGGCAGGAAGTCAAACCTAGACATAAGAGGCAGGCCAGTAAATTTAACAAAATAAAGCATTTCAAAATAACATACCGCAATAGTCAAATGTGTTCGTAAACAGACACGAACACGCACACACACACACACACACATCGAACTTGTGTGCGTGTGTGACCACGTGAAGGGGGTGTGGTTTTGTGTGTGTTTTTTCCAAAGCAAACAGGACAGAGAGGCAGAAAGTCTGAGGCAAGCAGTTAAGATGGATGACTTTAAATTAATTATGGAAGTTGAGAAACACAAGGAGCTGTACGACCCCCGAAAAACATGATTATTTATGTACCCATTTCAGAAGAAACTGCTAGGATACAGCTGCAGAATTGGAGCGGGTTCCAAGAGATTCAACTGGCAGAAACAACTGGTTCATACCATAGGTTCACTCACACACACACACACACACACACACACACACACACACACACACACACACACACTCAAACGTAGAGGAAAAGAGCTGAGAAAAGGCAGAGAGGAAATGGAGGACACCAAGTGGTTAAAAGAAAAACTACAGCTGAGCCGAGGCGCTCCTCGACTGGAGCGCGTCTGATCTGAACTGAAGAGCGGCGAGCAGCGGCCGAATTTCGTGAGCGATTCGCTTCTCGGCGCTATGCGGCGCTTCCACGGCCGGTGTGTCCCCGGCGTAATTTTGTTCTATTTCATATCTCACTTTCCCTCCACATATGTTTAAATATGATATATATATAAAAAAATGTAGTTACTCCTGTGCACACATAAAACATCCACCATCTCTTCTGCACATCGACAGATCTGTACGTTCTGCTCATGAATCGGCACAAACAGCAGCAGCTCAGGTTGTCCCGGTAACGTCTGCTTCTTGTCTTTTGCGTCGCTTCAGGCCCCAGCGGCAGCTCTCACGAGCAGCTTCTGTCAGCCAGTCTGGATACGGCCCTCACCTCCGCCCTGCAGGGCCGACCCTCCTTCACGTCAAGCCTGCCCCAACAGCAAGCAGCAACCTCTGGCTCTACGGAGCTGCGCCAGAGCTCGGGCTGTAAAAGCACATCTGCAGGTGAGTTCTGTTCCATCCGAGAGGCCGAAGGCGACGTGTTACACAGCACGCTGTCGGATTTCAACATTTACCGTCCCAAGTGCAAATAAGCTGTTGTCAGTCGTGATTTATCTCGGCTAGAAGTGCATTCATAAGGCGAATGTGTTGAAATTAATTTGGAATCCGAGTATCCGTCACCTTTGTACTCAAAAAAACAGATTTTGTAAAAAAAAAAAAAAAAAAAAGGTGAATCAAACCAGAGTGAAATTATAATTTATGTTTAAATTTAACTAAATTCAGTCTGAATTTTTTGGGGAAAGACACAAAGATGTCTGCCTGTTAATGTTAAAGAAGAAAGATGAAGAATAAATGTGCTCTTTTTTTTATTATTTGTATTGTATTAATTAGATTTCAGGTGTGTCAACCATTCTTTTTTCCAACCAGGTGAGAAGACGTGTGCGGGATGTTCCCGTTCCCTGTCTGTTTACTCCGCTTCATTCTCGCCTATCTACCGTCTGGTCTGCGGCCACTTGTTCTGCCGCGCCTGTCTGCAGAGGGAAACGACACAACAAAACTCTTCCGCTGCTGCCTGTCACGTCTTGTGCCCGACCTGCCAAAGTCTCACGCCACGCCGTGACATCACGCGTGTGCATCACTGACAGACGGCAACACAACCAAACGATTTACTCCACATGTTTGTTTGTAAAATGAAATAAAAACCTTAAGATAATTTTAAGCACGTCGTTTCTTATTCACGCGCATTAAGAGCTGCAGGTCTGATGATTAAGTACCCGGAGCTTAGACTGTTATGACCCATGATGTCATAAAATGATGCAGCGCCTTGTCCTCCCATCAGAGGAAGCAGGAACTGTTTCAGCTAGTGTATAAGCACACACACACACGTGTATGAAGTCCTGTTCTCTTCCACCCATTCGTCTTTTCTCAGACTCCATGTTAGAAGTGCAACCACAGCCTCGGATCCACCGCTCTCTGAACCTGGATGAGCCGAGGATTCACAAAGGAAAGGCAGCAAGTGGAAGCGTGTAAATGATTGTGGAGGAAACCATCTGGGTTCGTCATCCGAGTTCCTGATGCATTCGCCCCATTCTCGTGTCTGCTCTCTGCTTCGGTTTGCTCTACCCCCGGAACTTCAGCCAAAAATCGAGCAGCAAATTGCCTCTTTTTGCCCATCAGCCAAGGCCAACATCAGAAACTTGGGAGTTATTTTTGATCCAGCTTTAAGTTTAGACTCACACGTCAAAACCATCTCCCGCTCTTGTTTCTTTCAACTGAGAAACATTTCAAAAGTCCGTAAACTGGTTTCTACAGCAGATCTGGAAAACAATCATCCATGCTTTTGTGTCATCACGCTTAGACTACTGTAACGCTCTTTTTACTGGTCTCAGCAAAACCTCCCTCTCGCGCCTTCAAGCCATCCAAAATGCAGCAGCCAGACTCCTAACCAAATCCAGCAGACGAGCTCACATCACTCCTGTTTTACAGTCCCTCCACTGGCTCCCGGTAGAATATAGAATACAGTTTAAAGAGCAAGTCACCCCCAAATCACATTTTTTTTTGCTGATAAACTATATAAAGGAGTGTCTAATCATGCTACAGACACGTGTCGTCAATAATTTGGCACTTCAGTGCATCTTGGTTAAAATTCAAATATTCTGCCTAAAACTGTCAGTGTTGCGCCGTCGTCAGGGAAAAATTCTGCACTGTATTTGAATTTAAATCTGCCACCGCTATTGGCTAAGAGGTATGCTATGATGTCATCTGGTACATTATGATGTCACAATGCCATTGTGAGCCTGTGTGTGTGCATTTGTTAGCGGCTCCGCCCTCTCGGTCCGCCAAGCAACAGCATTTGTTGCATTTTTCAAACATGAAGTGGGAGTGAAGTAAGTTTCTTGTAGGGGGGTGACTTGCTCTTTAAAGTTTTAGTCCTGACCTATAGAGCTCTTAACAACCAGGCTCCAAGCTACCTATCTGACCTTTTATCCCCACACACCACCTCTCGGAACCTCGGATCCACATCTGAAAACCTCCTGGCTGTTCCTCGAACCAGACTGAAAACCAAAGGGGACAGGGCCTTTCAGACTATTGCCCCCAGACTTTGGAACAGTCTACCTTCAACTCTCTGTCTCTCTAACACTGTAGAGGTCTTTAAAAATCATCTAAAAACTCACCTTTTCATCCAGGCGCCCCCCCCCCCCCCCTAAATGTTCTAAAAGATGGCTTTGTTCAGGTTCACGCCTTCACTTTGTTTTTACTCCTGATTTTATTTACTATTTTATCACTGCTATTGGTTTTCTGATGTTTTTATTGGTTAGAGGTATTTGCCCTGATCTTACTCAAGTTGTACAACGCTTTGTGATTTATATCTGCGAAAGGCGCTCTATAAATAAACTTTTACTTACTGAGTAACATTTCAGTAAAATATCTCACAGATCTGAGCTGCGACCAACAACGAAGGGTTAAACGGCCAAGCTGTGATATTTACTGGGCTCCGCCATCATAAACAGCATCATTTCTCTTGGTTACCCTGACAACATTAAGCTTAACCAAGGTCGTGACCCTGTATCCACTCAGGGAAGCGGGAATCTGTGGTTCTGCATGTGAAATGCAGTCACCACTAACCGTTTTTTTTTTTTTTTGCCTAAAGTTCAATCAAACTTTCCTTGATTTTTGCATTTATTGAGTGTTGTGCTCATAAACAGGAGCCCTTCACACATTAACCTGCGGATGCTCAGTTTTGCTGTCTGTCGTTTACGTCTTAATTGGTCTAATGGGCTAAATGCTGCTCTGATCACGGCGCGGGATGCTAAACGGTTGTTGGAAATGTAAATGCTGTTACGCTCATCCGTCATCAGGAGGATAATTTGTGTGACCCTGAAGTTGCCGTGATGCCAGTCCTGACTCCAAAAGTAAAAAACGTCTTGGAGGAATCAGCCTGATGACTAAACCTAGCATGATCTTCGTGAAATGTTCTTCATCCTGGCAGTTATCGAGGCAAATCTAATTAAATGTCCTCAAATTCGAATTAGTTTTATTTATTGCCTGTTTTATTTTCCCGCCCACCTCAGAATTTATTCTAGAAATCACTGCAGCGCGAGGTTGAATACAGAAGAGACATCTCTTGTTTTCTTCTGCAGATTTGTTTGATGGCGCACACCTGATGCAGAGCCACATCTCAGGCGACCTTTCGCGCACGCGCCGCGCACGCAGGTGGCCTTCGGAGAGAGGGGGGGTGGGGGGCGCGTGTCCGTGTGGTGACGTCAGGGCACGGTCGCTTTGTCAGATCGTGTCCGCGTGTTTAAAAAGTGAGAAAATGACAGGTGGTGTCAGTCAGACGGACCGGACCGGCGAGCCCGACCAGAACCAGCAGCCATGCAGCACTCCCTGCTCCCCCTCGCCGTCCTGGGACTCCTCGCCCTCTCCTCCGCCTGTTACATCCAGAACTGCCCCCGGGGGGGCAAACGAGCGCTGCCGGAGGCTGCCACCAGACAGGTCAGCCATGCTTCATCCATTTATATGATAGAGTTCCCAAAAGTTATGAATGGGACTGAAAATGTTGTAGACGTTTTATTTTTTTATTTAATAAATCGTTTTTAGAGCAAGTTTAAAATAAACTGAAAAACTGTCTCAGTAAATGTCACGTTTGAGTTTTAAAGGGTCTAAAATATACTTTAATAAGAGACGATTACTGATATAAATCTTACATTTTCTCGGCTTTGCTGCTTTTGAAATGCTTTGTACAATTCTTTTTTTTTATCATTTGATTTATTTGTTTGCAAGTTGGCTGATAATGATTACAAATCTGTTTTAGTTCAATTCAAAACAAGGTCAGGTTTTATTTTTTTGAATTAAAGAAATATATCTGTCCAAGAGGAATAAGAAGTAAATCATCTAATCTATAACTGGCATTTTTTATATTCCTTACAGAACCATTACTGCAGATACACACATTATTTTACCAATGCAAACACACACACACACACACACACACACACACACACACAGCCTTACTGATGATCATTGTATTAACCTGATTAATGCCTTTACCTAATCTGTCCTTTAGTGCATGTCTTGTGGCCCCGGAGACAGGGGCCGCTGCTTTGGCCCCAGCATCTGCTGCGGGGAGGGTCTCGGCTGCCTGCTGGGCTCACCAGCATCAGCTTACTGCGAGGAGGAGAACTACCTGCTCACCCCCTGCCAGGCGGGGGGCAGACCATGTGGATCTGAAGGAGGACGCTGCGCCGCTTCAGGACTCTGCTGCAACTCGGGTACACTTCCGTCTCCAGATTTGTCATGTTTGGATCTGCATGACCTAGTCCAGGGGTCGGCAACCTCTTCCAATCAAAGAGCCATTATTACCCGTTTCCCACAGTAAAGAAAACACTGGGAGCCACAGCAGCTGCTGCGTTGTGGGCGGGGCCTACCCTCAGACAGAATAGAGCTGCTTTAACCAATCACAACAGGTGACAGCAGCCGGTACCGGTCGCTCGTGTACGTCAAAGCTATCTTTCATAAGACGATAATCAATAAAACGATTTATATAAAATGGATCCAGAAGTTGTAGCCCGTCTCTGCCTACAATATTTAGATATTTTTCACCCTGTTGGTGGTTTTACTGAGCAGGTGCCACTTTTGTCATACGTTTCTTTTTAAAACATGTTTAGACTGTTCAGAATACAAATCCAGGCTCTGTCACGTTTGATTGTTGTAATTAAATTTTGTAGGTGGGGAAGGTCAGAAAAGGATCCGATCAATTTGTTTTTCCCTCATTTACAGTGACGGAGATAACGGCGCAGTGTGCCTGGCTCTGGTGGTAATCAAGTTAAATTATATCTCTTTGCAACAATTTTCACAAGAAAACAGAACAGTTAGAAGCAGGGCTTGTGTTGTGTTGACCGGACAGTTCCCGTACTTGACCGTTTATTTTGACGGAGAAAGAATAGAAAGAATTACCCCGACGCATGCAGACGAACTGACATTTTATTTGTTTCGCACATCGCAGATGTAGCTAAATCACCCAAGAAAAGATTCCCATCTGAACATCTGAGCTGGACACTGTTCAGATGTTCAGCTCACTGTCAGCATGCACTTAAGGTGCACAGCGAGCTGAAGATGTGGAGAGGGGCTTGGAGCGCGTCGCAGAACCAGAGCGCATGCAGGAAGATTCCTCCGACTGAAGCGAGACTTGTCACTTAGAAAATGTTCCCTGATTATGAAACTTTGGCTGAATAGCGCTTGTTCCTGTCTCCAATGTGGCGACACGTCCAGGAGCCGTCTGAGGAGAATCCCAGAATCTCACATCCTCTTCAGCTCAGGAAGCGCATATGATTACGCACAAGCGTGACGCGTCAACCCGGTCTCACAGTAAGACCGGGTTGGAACTGTTCAGGTTTACGCAGACAATCTTTACATTTAGAATTGGCATACAGATGTAAAATTAATGCAGTAAAATATAAAGCATTTTATTTAAATATCCATTCATTATTTTACAAGCACAGAGAGCCGCATCAGATGGATGGAAGAGCCGCATGCAGCTCCAGAGCTGCGGGTTGCCGACCCCCGACCTAGTCCCTACTCAAACTCTTCTTCTCCTCCTCAGACGGCTGCTCTGTGGAATCTGACTGCCTTGGGGAGACGGAAGCCACCGATCTGGCCCAAGGCTCTGCGAGGAGCTCCCCCACGGAGCTGCTGCTCCGTCTCCTCCACGTGGCCAGCAGAGGACAGAACGAGTACTGAGCCAGGGAGCGTGGAAATCCCAGCCAGCCGGATCCTCACAGTCTGGAGCTACGACACTATCAAGCCTCAAGTTATGAACTCTGAACCGAACCAGTTTGCTTTGTCTGTGCTAATCTTGCCTCATTTTAAATAATATTCACCTATTTTTTCTTACACACACAAAAAATACTGTGAAATAAATCAGATCATTGATAATAAACATCATATTTACTCCCTGTCCAAAAGAAATGTACATATTTATACTGTAAACAGTCCAGAGCCTAAATTAAAATGTAAATAAATGATAAATTAAGCTTTCCACTGATGGTGAACAACTGATTTCCAATGCTTGAGTACATTCCTGTGGTGTAGCAGACGTATTATTGTAAATAAAAAATGGAAGAAAAATACCGATGGTACCACCAAGCCTCCGTGGTTTGTTCGCATGATACCAGTGGCTTCACATTAGTCACACCTTGTTTATTTTGTTGAGTGGTGAATTAAAAGAATGTAGTTTCAACCGAAGCAAAGGGCCATATCTGAGCAATCGGTTGTAATATTTGCCGTAATTTCGTCAACCTTTGTTAGCAGTTGTGCCGTAAGCAACATTTTATGGGATCTTCTTTGGGCGAGCGACTGTCCCAGCTCTGTTTCAACACATTTAGGTTTTGCATAAACGAAAGGCCTTTTGTGTAGGTGTGGTGTTTGTGCTGAGCTGTGGATGAAACATGATTTTCTTTCCTCTTCTGGAACGGAAACTGATAGGTAGTTTTTCATTTATCCCATATTACCTTAAAGGACGACACCCACAGAGAGAGAGTAGATCGATTATTCGTATTTTCCATGACCCTTGAACCTGAAATAAACACACACACCCAGAGGGTTTCATTGCACCCCCCGAGTCCCCAAACAGTGGGGAGACGACGCAGGGTAAACCCCCTCCGAAGCTGGCCCCACGTCTCTCCCCCCAGTCCTCTGTTTCCCAGGGGGTCCCAGGGGACCAACAGGACAGCGAAGGCAGGCCTTCTCGGGTTACAGAGGTACAGACCCATCTCCTATGGTTACCACATTCCAGAGATCTGGCCTCAGGCATCACAAGTTTCACAGGAGCCCGTCACCCCCCACAAAGACAAAGAAAGATTCACAGACCAACCAAAATGAACATTTAATAAAATACCTAACAGAAACCGCTCCTCCCTCTTTTGACAGTCGTTTGCTTCCAATCAAGGTAATCAAAACTACCAGTGCTGTTGTTGATCCCTTCAAAGATGAAACTCCGTGTGCACTTTGGTGTAGTAGACTCATCCTTGTAAGGATACACATAGATGTTTATGTTCATTCATTTAGCGGACGCTTTTATCCAAAGCAGCTTACAATTTATAACCTATAGGGCATGTTGTGACCTGTGGGGGGAAACCGGAGTACCCGGAGAAAACCCACGCGTGCATGGGGAGAACACGCAACTCCACGCAGAAAGGCCGCAGCCGAGTTTCGAACCTGCAACCTTCGTGCTGCGAGGCAACAGTGCTAACCACTGCACCACCATGCAGCCCATATAGTCTGTTTCTATACCATATGTGGTGCACAACTGCAGTTAAAATAATTTCAACTTGCTGGACGGGTCCGTGGCAACGATGCATCTAATCATAAATGAACACAAATGGTGCATGGCCTGTATTTGATATAGCAAATACGATGTGGCCACAGCTGCCCTGGGGCGCACTGACAGAGGCAAGGCTGCCGAGCACAGGCGCCACCGGTCCCTCCGACCACCACCAGCAGGCAAGGTGGGTTAAGTGTCTTGCCCAAGGACACAACGACAGCGACAGACTGAGCGGGGCTTGAACCTGCAACCTTCCAATTACGGGGCAAACACTTAACTCCTGTGCCACCGTCGCCCCAAACACAACACGTGTGTCTCCACCGAACGGATCACTCATTCATGGTATGTCATTTTCCGCAGTGAACCACAAGCAAGTTGCACAAACATAATCATTAAAATGTTGTTTTGATTTCTCAGAGATAAGAGGCACGAAAAGATTTATTGCTTAAGATGCATGCCATGATGCAACGCTGACTCGTGTGCCTCAGACTGTCTAATTTACACAGTTTTAACAGTAAAACTCAGCTTATTTAGTTAAAATCAACAATAACTTGCTTGTTTCAAAATGCTGGGCACGCTAGGACCCTTGTCTGATGACTGATGTCAATGTTGTTGTTGTTGTTGTTAGCCTCAAGGGCAATATGCCGATTATCACTTGTAAGTCGCTTTGGACAAAAGCGTCTGCTAAATACATAAACATAAACATTGTCTCTGAGGTGAGTCAGAAATCAGTGAATGTTTTCTTTAGTCAAATGTGACTGCTACCACATTGCTTATATGAGGTTATATAAATCAACACTTTGTCTCTCGTGCTTGCTACCTTAAAAATTGCCTTGGGAAAATGTATCGTGCAATTATAATGTCTGCCTGCATGCTCTGTGACATTGCACAATAAGTGCGAAGAACACAACGAATCGTAACTAAAATAACACAAAACAGGTCCTTGTCAATCTGGCTGCCAAGTTACGGATTCAGCAATTTTTTTGTTTGTTTGTTTTTAGTTAAATATTAATCTGTTCACCTATCCTTTTAGGAGACATATTGTTACGTTTCTTAAAGAGCAAGTCACCCCCTACCAGAGTCTAACTCCACTCTCACTTCATGTTTGAAAAATGCAACACATGCTGTTGCCTAGCAGACCGAGAGGGCGGAGCTGCTAACAAATACACACACACAGGCTCACGACAGCATTGTGACATCATAATGTACCAGTTTACATCATTGCATACCTCTTAGCCAATAGCGGTGGCAGATTTAAATTCAAATACAGTGCAGAGTTTTTACCTGACAACGGCACAACACTGCTAGTTTCAGGCAGAATATTTAAATTTTAACTAAGATGCACTGAAGTGCCAAATTATTGACGACACGTGTCTGCAGCACGATTAGACACTCATTTATATAGTTTATCAGCAAAAAAAAGTTTATATGGGGGTGACTTGCTCTTTAAGTTATAATAGCTCTATGGTCATCAAGTTCTTTGCACTACATCTCTCTCACATAGTTTTATTCTTTTCATTTTCAACACCTTCCAGAATGAGCCATTTCAGGGCTCTGTCTCTTCAAGTAAGCAAGCTATTGCTAGGCATGCCTAGCGATGGGTACCGAATTTGGTACTTTTTAAGGTACCGACCGAATTCCATAGTACCGACTGAGCACCGATTCACGTAATTTGAAACGGTGCCTCGTTTCGGTACCCGTCCTTCATAACAGAACTTCCCTAGACAGCTGCGCATGCGCAAGAGCGTTATGTCGCTGCAAGTGAGTTGTAAACAGAGCAGCATGGTAGAAAGAACGCACGCTAAAGCTTGGGTCCACTTCACTAAATGTGATGGGTAACTGGGTGATGATGAAACCAGCGACAGCAATCTAAGTGAGACATCCTCATCTTAATCTGCTCCGGTAGGTAAATAAAATGTTTAAGATAACTTTAGCTTGATATGTTAGCTTTTGTTTCGCTAATGGTGCGTTCGCTTTCTCCTCGGAACTCTGAATTTCCGACTAGAAGAACATGAACGCGCTCTAAAGTTTGGCTTCACTTTACTAAATGCGACGGGTGATTGGGTGAAGATGAAACCAGCGACAACGATCTAAGTGTGAGGCATCATCATTTAAATCTGCTCCAGCAGCTAAATTAACTGTTTAAGATAACGTTAGCTTGATAAATTAGCTTCCACTGCCACCATTGATATCAGCTAATGGTGCGTTCGCTTTCTCCTCGGAAATTCTAACTTCCCAGTAGGAAAAATCAAATGAAAAAGGACGGCAAAAGGAATGAAGATACGCAGTAAATTTAGTTCACAGTAAAGATGTTTGCTTCAGTTTAATTATCAGCTTATAAAACTACAAGGACGATGTTAAAATACAAACAGTTGTATGTTATTTATCGTGATATTTATCAAATATGGTTATATCTTGAGAAAAATATGTATTTAATTATAAAACAGAATTAAAATATTCAACACTCAAAAGTATCTATAATTGGTACCGTTAAGTACCGGTATCGATTCCTAGGTACCGGGATTTATTACCGAATCGATTCAAATATCAAAGGTACCCATCCCTAGCCACGCCTCACCTATCCCCCAATCAGGCTGCTATAAGCTAAGAAGCTCCGATATCCGGGAGAGGCTCGGAGTAGAGTAGGGGCTCCTCCAGCAGGTTAGAGGTGCTTCTACACTAATTTCCCCATCTGTGACATCACAAACAAGAAATTTTTGAACGGCTTGTTTTAGATACAATCCCTAAAAGCAGAGCGGAAAGGGTATGGATGGGTTTTTTCATGTTAGGGGTGTTTAGAGGCAGTAGAGACCAACATGTCAGCACAAAATAATGCAAAAGGAGAATTTTTCATAATGTGTCCCCTTTAATGTACAGAAGTTAATGCCAAGTCTGTAAACCAGCGTCAGTGCGCCCCACGGCAGCTGTGGCTACAACGTAGCTCATCACTACCAGCATGTATATTTGTGTGTGTGTGAATGGGTGAATGACAGGTTGTGTTGTAGAGCACCACGGGGGGTTGTAGTACCCTAGAAGGTGGTATTACTGTCATTTGTGACTTTGGGTGTGTCAGTTGTCTGATTTCCTTTGGATCAAATCAACGGTTTTAAAGAGCTGTTAGTAAACCTGTCGAAGCACGTCCGCATTAATCCTGCACCAACAGTTTCAATAATCTCAATCTGACCAAATTAGAGATCTTAATTCTGTAAATCATCACAGCTTTGTGGCCGCTTTACAGTTTTCAGCTGCATCCCAAATCCAGATACCTACTCAGTTGTTTGATGATCTAAAAACAATCTCAGCGCCTGGAGGCGTGTGCACGTGTGTGCACATGTGGGCTGTCTGCATATATAGCGAGGGAAAGAGAGAGCAGAGAAATTTTCACCCGACAGCTGCCCTGCCATCATGGATCTGAAGGTTGCGTTTGTGATTGTCTGTCTGAGTGCTTTGGCCATCAGCTCTACTGACGGTAAGTTCTGCACTTTTTTACACACATGCACACACACACACACACACACACACACACACACACACACACACGCTTTAAAACCTTAATAAACCTCTTTCATCACAACATCAGTCATATAAGTGCACACTCAAATATTTACGTCATTATTCAACTGAACAGAGCGGCTGTTTAACGATATGCGCAAAGAAAATAATAAAACATAGAATTTCTTGCTTCTTTTACTCTTTTCTAGTTAAAAGAAGCCTTGGTGTTTTTTACAAAGTTTTTTCGTCTTGCTTGTAATTTACCACTGAATAATACAAAACTCTCAACCATCTCTAGTTTTATCTTTTCCAAATCATAAAAGGTCTTATAAAAATCATAATAAAACACTAGCTTTATTTAAATACAGAGCACTTTTATTATAGGTATGCACAGAACACGTTTTTAATGTAATCTTTGCTTTAATATTCTTGTATTTTGTAGCTGGCATCCCAAAATGCTGCATCGGTGTAATAGAGAAGCTCAATCCAAGACGCCTTCTCAAAGTTGAACGGTGGTACTTACAGGAGGACACCGGTGCCTGTGACATCAGTGCACTGCTGTAGGTGTCAAATTTAAATCATAAAAAATAAATGGAGACCAAAACGATCCAAGTTCGCTCACTGCTGTCTGCTGATTTGACACGGACATGTTATAACTGGATTTTTGCAATGACACTTCTTGTGTGTTCACAGAGTGTACGTAGCGGGCAAGACGACTCCGATATGCATCAGTCCTAAATGGAAGCCATTTCTTGAAAAAATTATGAGGAGACGTCAGCAAATGGGGACGAAGGACAGAAACTAACAGACGAATCAGAATGTCTCAGACACTTGTGTAATACAATTTTACATTTAAGGTTAAAAGCATGACCATGAATATGCAATATGTTAACATTATGAAAAGCAGATTTTATACATTAGCTTTGAAAAATGTGATTTTTTTAAGCAGAGTTCTCAGGCCCAGCTTTTACATTATAATTTGAATATTGAAAACGTGATACTTATTATTATGGTGATTATCATCAATAGAAAAATCATGAATCAGATTTTTTTTATTTCGTCAGCTCTATGCAACCCTGAAGCTTTTTTTTTTAATTAAAAAGCTTATATTTTTATATTTTATATTGTTTATTTTTTGTACAAAGGAATTACTGGAGATCTGTGTTGTGTGTCTGTAGTGCAGGATATTGTTTTTGTTTTTCTTCTGGATAATTGAACACATATACTACTGCACTAATATTGCTTTCATAAATAAACGAAAAAAGAAAAATCAGTTTGAATGTTGATTTATCTGCTGTTTTCCAGCTATATTGTCAGTCTCAGCACCACTCTGGTTCTGGAAAATATCATTCAATCATCTAAAAAATAAATACTGTCAAAAAGATGAATAAACAAATAAAGGAGTCATTTAAAAGTAAAAAATTTAATACATTTTTACTCATATATCACCTTGTAAAATGAAAATTTCAAAGTGTTTTCCATTAAATAAAATGCAAAACAAAAATAGATGGAAGAAAACACCAAACAATCAGATATGACAAGAAGCAAAAGCATTAAAACAAAAACAACTTAGACCTAAACCTGACAGAATAACACAAAAGCAACTTAAAATGTGTGGTTTATTAATTTAGTGACCCAAATCTTTTTTAGAAAGAGCACAAAACAGTGAGGACCAACTCAGAGGCATTTAACAAAGAGCCTTACGGGTTAAAGATTTACTCATGTAAACTCGGTTATCATCAGCATAGCAATGATAAAATAAACAATTGAATTTTGTATCAACTGGCCAAAGGGATGCGTCATCCACAAAATAAAACAGGTGCAAGAATAGAGCCCTGAGGCACCCCATGGGTGAGAGGTACCAGAAAGGAGGCACCAATTTCAGTTAAAACAAAACACTTTCTGTTTGAATTGTAAAAAGTAACCTCAAATGGTCCAAATATTAGTAGGAGGAAACAATTGTGTCAAAAGCATCAGACAAATGCAAAATGATTAAATGGAATTTTCTCCATCAGTTCATGAAAATGTTCTTGTCTGTTGCTTGCGTTTGAGATTTTTGTCTCAAGTCTCTAAATAAAAGGAAGAATCACTTTTAATCTCGATAAAGCCCTTTTACATTGTGTGTGAGTGTGTGTGTGTGTGTGTGTGTGTGTTTGTTTGTGTGTGTGTGTGTGTGTGTGTGTGTGTGTGTGTGTGTGTGTGTGTGTGTGTGTGTGTGTGTGCACTGAGCTTAGAAATGTTCATTTTAATTTTATGTCATGCAGTTTTGCTTTCAAGCATAACATTTAAAAATAATCTGCACTTTACTATAATTCAACTAAATGTAATTTGAAACATCAACAGGCGCAAAAGGTTTCTGATTTTATTTTGAAGGAACGCATCTTTGTTGAGGATGGAAACCTTGCTGCCTCCTCTGTTGTGACTAGTCTCACAAAGACATGCTGCGACACATTGCAAAGGTTGTAAAGTTCTTTTGGAAAGCTTTCCTCAACTCAGTGGTTTTATTTAACAAGGTGCATTCCAAACTGATTCCCATAAAAAAAACTAGGCAGACGCTGTTGGGTAATTTTATCAATCCAGGATTACCTTAGGGAAAGTTCAAAGCACAGGGGGTTATAGTGATCAATCCATCAACACCAATACCAATTCATAAACAATCAATTTAGACTTTGCAAAGTGGAGAGGAAAACATACACACCACACAACGGTTGCCAGTTCACTCTCATCGGACAGACGTCCTCCGAAAAGCATTTATTAAGCACACACACACAAAAGATGAACGCACACACATTTTGACATTCTTTAGACTCTCAGGCGGAAAGCCGTACAAAAGGGAGACTAAGCTTTCTCCAGGTGCACTAAATCAACAAAGCAGTTCCTGGACTTTTTTAAGGGAGTTTTACTGCTAAAGGTCGGTTCAAGGCTAGGTCATTCTCCTAAAACATCCTCCCTGTAAGACCTGCAGGGGCCTGTTATCTATCTGTCATCTACAGAAATACTCTGCAGTCGTCGGGTGTATCAGAGATGGACAGGAAGCTGAGTACAGAGAGCTGGTGGAGCGCTTCGTGGCATGGTGTGGAAACAATCATCTGACCTTGAAACAAAGGAGATGATTTTAGACTTCAGAAGAAACAGGGTGGAGTCAAACACTGTTTCCATCAGGGGAGAAGAAGTGGAGGTGGTTGAGGAATACAAACACCTTGGAGTTCACCTGGACAACAGACTGGACTGGAGAAAGAACAGCGAAGCCGTTTACAAGAAGGGACACAGCAGACTGCACTTCTTGAGGACGCTTAGGTCCTTCAATGTCTGTAGCAAGATGCTGCAGATCTTCTACAAGTCTGTTGTTGAGAGTGTAATCTCTTCAGCCATCGTCTGTTGGGGTAGCAGCATCAGAAGCAGGGACCTGAAAAGGCTCAACAGCCTAATAAAAAAGGCTGGTTCTGTTCTGGGGACGACTGTGGAACCACTGGAGGAGATCATGCAACGAAGGATTCTCCAGAGAATCAAGAAAATGATGGACAACCCTGAGCATTCTCTTCACAAGACTGTCCGACAACGGAAGAGTGTCTTCAGTCAGAGGCTTCTTCAGTTTGGCTGCAACACTGACCGCTACTGGAGATCCTTCCTGCCAACAGCCATTGGAATATACAACAACTCTTTGATGACTTGATTATTATTATTATTCTGAGCTACTACAGCAATCAATTTCCCTCTGGCATTAATAAAGTATTTTAGAAATTAATTGAATTGAATTGAATCAACAGAATAAATGGATGAAGCTACGTTTAAAACACCAGATGCGTAACAGTCAAGACATTAATATCAATTCAATAATGTTAATATCAGTTTTTCTCCATCAGACGCGGAATAGACCCGTGCCAAAAACTGCCTCCAGTCGTAGTTTGATGGCTACGTTTAAGCTTCATTCTCAGCTGCTTGGATTGTTTGGGCATTTTATTTCCATGTAGATTATTTAAAACTATATAGCTGTTGGTGTTTTCTTTCCAGTATTTGTTTTGTTACCACAGTGCTAAATTTAATGACTGCGTAAGTTTTTATCAATTATATATTTGGAACGTATTTGCCCCTTAAACCTAACTGGCTGTCACACCCTCAGTGGTGACAGCTGTTATTAAGTCTCAACTGTAATCGCCATGGAGGAATTTGCAGAAATTTGTTTTTTAAAGGAGGCATCTGCTCTTCTACCATGTGATATTGTTATTTCCTCATGGAAAGACAATCCAAACCCATTTTTGGCTGCATTCATGCATTTTCAGCAGCAAATTTTGAGTTTTACTTTGAAAATCCTGTAATGAGCCAATGGAAATTAATTTTGTCATCAGGCCATGCTCCTCCGCTGGAAGCTAGTCTCTGGTGTGAAAGCTCTCTCCCCTGGTCAGCACAGGATACGTGGCTTAAGCTTGGTTTATGCTTGACGCATTTACTTTCCGCTTGGTGATGTGGCTCGTGGATGGAACGCACTTCACAACTCGCAGCGTTTAGGGTTCATGCGGCTTGTCTCTGCGGTGAGCCAATATTCTCCCAAACTGTAGGGGGCAGCATGGAGCTCTATGGCATGCATCCAACACTACACCGTAGTAGAAGTAAAAATTACTGTTGTTTACAACATGGCATTCCAGCATTTTTTAACAGCGTCCTCGTCTTTTCCGACAGTGCGAGCTATTTCTCTCCAAGAATTATTAACAACATGTTTATCACGGTGATTTTTGAGAGCTGAATCATACAAATGTCTGTATTTACGAACCTCTGACATACTAGTTCTTGCCAGTCCGCCATGTTTTTCCGCGTCCGACCGTCCGCGTGGTTAGAAAATTTCCTAGGTGCGCGGTGCGGAAAGTTTGGGCCGTGCGGAGGCGCGGTGGAGGGGCGTGGTTGTTAAAATGGCGCAATTTTGCCGCGCGGAGCTGTGCGGACCTCGCGGACGCGTCAAGCATAAACCAACCTTTAGACAACTGCTGTAGCAGACTTGGTAGTCCAGTGGTTGGAGTGCTGGGCAGGTGTGCAGGTTTGTGTCTCAGCAGCAACTTCTTTTTTTTAGCTACACTTGCCTGTATTATGTTTTCAACCCCTTATTGGTAAACTGTTTAAGATATAAAAAAATACCTGTTTTTTCTTTTCTTTGTTTATTTAGCCAACTATTTAGAGTAAACCAACTAAATGGTGCTTGGAAATGACCACATTCAAAGATCTTTAGAGACACAAAATAGTTTGCAGAAATTAATCAATAAAACTAAAATAAAGAAACATGAAATATGTTTCAGCTGTCTAAATAAATTACCGCCAATGCCACCGGGAATTGAACCGGAGTCAGCACATGGAAAACTGGAAGTCCTGACAAATACTTAAGCTACTGGACCATAGACATAATTTTCCCCTTAGAAGTGAGGGGACACGGGGGAAGTGGGGGGGTGGGGGGGGGTCTTTGTATGCTCTAATGGGAAACCGTCTTCAACACAAATGGTTGTTTTCCGCTTGGTCCTAGAGCTCAACCAGTGACAATTTAATACAGAGTAATATTGTTTGTGGATGGTAAAAAGTGCAGGGGTCAAAACTTGTCTTTGGAAAAAGTGGGGGGGACATGTCCCCCACCCCACCCCCCCAAATTACGTCCATGTACTGGACTATCATACCCAGATCAACAGCTTCTTTTTCACTGTTGTTCCCATGTTTTGTCAGAGCAGGCATGGGCGGAGCTTCACTGAAACAGATTGTTCTTTTTCCAGGTACAAATTCAGGCTGACAAAAATAACTCGTATAAAATGACATCTCAATAGTGCCAAAAGTAATAAACTGTGCATACCTTTGCTCTCCAAGGTTTAAAATAGCATTATATGGAACCTTTAATTCGGCCATATTGAATGGTCTGTTTAAGGTCAAAGGTCACAGATTCTTCAGTACTTTCTTGTAGAGATCCATCAACTACAGTAGGTCATCCAGGTCCTGAGGCGGCGTAGCAGCCCCGGACCGTAACACTACCACTACCACGTTTGTAGGTTTGCTTTATTCTGAAATGACACTCACCTCAGTCAACAGGAAAATTCTCAGAACTCTTGAGGGTCATCAAGATGTTTTTGGTAAACCTAAGATGGGTTTTTATCGACCAGCAGAGTCTTGTTTCGTCTTGGAACTCTCCATCGATGCCATTTTTAATCCACTGATATAGGAAATGAAAAATGGCCTGTATTGGATGTAGGGTCTTCTAGTGTTCTTCAACCCCCCAAGGTGCTTTACAATACAACCAGTCATTAAACTACGCACACACTCAGTCACACATTCTTGGTGATGAGCTACAATGTTGCTGCCCAGGGGCAGGGGCACTGACAGAAACAAGGCTGCCGAACACCAGCACCACTGGTCCCTCTGGCCGCCACCACTATGATAGAATGAGCGGGGCTTTAACCTGCCACCCTGCAACCCACCATTTCCCAATGTTCGTTGTAGAATCTTGACCTCTGACCTTTGCCAGAACCCAGTGATGCCTTTATTGCTTTAAACAGTGTCCTGGTTTCTTTTCTTTTTGAATCTCTTGAAAGTGGCACGATGTGTTGCTTTTGGGAGAATGTAGCCTTCTTCCATTTGCCAGACAAGTTCTATTTTAAATTACAATTAAATAATTTTTCCTCCAATGAACAGGTCTGGCTGACTTTGCTTTACAGTGCAAAAGAATTAGCCTAAATTCTCCTATATTAAAGTCAGCAACCTCCAGGATCGGGTCACGCGATGGTTGTGTCAGTTAAAGACAAACCTAAAAGCTTTTGGGTAATTATGGTTTTATTTTCTTCCTCGTTAAATACTGTCTTATAAATTCATGTCAGAGCAGGTTTCACTTCTTGCGGTTGCTTGTGACATCCTGAGAGCTCAGCTTTGAGCTCTTGCTTTTAAACTGTGGTCTTTTGTTTTGTTTTTGGATAAAATCCACACAGTCAAAAGGAATGAGGGAGCTTTTTGATGTCATCAACAACATGGAGTCACGGCAGGTCACACATACTGTGAGCAGTTGAATTCCTTTTTAAAACATAATCCACATGATTTTCCTTCATTCGTGGATCCATCAACACTCAGACTATCTCAACGCGTTGCCTCATTTCACAAGAAGTGGAACAAAAAGTGTGTTGATTCAGACTGGATTCGTTTTACTGAATGTGTTGTGTAAACTGTAAAGAAAACATCCAACCATGTAAAGAGAAGGGAAACAAAATGCTGTAGAGTTTTGTTTTGTGTCTGGCTGCTGAAAAATAAATTTGCAAGTTTCTGGAGATCAAGCCTTGTCCAACACCAACACCTTGTGGTGGGAAATAGAATCACAATCACGTTAGGTAGGATTTTATTCTTCAGACAAAGTTAAATAATTCTAATAGGAAATAGGTATGTGCAAAAAAATGGGAACTATACTATAATATTCCTCAATACCTCTCAAGGGTTAAACGTCATAAGCCTGTGTCTGTTTGCCCACTGATGCAGGAATTCTCTTAATGTTTAACGTGGTTCAGCGATCAGACAGCTCTTCTGCCTGATTCTGGGTCAAACGGTGTAGCAACATGAAACTCTGTTGCTTGAACACACAAAACATAAAACGTTTTATTATTTGTTATCCCTTAAACAAACCCAATGGGTGTGTCAAGAGTTTGATCAAACCCAGATGTGCATGAGTTTACACTTCCCTACTGGAAAAATGTCCCTACTTGAAATCAGACTTTAAAAATAACTTCAATGTTGCAATGACAGCAGATGCTGCTCCAAAATTAGCATCAGAGGCCTAATATATTTACTCTAAGCTCTTCATTGTTGGCTTGATGATTTATTTTCTCTTCCTTTTGGATGGCAGCCCTCTGATTTCATAATCAAGTTTTTAAACCTTGATCCAACAGACCTCCATCTTTTAGTTTTTGTTTTATTTGGTGTGGCTTTGACCCATTCGGTGTGTTTCTCCTGCCTAATAGTTACATTTTTGGGAATTTTCCACTTAAAGGTGTTTTTCTTTCCTTAAAAGTTCTCAAATGACTTTAAATTAGTCCTTTCGGTCATCGAAGAGAAGTTTTATTTTTGTTTTTACTAACTGAAACAAGGGGGTGCTAAAAGCAAGCCAAAACAAATTAGCATCCTTTCAGTTAGTTTTTGATTATCTGTCTTTATTTGATTTTCCTGTCTTTGCAGTAATTTTTTCTTATCCAGTTATTTGAAGCACTTCAAAAAATGTCAGTGAAATGATAAAATGTAAAAGTTTAAATATTGAATCAACAGTTTAATTTAATAAATTGTCTCAGCGTGAAAAAAGGTCAGTTGTGATGTAAAATAATGAAATCTCACCAGTTATCCTGTTTACATGCAACATTTTGTACAAATTGTTGAGAAATAAGTTGCGTAAACCGTAAAATCAAATAGTTTAATGTTTATGATTTCCTATATGTAAACACATTTGCTCTTTTTCACCTGTAAACTTTATAATGACGTTTAAGTTGACCGTTTATAACAACGATGTTTAATTGGTGATTTTTTTTATGTATTTATTGGAGCTTTGTTGTACATTCCTGACTCCCGCCTCTGATTTATGTAACAGAGTGAGGCCCGCCCACCTGTCCCTTCCCTTTCCTTTGTGGCCAATGAGTTCCAGGAAGTAGACGCCGACAACAGCAGCTAGGCGGCTGCTTTTAGTGGACATAGTGTTTAAAAAGTGCTAAAGGTGCGTTTTTGACACGTTCAGACATGTCCGCCGAGGAAGCGGCGGAACACCCCGCTTTCCTGAAGCTTCTCTCGGCTCTTTTTTACGCCGGTAGCTCGTTTCTGATCACCGTGGTGAATAAAACCGTGCTGACAAGCTTCAGGTGGGTTACGTTGGTCTCGCGCTGTCACCCCACCCCACCCCCGTCTCGCGCATTCATGCACGCGCCCACAAGAAGCTTTAAACTTTTTTTTGTTTGTTTGTTTACTGACGTTCGCTTCTGTTTTGATGTGTTTACAGCTTCCCCTCATACTTATTTCTGGGAATTGGACAAGTAAGTGACGTGTGTTTCCTTTAACTTTCGTTTTAAATCAAACACATTTTTATTTGTTTTGTGCTTCATGCAGATGGTCACCACTATCGTTGTCCTTTATTTGGCCAAGATGAGTAAAACTGTGAAGTTTCAAGACTTTGACAGGAGCGTTTTCTTAAAGGTAAGCACTTTATTTTATTTATACGTTAAAACCCAGCTTCTAAGTAGATGTTTTTGTTTCTTTCTTTTTTATTTTATTTATCTGGGCAGATTTTCCCGCTACCTTTGCTGAATGTTGGGAACCATGTAACAGGACTGGCCAGCACCCAAAAACTCAGGTTTAATTTATTTATTTGAACAATTTACAGGATTTTAGATTGGTAAATCAGTCATGGATCTTCTCAAAAACCTGTCTTTTTTCAGTTTGCCCATGTTTACAGTCTTAAGGAAATTCACAATACTGATGACAATGATTTTGGAAGCATATATACTAAGGTGAGAAACTGATAGTGTGGCACTCTTACTTTATGAAATTTGTGAAATATTTGTCCAGCAGTGACTCCTAATCTTTTCAGCTTCTGATGTTCAAAACGGCGAAGAAGCACAACCTGCTCGTCACTGACTGAAACATACAAATATTAGTAAAGACCTGTGTGTTTTAAATTTTATCCACTCATTTGTTATTTTAAACTTCTGAAAAGTCAAATTGGGACTGGCTAATGGGTGTAGTCCAGACAAACCTTCCCAGAACCATTCTACAGCTCTTCCCAATCCAAAGGCATTCCATGACTATAGAAGCTCTTCAGTTCCTCCTGCAAGTTATGGGTCTGCCCTGGACTTGCCTTCCAGTGAAACAGGAGGTATCCTTGTCAGGTGTCCTGGTAAGGCATCTGAACAACCTCAGCTATACAGTGTAGGTTTTAGGGCATCCTCAGGTCCCAGGAAAACATTGTCAGACATCAGACCATAGAGGAGCAAACCTCAGGTTTTCTTCTAAACCCATCAGACGTCTGGACAAATCAGTGTCCGGAAAAGCTCAGCCAGATCAAATGGATTTAGGGAAAACTGTCAGACCAAACAATAAGTTCTTTGTTTTTCTTTGCAGGAAAACGTTTCCACGGCGTATTGTTTACAGTGTTGTGGCTATAGTCTTTGGTGCCATAGTGGCTGCAAGGTAAACAATACTTTCAGTCTAATCGATCAGGTCTGGCCTGGTTCCAGTTCTGACATAACATTTTGATTCCATCTTCTATTAGCTCTGATTTGGCCTTTGATGTGGAGGGCTACACCTTCATTCTGCTCAATGATGCCTTCACTGCAGCCACCGGTGTTTACACAAAGAAAAAACTTGGAGATCAGGTAGAAGCAAATAATTTTGTGTGTTGGTGCTTGTGTGGTAATTATATTAGCCCTCACTTCCGTGATTGTATAGCCCAGCAAGCAGTCTTATAGAGGGGCATCTGTAGTCTGGCCACTGCCGATAGGGAGAGCTCTGTTGTGGGGTGGAATCTATAGTCGTAATAGGGAGCCTAAGTCACGCCCATCTACTTCCGGACCATGGGTCCCCAGAAGTACGATAAAATAAATGCAAGTCAACAGGGCTAAAAGAGCTATTTTCTAACCGCTTAGCATTACGCACTGGATCGCACATAAGTTGCGCTGCAATTTTATGGAAAAATAATGTTGGTCATTTGACCACACCAGTTCGTTGAACTTACAGCCATTTTCCATTTGTTTTCTTCTTGTCTAGTTCGATGACGTCACTTTTGTGAAGCGCATTTGTAGTCCTGGACTTATTTTCACACAAAATCTAAAATAGCTTTTCCCCCTGTTCGAAAATAAGCCCGTTCTTGGTATCAAAAAGCTTCTTTAATATTCACGGACATCATATGTGAAATCCATGAAACATAACAAGCAGAATTGGAAAAGAGCATTTTTAGCCTTGTTGACTTGCATTCATTTTTTTGTTCTTCCAGGGACCCATGGTCCCGAAGTAGATGGGTGTGATTTAGGCTCCCTATTCAAATTGACTCCACATGCTATTGGACAACAAACAACATGATGTACTCACCTCTACAGAGGTCAGTCAACAGGGCAGTCTGCATTACACTGTCAAAGAAGATGCAGATGCATCCTTTTTCTAAATAAAGGACTTAAGGACTTCTATCTGCTCTTGACCCAAAGAAAAGCCCAACTCTAAAAAGACCAAAGTTGATGCCCAAACCGTTTCAAAAGAGCCATCACCATCTTGTTCCACTCAGTCACATCTTCCCACCCTTTAAAAACCAACAGAGCGCTGTGATTGGCATGACACAATACTGCTTAGGCTAATGGTACACCTGCTGAGGTTCCAGTGAAGCGTGGCTAGACCAACATCCACAGCAAAAATCATTTTGCTTCGGCAACTGACGGTCTAGATTTCTAGGCTGGTAGTCATAGCATAGCACAATCGTTTTTTAAATTACTGTTCATTGTTTTTACAGTTTATCTACAGATATTAGACAAGGGTTTCTGGATCAACTTTTTATTTTTTTGGACCTATGTAATATTTTCACTTATTATTTTCAGGAACTTGGAAAATATGGCGTCTTATTTTACAACTCTCTGATCATCGTCTTCCCCACTATTTTGGCGAGTGCGCTCACCGGAGATTTACATAAGGTAGAAAGACCACCTGTAGCAGGTTTTGTCTGTGCTCCAGAGCTGAATGCTCTTTTTATCTGACCACCTTCTTTGTGTTTTTAACTGCAGGCGGTCACGTTTAGGGACTGGGCCAAAGTCACTTTTGTTATATGTTTCCTGATGTCCTGCTTCATGGGGTTGGTCACTATGATCCAATTTGAACTACTTGGTCGCAAACATCTTGTTACAGCTCTTGTTATGTTTGGTATTTTTCAGGTTTGTGCTGATGTACTCCATTGTTCTCTGTAGCTATTATAACTCAGCACTTACTACCACAGTAGTCGGAGCCATAAAGGTAAGAACATGCTGGTAAAAGTTGGATTATTGCCCTTAATGGGGGGAAGGATTTGCCAGCCCTTGCAACAGAAATCAACAATGATGCATGTGATCACCTCGGAGGTTTTAACTCTCATCTGGTTCCTGCAGCTATTTGAACAAAGCTCATAAAAAAGCTTTTAGACAGCTTTTGGACAATGTCCGTACAAATTCAGCGTCATGCAAATGGTTTGAACCCACTAACTTCTTTAGACCGTGCTTCCAAGGAGCCATATTGCATTGTAATATGAGAAAGGGGTTTTGCTCATTATTGGTCAAACAGTTTATTTATAGAGCACATTTCATGCAGCAGTGTGCAATGTAAAGTGTTTTTTGGCAAACAAAAAAAAAAAGAATATATCAAAGTTCATTTAGATCTGATTTAAATCGGTTTTAGTGCTGTATCGATGGCACTGAACCCAACACTTACATTGTTCTTGGTTCAGGTTCATCTTATGTTGGTGATTCAGAGCTCTTACACTAAAACCCGGTTTACTCTGCAAGATCATTTTGCTAAGTTTTGACCCAATTGCCCCCTTCCGTCCATCTTAAGAACACCCCTGATTACCGAAGTGGTTTTAGAAATAATTGTATCTCATTTCCTGCCCCGTGTGTGGTGTGCTAAGAGTGCTCAGGGGCCTCGTTTATCAAGCTTGCTTACGCACAAAACGGGGTCAGAAAACTGCGTAAGCAACTTTCTACGCAAACTTTGGGATTTATGAAAGAAAATTTAGCGGAAAAATGTGCGCAACTAAGGACCTGGCTTACACACATTTTGGACATGGAGAGCACCTGCAGTGCTGCTGCTGAGGATAAAATTATGAAATCCTGCAACATTATCACTTGTACTGCTTTGTTTTCACACAGAACAAGACCCCCACACGCATGCTAACAGCCTGAAGCGCAGAATACAGAATGCAGATTATCAGCAGGGGGGCAGATTGAGACGGAATGTCATGCGTCTGTGACAGTGTGTCCTGTCACTGTGACCCGATTGATCATCCGCTCTGGCTACTTAGTCAAGGGAGATTTCCGTTTGGCTGACTGGTTAGCGCGCGCGACTTTCACTCGGGGGTCTCGGGATTGAATCCCAATCGGACCAATTTTTTTTTATATCCGCCACAGATCTCTCTGAAGAACTCAGCATTGACGGCTTCAGCAACGCTGTGCCACTCTGTGGATTTTCAGTATTTGTTTTGCATTTCTCCACCTCACCCACAGGTACCTCAATTTCTGCTTCTGTGAAATAGCGCTTCCTTGATCTGCCTTGATCTACGGTCGCCATCGTCATTGGCGGAGCGCCGCAACAGCTGGCTTATGTATATGCATGAGATCCACAAGGCACTTTGCATTGACTATTTATGGCAGTAAGTGGGCGTGGTGAGGGCGGGATGTGACTAAAAAGCAGCTGAGAACCTTTCTAGATAGTTTCTGATTTATGAAACGGAGATTGCGTGCAGCTGTGCGTACTCCATGTTTGACAGATCACAAACCTGCTTGGCATATGTACTTTTTTTTTTTTTTGCTGAGCTCAAGTACGGTTTTAGGAAGGATTCAACGCAATGTTTGATAAATGAGACCCCCGGTCTTCTACAGAGCACATCGGCACCATTTCGTTAATAAATTGGAGATAATAACCATGGTCAGATTTTGAGGACAAATGAGTGTGCTGCTTGATGTACGGGACGTGTAGCCAATCAGTGAAGTGACTCAAGCGGGCTGTAGACTCCTCTTCTGCCATGTTTGTTTTATCCAAAGTCAAAAGGTTTGCCATCTGACCGGTGAAAGTTCATGTGTGAAATTGATTCATGTGTAGTGTGTAGCTTTTGCCATGTCGCCGCACACAGGAGCTTCAAAAGTGTTTAATCTGTGATTTTCCATGACCGTGTGTTGGGTCGCAGGTTTTGAAATTTTTCTGACAATTTTAAAATGCTGTTGTGTGAATTGGGCCTTACTGGCTTAATATGCAAATCCTCCTAAAATTCTCACCAGACTTAAAATAAGTGCAAATGCAGCCAAAATTCCCCCCAACAAACCCTAAACTATTGATCAAATAATGACAGAACTGTGAAACAAGTGTGGCAGTGTGGGCGTCCTGTCACTGTGTCCCGATTGATCATGCGCCCTGGCTACTTGGCCAAGGGGATGTCCCTTTGGCTGACTGGTAAGCGCGCATGACTCTCACCCAAGAGTCTGGGGATCGAATCCCGCCCGGGGCTCTTGTTTCTCCACCTTGCCACACAAGCTAGCTTTTAAACACGGTCACAGAACTCTCACACGTCCAGTTGGCTGTCATCCATAGGCCACGCCCACCTGATACCTGAGTATGCACTGCCACAGTAAACGAGAGACAAACTGCTAGGGGTTGTATCGACTAGTCGACTTCACTGCTCTGTAGTGACTTTTTATGCCTTTCATAGACTAGTCGCTGTCACGTGATAATGACCGACAAGATGCAGTCCTCGGAAAAGACAGCAGGTGGCGAGCCCCTGCGCGTCGGGAGCAGGCGCGCTGTGCCAGAGCGTCAATATCTGACGCCCGCAGTAAAACGGACGTTTGACCGAATTGTGACCTTTTCCCTTTTGCAAATTAACCTTCCCCTCTCCCCAATCTTAACCAGCTTGCACATGCAAAGCTCTGATCGTTGATGCGCTGCTGACATCTGCGTCCTGAGCACAGCCACAGTAAAATTATCAAATTAGGTGTCACCACCTCAAAAACAAATTTAACACGCGATTGTTCATGTCGGCTCATTTCCTTTTATGTTTTCTGTCTTTTATTTGTGCCTGATGCGTTTCGCTGCTGTGGAGCGGGGCACATCACCTGTTTTGTCCTCCGGTGACGCACCTCACCGGTGCGGCCAGCGCACACTCGGCTGTTTTTGCGGTCGGTAGATCTTTTAGAACTGCAGTTCAAAGGTAATTCATAAGGTGAATATATATGAACCCAGGTAGCAGTTTTTCTTTAGGACTGAGAGGAGATGCAGGAAGATAATAAACAGACAGGACAGAAAAATAGTCAAATAAAAAGTTTTGTTTTTGTACCTGGTGGTTGCAACAAACCGACTCCATTGAAGGTAATCAGAAGTGAGGAACAGAAAATGAAATAATTTTAATGTTTAGAGCAGTAGAAACTCTGAGAGGCTGCAGGCGCATCAGTGAGTTTGCGGCCGCACGTAGGGGGAGGGGGGCGAGGGTTGTAAGCAAGGGAACAGTAAAGATGTAAAAACTACCGTTGTTGAAATAAATGTTTAACTTTGAAAATGTGGGTGCAATTTTGATTGTCAAAAACTCCCGCGAACCAACCCGCTTCAGGTGTATGACGTCCTCAACGACTAGTCAGTAGACTAGATTTTCATTACTTGACTGTCGGCTTCAAAAAATATTAAGTCATGCAGCCCCTACAAACCACCAGTCGCCATTTTCTTGGTACAAACATCTCTTGTTGTCCGTGACTTCAAATGATGTTTTTCTTTTTGGGTCTCCGGTAGTTCGTCCTGAAGTTGAAGTGGTAGCAGCTGGCTGTTTCTCCTCCTTTATTATTGAGCTGTGACCCTCCCACACCAGTGGTGTTCTGTTGAAAAATGTGCGAGTGGGGGACCTAGGTACATGGTAAAGTGCAGTGGTTGGGTGAGGCAGACAACCGGGTGGTCCAATAGTGGATTTCAGATCAGGCCATGTTATTGGCTGAAGTTTTTGAAAAATACGATAAAACCACATCAAGAATGTTTTTGTTGTTGTTTATCTCTACAATATATTTGTAGCTGTGCAACGTTATGATGTTAAGAGGCACGGAAAAAATGTTTTAAACTAGCTTGTTTTGCGTATTTCCCATTGTATCTTTAATGGCGTACAATACTTGAAAACAATTTTAAAGGAAGATAGAAATTTCCAATAATTGTTTTTATGAACTTTTATGTTCAAATTGATGAATTCACCAAAAACAATGCAACCCCCCTCCTCAAAAATCGCACATTCCCCTTTACTGAATGATTTTACTAACGTTCCTTTTATTTACACATTCCTCAGAATGTTGCTGTAGCTTATGTCGGCATCTTCGTGGGTGGAGATTATATTTTCTCCTGGAAGAACTTCCTTGGACTCAGCATCTGGTAGGTCTGTCTACTCCAGTTTAGTTGTCTTTACGGTCTTTCTGAAAGGTTGCATTTACATATTGCTCTGCGAATTTCAAGATATTACATTTCTCATTATGTATTGATATTATTTTCCCCAGCATGTCAGGTGGACTCGTATACTCATATCTCACCTTTGCCAACGACAAATCCCCTGGAACTACTGTCGAAGGACCACAAGAGCTGAAAATTGACGTTACTGAAAATTCACCAAGAAAATGTTGAACAGATGTTAAAATTCACCACTAGGTGGCATTGTTCTGCTTCACATTGAAGCATGATTCTGCACTTGTGTAAAAACAAATTAAACCCAAATTGGTTTTTAAGTTCAATTCCAAAACCTTGAATAAATCACAAACTGTGCATCCAATTCAGTGAATGTTTATTGATCAATGATTTAACAGTGTGGACAACCTGTCTGAGAAACCTTTCAACATTTGTAACGGCTACTAGCAAGGATCACTCTATACACTCAACATGGAGGATGATAGAAGCAAAAGTAAGAAACTAAAACTTCAAAGCTTTCTGTAAATAGTGTGCATACTCGGCTTTTCTAAGTAATATAAAAACACTAATTTATATATTAAATGCCTTAATTTTTTTACAACATCAACCAGACTAAAGGGTTAGAATTGGTTTCAAATATTCTAGCTTTGGGCGTGATAAATCGTTTTTCTTTCAGATTATCAGCTATTTATTTGCCTTTTAGGATAATTTGTCTGATCCAAACAGGGCATTGTACAGTGTTGAAACATGTAGTGTTGCGTTAAGATAGTAATAATTAAAAACCACCCAGCACTACGGTTTATATAACAGACAAAAACTGCATTGCAAGCTTAATCCAAGAATTTAGTTTGTGTAAGTGCTTCATTTGGATTATTTTCTTTGTGGAAATTAAACAAGTTTGATATTTTAAAAAGTTGAGTATTTTGTATAGAATGATCTGAAAGATTCGATGATATGGAAGCAAAAAGTATGGAAATGTTTCTGTTTTTAGGCAAAAATAAATCTTTTACGCATGTTTTATATTAAAGGTTATGTTCTAAAAGTAGAAATTTGACCACAAAACAAGAATCTCTAAACAGGAAAATCCGACCAGAGTGCTTTGGTCTGCATGATCAGATATCTGGATTAGGCTTGCAATGATCTCTTATTTGCGTATAAAAATGACCCACATGATGACGGACTCCATCACTGCTTGCCCACTTTTTAAACAGAGTAGTAACAGTGAGGTTAGAACTGTTTCACACGTTTTCAGTTTCTTTCCATGACCGCTGCTTTCGCCAGCAGCGGGAAAACTGTCCGTAAAGCGCCGGAGATGAAACCTGGAAAGCAACACATTTTCTTTCTCTGACCACACCCTGTATCATTCTGTTCATCTGAGCTTAATCCATATATACATCAGTTAAACACACTTATTCTCACAATGTACTTAAAAAATGAAAAACCAAAACTCGTTACCAAAGTGCAAACAAATCAATTAAAAATAGGCCATCTTTCTTTGCCTTTAGAAGGCAGAGGAGAACGAGACATTCTTCATATTGTCAAACCTACAATTATAGCAGCTGAAAAGGATAAAATGGAAGCTGAATAAGGTGCTTTAGCTTGTGCCTTTCCTGGTGTCGTGTAAAGGGGAGGAGACGATTCTGTGCATAACACTGATCTCGGGCCAATTCAGCTTCTTTCTCAAAGTCTGGTTTCACAACTTAAGAGTAAAAACTAGTCGTCGATCTGCGTTTATGAAGAACTTTTAGCCACTGCAGGAAGGCAGATTAGAGATGGAGAACTGAAGGACGAGGTCCTTTAGGCAGACAGGTTGTTGGCCAGCTCAATGAGGGCCAAAGCTCCATGGAGACGCTCCCGCTGCTCCTGAAGGCGTCGCTTGGCCGCTCCTCCCTGGGTGCCTTTGTCCTCCTCTATGACCTCCTCTTCTTCATCAGATTGGAGGAACTCCATGGGATCCTGCTGTTCCTGGTCCTCGGCGTTGCCCTTCCCCGGTGGCTTCTCCTTGGTGGTTGGAGGGGTGCGCTGTTCGCGGGTCTGCCAGTACCTAAGAGGACAAGACAGAGGAGGTCGTTTAGAAACACATAGGCGAAGTAAAACCTCAAAGGAGCCACCGTTTCTGAACTCACTCACTTTGCCAGCCACTCGGCCACAGCCTTGTTATCCACAGACTGGGCCTTTCCTAGACCCGTCTTCGGTTCCTCCCGGTTCAGACGAGAGAAGGGATGCTTGGGGCAGTGACGGTTGGCGTGTGTGAACCGACTGCCGCATCCTGTACAGAAACCAACAAACACACATAAATGCAACTAAACAAAGCTCTTTCTTTGGGACTTTTTAAAAACTACCTTTTAGTGGTAGTAGTATTAAAGACCGTGTTTACAATAGCAATGGGTACCGAATTAGGTACTTTTTAAGGTACCGACTGAATTCCATAGTACCAACTGAGCACCGATTCACATCATTTGAAACGGTGCCTCGTTTCGGTACCCGTCCTTCATAACGAGAACTTGCCTAGACAGCTGCGCATGCGCAAGAGCGTTACGTCGGTCGCTGCGAGCGAGTTGTAAACAGAGCAGCATGGTAGAAAGAACGCACGCTAAAGCTTGGGTCCACTTCACTAAATGTTGGGTGATGATGAAACCAGCGACAACGATCTAAGTGAGACATCCTCATCTTAATCTGCTCCGGTAGGTAAATAAAATGTTTAAGATAATGTTAGCTTGATATGTTAGCTTCCGTTCCGCTAACGGTGTGTTCGCTTTCTCCTCGGAACTCCGAATTTCCGACTAGAAGAACATGAACGCGCTCTAAAGTTTGGCTTCACTTTACTAAATGTGACGGGTGATTGGGTGAAGATGAAACCAGCGACAACGATCTAAGTGTGAGGCATCATCGTTTTAATCAGCTCCAGCAGCTAAATAAACTGTTTAAGATAACGTTAGCTTGATAAATTAGCTTCCTATGCCACCATTGATATCAGCTAATGGTGCGTTCGCTTTCTCCTCGGAAATTCTAACTTTCCAGTAGGAAAAATCAAATGAAAAAGGACGGCAAAAGGAATGAAGATGCACAGTAAATTTAGTTCACAGTGAAGATGTTTGCTTCAGTTTAATTATCAGCTTATAAAACTACAAGGACGATGTTAAAATACAAACAGTTGTATGTTATTTATCGTGATATTTATCAAATATGGTTATATATTGAGAAAAATATGTATTTTATTATAAAACAGAATTAAAATATTAAACACTATAAAGTATCTAAAATTGGTACCGTTAAGTACCGGTATCGATTCCTAGGTACCGGGAATTAGTACTGAATCGATTCAAATGTCAAAGGTACCCATCCATTAGACTATTAATTTGGTTTCTCTGGTATTTTTCAAATGCTCATAGAAAACACCCACCACCACTGTTTAATACGACCAGAAAGTACCCAACATGACCAAAAGTGAAAGTTGACAAAACCCTTGAGAATCTAACACCATTTTTTTGTTGGAGACCCAACGGACCTTTCTCTGAGCAGACGAAGGGTTTTTCCCCGGTGTGGAGCCGCTGGTGGGTCTTCAGCTGTCCACTCTGCACAAATGCCTTCCCACAGTTAGGGTAGTCACACAGATATGGCCTCTCTCCTAGAACACAGAGTTTACGATTAACAAAGCATTAGAAATGCAACAACCAGGAAATCGGTGTTGGGTCACTCAAGAATTGTTTTTCACATCATCATTTCACATTTTTCGTTACTCTAAAGGTATTATTTACTGGACTTTTGCTTGTAAACAACCACCAGTCTCACCTGTGTGGGTCCTCTTGTGGGCCTGCAGCGACTTTTCCCTGGGGAACACCCGGTTGCAGATGTTACATCGGATCCGGCTGGAGGACGTTTCTCCCTCGTTTATTAACTCCCGAACTGTGTCAGCTCTTGGCCGGCCTCTGCGAATACCATCCTTGAAAAAATAAATAAACAGAACTTTTAAATTGTCTGAGGTTAAAACCCATGGGGTGTCATTTGTAAAGTTAGCCAGTCATAACTTAACAGCAGTGTTTTGGGTTGTTTAGCATGGGATCTAAACCTAAATAATGATTCTGCAAACTAAATGTTTAGTTCCTAAATAAATATTTATGTAGTAAATTTATAAATTATTTAGTAAATTAAAGAATTATTTTAAAAACTAAATATTTAGTTAAAACATTTATCTCCAAGTTAAATATTCAGCTTGCTATCTAAACATTTAGTTGGGAACTTAAACATTTATAAATGTATGAATAAAACGGTGAAAATATGACTTTGAAAAATGAACCCCCATTCTTTTTAAATCACGATAAGCTAAATAACCCCAAATACTGCTGTTAAATTAGGACTGTTTGGCATTACAAATGGCGCCCCTTACAAATTCCACAATTCTAAACATAATAAACATATAATTATGCAGATTCACTCCATTGTTTCCACGGATGAGCTCAAGTGTAACACAAAATGCAGGTTCTGTGCATTGTAACGCCATCACATCCGGTTACATTTTTGGCGCGCGCCTACGCGTCATACCCCAGCAGCTGCTGCGGAACCAGGAAGTGAACGGGGTTTAAAATCCAGAATGTCACACCCTAATGCGCGGGCGTTTTTTAAAGGACTTTCCATCTTAGTCGTTTTAAAGTCGAGTGTGAATAAAAAATTTCAGCCTCAGATGTTCGCACACATTCGTTTTTCTTTTTGATATCCACAGATTATTAATGATTACTTCATTAGATAAGTTATCAGCACGTGCTTTGCCTTTATACACCTGTTTTAAAGTGTTCTAAACGTGTTGTCAGCAGTATCACTCTGTTATTGATGACTAGACATTTTTAATAGTATTTAGAGTGCACATAATCTCTGGTAGTAGTAGGTTATATGCTGTAATGTACACATTTAAAAGGAGAATGTTTCTACCTTGATCTGGTCAGGCGACGGGGCCGTGTCCGCCTCCATAGCTGTCTGAGTCCCGGTAGGAGACGCAGCCCCGCTCCCTGAGCCCGGACTCAGGGTCACATTGTGGGCGTTCTCTCCCCATTTCCACGGGTACACCATGAAGTCGCTGAACCCGGGACTGGTCGGCGTCAGGGCCTCTGCTTTTCTAGGTTTGATCGGGGTCGTCTTGATAACAGAAACCAGAACTCTTTTTGGTGAATCGTTGCAGAAGATCACATGCGGGTGCTTGTTCTCCGCCATTATAAATAAATAATTATGAAGGAAGAAGCGCGATTCTCCGCAGAGGTAAACTAAAATTGTTACAATTACTGTTGTTTGATACGTAGTACTATGTTATAGCGCGGTTTTTCAGTCCGGGGTGAATATGTCCTTCATTTCCAGAGAGGAGCACAAAAAAATCCGTCCTTTTCTTCAAAGTATCCGCATAAGTTGGATAAATGAGGGCGTAAAGTTTACTTCCATCCACAGCGGTTCATTTGAACTAACCTGTGTGAGCCCACAGAAGCTTTGTCCCGCGTTGCAAAATCGCGCCTGTGCGGTTAACAAACCAATAGAGATACAGGGATGGAAACCCACGTGACTAAAACAACCAATAATTGTGCTTCTAGTCAACCCCTTTAACCAATAACAGAACAGGAAAGGGCGTGTGCCGCTGGACGGATTCGTCCAATGGAATTTAAACACCCTAAGCGGGCACTACTGATTGACATTGATATTGACCAATCAGAGAGAGCCTAACTCATTCCGTAGCCAATGACAATGACGGGCGGTTAAATCAGAGGAGCAGATGGCTGTTTCCCGCGCTGAAGTGTTTATGTTATTACATGTTTTGTCGCTTTAAAGGGAACGAAAAAACCCAGAGGCGCGAACGTTACGTAATCACCTTGCAGCGGAAATACTTAGACAAAGAGTGTGCTGTATGAGAAACAGAAACTAGTCAGAAAGTCGTTGGTGGTGGATTTACTTAATTACCCATAAAACATACTACCTAAAAACCATCTTAAAAGGTGGAATTTTTCAAGTAACTTTATTCACAAATACAAACTGTGTTATACACAAATGTAGTAAATAAAGTACCTTTTTGTCTGTGCAAACCAGGCTTTATCACACATTTTAATACATAATTTTGCCAAATTTCAATGCTTTATTACTTTGATGTCATTCACAAGAATAATGACTAATCAAGAGAGAGCTTCAAATTCTTTACTTACTCAGATTCTGAGTCAGCAGCTAATGTTAACAATCTTATGAAAGAATTAAATAAATGAAAATATCCACATATTGTGAATAACTGTTTTGCTGCTGATCTATAATCTCCTGTGTATGAGAATTTGTTTTTTGTTTAAATGAAAATAACTCAGTTATTTTTTTCAGAGTTCCTTGCCCAGCTCATTACTGAATTAATTGCTTTGTATAAAAAATAAAACTCATTATTTCACACACATCAACCAGACTTAAAGTTCCCACCTTGACCACTAGATGACGCTAAATTTCACCCAAATTGTCAGTGAATGGAACAGTGAAACTGGGTGATGTTAGCCTAGTGAACTAGACCAAATTCTTGCTTTGCAAAGAATGGTCTAGGCATGCTCCATTGGAACCTCAGCAGCTCCTACCAGGACTCTGGCTAGCCAGTCACAGATCTCTAGAGGGGTTTCAAACACATAAAGAGCTGTGATTGGTCCATATTGGTGGGCCAATCATAGTGCTCTATCTGCTTATTGAACAAATCACAGAGCTTTATCCGCTTTGTGGGCCAATCAGGGCACTCTATACTCCTGGTGGGTGGGATGATGCAACAGAGTGAAACAAGAGTATGTCACATTCATTGTCCAGTGGAATGCGGAGATCATTTGAAAGACAACGGTAGAACCCGCCCCACAACCGAGAGCCGTCAATGGAGCATGGCCAGACTAAATAATACATTTATTTAGTCTGGCTTGCCAGGCTAGGGTGATGTGGTTTACCGACTAGAATGATAGCAATGTTCAGATGGTCATTTATCTTACAATCATACAAAAATCTTAAACACAAACTTATTCTGGTTGTGCAGCGCACCAGGCTGAAGACCATTAGCTGCTATGGCCCCCATGGAACTCTCTCCCTCTGACCCCGAGATCAGTGGACTCAGTGGTCTCCTTCAAAAAAGCAGCTGAAAACTCACCTGTTCAAGCTGGCTTTTCCGAGTCCTTCATCACTACCCTGTTCTTATTCAGCTCTTTCCACCAAACCCGCCTTTCCCGGGATCCACTGATTACCTTTCTTATTCATTTTCTCTTTCCCTTTCCTTACATTTTTTTAGTCACTATTTTTCCCTATATATATATATATATATATATATATATATATATATATATATATATATATATATAATCCTTTTAACAAAATCTTTATTTTTTTATAATGTTTTTGTACTTGTGAAGCAATCGTTTTCTTTCTTGCAAGTTTAGTCAGATTTACCTCCAGTTATTACTGACATTAAAACAAAATATATATCTATAATATAAAATGTAGTCAATTGTATTAGAGTAACTTCAATGACTGAAATCAAAACAATATGCAAGTTATTTGCAACACTAAATCACAGGAGCATACAATCTATAGATGTCAAAAACACAAAAAAGAAGTGGTCAAAACTATAATGATTTTAAAATGTAATGATTTGAACAAATAAAGAGACTTTAATGTAGGGCTGCACAATATTAGGAAAACCTGCGATATGCAATATCAGTGATTAATATTGTGATGACGATATTACTTGCAATAAATAAAAACAACTCCAGGAACAAAAATAATCAAAAACAAAGAAATAAAAAATGACAAAAAAAATGATGTGAAGAAAGGGAAAAAGAAAATGAACAAGAAAAGGCAATCAGTGGATCCCGGGAAAAGCAGAATCAGCAGAAAGAGCAGAACAAAGCTAACTCAGGTGTTTGCTAACCATCAAAATTAAGTGCTGTCTGCTTCGGGGGCAGGCATCTGACCTCTAAGAACCCACCCAATTGGTCAAATCGGTGAAGAGCTCTATTTGATTTGTTAAAAAAGCATCATGCTTCCATTTGATTGACAGAATGCATTATGTGTAGCAAACATTTGAGCTGACCATTCATTGCGATATTTGTCTGTTCTTTGCGATATGCAATTGGGCATGCTGATATCACGATAACGATATATATTGTGCAGCACTACTTTATTGCAATATAAGAAAACTGAAAATAGAATGTTCAACAAGATTTTATCTGTTTTGTTGCATTTTTAAAAAATCACAATTTACAAGCTTTGAGTACCAAAGCTGCTCTTGAATACGAATTGTGCGACTGCGGTACTTGTGTCCTCCACCAGATGCCAGAAGACAGGAGTGATTCATGCATGGTGGCGCAATTGTTAGCACTGTTGCCTCGCAGCACGAAGGTTGCAGGTACGAAACTCGGCAGCGGCCTTTCTGCGTGGAGTTGCGTGTTCTCCCCTTGCATGCGTGGGTTTCCTCCGGGTACTCCGGTTTCCCCCCACAGATCACAACATGCCCTATAGGTTATAAATTGTAAGTCGCTTTGAATAAAAGCATCTGCCAAATAAATAAACATAAACATAAGATTCAGTGTATTCTTTTAATACAAAAATATGTTGTATATAACATGGAGTCATTTTCGCTATGCTCTAATGGGAAACAGGCTTCAACACAAATGGTTGTTTTTCGCTTGGTCCTAGAGCTCAACCAGTGTCAGTTTATTATAGCGTAATATTGTTTTTGGATGGTGAAAAGTGCAGGGGTCAAAACTTGACTTTGGAAAAAGTGGGCCTTGCCCGTCCCCCCCACTCCCCCCAAAAATATTACGTCCGTGTGTAAATATGTTCCAAAATGTCACAAACATATTATAATGTTCCTATCCATCCTTGCTTCACAGTTCGACCACCAGAGGATGACTAAGCAGAGAATCTCCAGACTCTGGCACGATTTGAGCCAAACAAGCTCTCGCAGCACATATCGATCGGAGATCAGCCCGTTAATGAGCGCGTGGGAGTGTCGTTTCCGCACGTGCAAACAATTAAAACTGGCTGGTAACAGGAGCGGAGGCTCGGCTCGTCTTTCCCTGCAGCTGGACGGTAAAACGGTGTCTGAGTGTTAATTCTCTGTTTAAGTTTCATGTGTCGAGGAGAAGTAAGCAGCTTTTAACTCTACTTTTATCCTCCAGACGCGCTAAAAAGATGCTGCCGGACGCCTTCGGGTGCGCTGTGGCCAACAGGTTCGGGGATCTTCTCGACGACGACGACGCTGATCCTTTCGACCTGATCAGCGAGGCGGAGAAGAAGAAAAAGAAGAAGGGAGAAGAGGACAAGAAGAACAAACAGAAAAAGCCCGGACAGAGAGAATCCCAGCGGGAGAGACGCGTCCCAGTCGCTTTAGAGGGCCAAGAGCCGGTTCCAGGTGAGCTGCTGGGTTTATTCTCGACCCATGAGGGCCACAATGTTCTGTTCTGGCAGATTCTGGATCTGTCCAGGTTCTGTCAGCTGCTGCATGATGAAAGGTCAGCAGGGCTGCAGTGAGTTGGTGGCCAAACCTTTTTACCATCTAAACGACAAACTTATGGATCCAATCATTTAAACGATGGGCCTATAATGAAATACCTGGCTACTTACTTTCTATGTGCATCACAACAGATTAAATAAAAAAATGATACTGCACTTTTCCCCTGAAACAGACATACATTTTTGAGGGGGATGGTGTAACGGGTGTCTAAACATAAGTCGATGCTTTTCTAACTTGGACTTGTCCTCAGCACATAAACAGCCAGCATGTCCTGCAGTGACGGAGAGCAGAAATGGCAGATTTGAGGCTCACAGGAACACGAAGAAAGCTGCAGCTGTGCAACATAAAGCCAACCAAGAACCTCTGGAGTTCTCCGTCCCCAAGTATGTTTGTTATCGAGGAGAAACTAAATCTGCATTAAGAGATCCTTATTTTTTTCATCCTCTTTTCCAAATAAAAGTAAATGTCTTCTGAACAGATCATAGCAGCAGATTTCAGATTAAAGTAGGGCAGGCTATTTTCAACAACCACACCTCTTTGTAATTCCTATTTTACATAAATACAGATCATTCTAGTCCAAATGGTTTTCTTTGGGATCAAATGGAAAATTAGGGTTTGCTGTTGTTTACAAGTAGAAATTATATTTAAGAACATCAACAACCGCTCCAGTTACATCTCATAACCTCTAAATATTTGGAAACGAGTTGGTTTAAAATATATATTTTATGCATCTTAATGTTCAAACATAGTACAGCTATAAATGTGTTGAGACTGAAACAAAAAAAAAGGAAGTTGTTCTCTTGCAGTTGTCCAAACTTCCACCAATAGCACGTTCACACCAAAAGCAACTTTAGGACCATATGGTTCTGTCTTGCAGAACCACCACACATCCCCCGGTCCTCCATTCATTATGCGCTCGCGTATTTAGCAACAAAACACCACAGCTGTGAGGTTCTTGGCTCAGTAACAGAGGTGAAACAGTCGGCTGCTACCACTTCAACTTTAGGACAAGCTACCAAAGAACCACCATTTGAAGTCGCAAACAAAAGATGTTTGGACCTAGAAAAGGGTCAGTGGTGTTTAGTGCCCTCTCATTTCCTCTGGCAATCCGAGTTTCTGGTTCCGGTGGATGCAGAACCAGTGAAGATACCTGAGAGTAGGGGTGAGTGTTTTGTTTACATTTAAAAACCTAGCTTGTTTGCAGATTTGCTATTACACCTTTAACAACCTAAGGTGGCCGTTTTCATATCGGACTGGAAACTTATTCTATACATCTACAAATCTCTTATTTGTTGTGGTGGGCCGTGTCCTATTGTTCATACTATCGGTTGTTTTCTTGCCCAGGAAGTGGTCCACCTGTCTGATTTCTGTGAACTACACTGAGCTCTAGACATGAACAGCTGGGGTGCTGTTCTCATTTTACTCATCTAAAGAACACGTTAAGCAACAGACAGATGCAGCGTATAAGCTTGACTCTCTCATATTCCAGTCAGAATTGACAAAGCTCCTCAGATGAGAAGTCTTCAAGAAACCAAAGAAGTCCAGTTGCCTTCATCCGAACCCCTTTGGATTACCATGACCCCGATCACTGAGAACCTTCACCAGCGTTTGTACTAGGAAAAGTTCAATTATAAAGCTAAAAAGAACCCCCCCCAGTACAAATTAAGTTTCAGCTATCCACAATGTCCATTGTGTAATCTGGAATGTTAATTTGTACTACGACCAGTACATATTTAGATATCTGCCTGATATCAAAACAGCTTGCCATATTTAGCTGTATTGTTTCTACTGTCAGATCCTCCTATGATGACTTTGACTTCAGCAGCACAGCGGGCAGCAGAGGTAGGAGGGGAACAAGAGGGTACGCAAGGAACTCTGATAACTTTACTATGAGAGGCAAGAGAGAATTTGATCGGCATGATGGAACGTAAGGCGCTCTGACCATGTAGTTTAAAAAGCTTCCCATTGTTGCACGAAGAGTCATTTCTGATGTAATAATTGCAGGGGTATGGCTACAGAGGAAAAGAGAGGAGGCAGAGGGCCCTGGAACTGGGGCAGCGTTGAGGAAGCTGCAAGGTTGGTGAACTTTAACAAGGAGGTGACTGCTTGTTTGTTCTGGTACAATTCATTTATTTTATATATACATGTGTGTATATATATATATTCCAAGTGAATTGATGGAAGTGACATCCGAAGCTGCTGTGAGGCCAGAGGACCCCCCCACTCCCTCAGAGGAAAATCCAAATCCGTGAGTTGCATCAGTATTAATCTGGTCGAAGAAGTCTGATTTGATGTGAACTTGATTTATTTTTTATTTACATTTTGTCACCATTTATGAAAGAACTGATGAAGACAATGAGGTGGTGGTCCAGGTTGCCATGGAAATGACCCTGGATGAATGGAAGGCCATGCAGGAGACAAGTCGTCCCAAAGCGGAATTTAATATCCGCAAAGCAGAGGACAAGATTCCCTCCAAAGCAAAGGTCATCCACCAGTCCAAGCACCTGGAGGTGAGGGTAGAATTCAGCCGGTTTCATAGAACAACGGCGCCACAAAGCCGATGCGGCTTCAGAGTCTGTGGCGGTAACGCGGGGTGATCACAACAGGTTCTGCAACAGATTGTGACAGCGGTACAAAGGGGGTGGGTTGGTTTTTATCCCGATTGAAGCTAAGCTCCGTTTTCTTCACGAGTCGTTCCATAAGGTGGCCTTCACATTCCCCATGAATTGTCTGGTGATCTGTTCATCGCTTAATGGCCAGAAGCTCATGGATCTCTGCATTCTCCAGTTTGTCTTATCAGCTGATACTCCAAATGAACACATATTAAAATATCACTGTGCTTCAAGCAGGACTTGCACACCTTTGGACAAAATGGTCAAAGACTGTAGTAAAACCCACCTGTTCACTAGGGCTGTCACAATAATCGCAAGAACAATATATCGCGATATTAAGAAACCCACCGCACTGCATGATGTGCCACCGCAATTACCGCACTTGATTAAATCTCGCGACAGCGCATGCTGAGAGGTAAAGTCCGCGCTGATCGAGGAGATAGTAGGGCACTTTTTTTTTTATTTCTGTTAGATGTTGCAGCCAAATTTGCATTTCAAAGTTAAACCTCCTGAATGTTGTTTTTAAGTTCCGTCAGAGAATGCCGTTACTGCCCTTTGATCTGCATTCAATAAAGTGTTAAAAATGGCCATGTATTTTTTTCTAACATTTTTTAAATGTGTAAGCACAATGTTTCAAAGGAAATATTGCCATGAGTTTAGTAATTAACAAACAAATTTGCTAAGTACATAAATAAAAACGAGGTGCAACAATATCGCATATCGCAATATTGAGCTGCCCTGACTCACCGCAGGGGGAATTCCTCAATCGCGACAGCCCTACTGTTCACCCTTTAGAAGACACTCTTTGAAAGACTTGATGGGATAGTCTCTACTCTCCTGTTTGGGGGCATTCCTAAAGTAGCATTTGTGGGTTTTTTTTCCCCCAATTGGGGCTTCAAATTCAGAATTTGAGAAACTTGACTGGAAACCTTTTAAGTGCCTAACCAAAAGCCTTCTGTACTGCTTTTAATTTCCAGAACCCAAAGGAAGCCGTAGAGGAGATGGAGGATGATGGCAACTTCTTCCGAAAGTCTGTGAATGACATCACCACCCTTCTGGATATCAATTTTGGGAATCTTGCTCGTCCTAGTCGTGGTGGCAGAGGACGGGGAGCTCGAGGTGGCCAAAATGTTTTCCCCGAGAGGGCCAGACCCAGACTTCAGCAGGTCTGTTGAGCCGTTATCACAACGAACGCTGGAGGCTAGAAGTCGAAACAAAAGGCTGAATTCTTGAAATCTGTTTCTGATTAGGGAGATCCAGCACCTGATCCTGATGACCCAGAAGACTTTCCTGCTCTGTCAGCAGGAAAATAACTGAATTCATCTACTAAATGGTTGAAATTTCTGTTTGTACTTGATGCACTGTTGAATAAAAGCTTTAGCAAGGTTATTTTCTGACTTTTCTATGAACCAAAACACTTATTTAATTTGACAAAACTATCTCGTTTTTTTTTAGCATGTCAAACATAAGCTATAAAGAAACGGTAAATTTCATTTAAAAAGTATTTTATTTGCTTTTAAGCAAATCTCTAGTTGTCAACAAATGAAGAGGCCCCATTAGGACCATTTCATGGTACAAAATATTTACAGATTACAAAGTCTGCATATTAAATGTGGACCTATGTACAGCTTAGAAATGAAGAGGCTAAAATGCTTGACCGGTGACGGGAAACCGTACAAACTGCAGATCTAAAACACCCACCCATGATCCAATTTAAAACGAGAGCAATGATTTCAATAATTTCATAAAAACTAAAATCAATTAAGATTTCAGAAGGAATCATGATTCGGAAATCATATGCCGATTGTGGTTTACCATTCAGCTACTGCATGCATTAAGTTCTAGTTTAAAAATTCATTTCATGATGCATTTAAAAATAAAAAAATAAAAGGAAAAACCTGCATTGAAGATGAATGGTCACCTTACATAAAGAATTGTGCTAATCTATTGGACATCAGAAAGCACGTTGGATGTCTGATTTCTTGGCTCAGCGAAGGAGAGGAGCTCTAGCTGTGGGTATGGAGTGACTGTGAAGGAAAAAAAAAGTTTTTACTGATTTTGTTCTCCTGCTGCATTTAGTTTCATTCAGAATGTGAGAAAAACAGGAGACAGATACCATAGTCTGGAAAACCTAATTGATTGCAAAGAGCTGCGTGCGTTACGTCCTCGGTAGACCGTGCATCTGTTGCAAGTGACAAAGACGGAGTAAAAAGATGTGAGCAACATAGATGAGCTGGAGTAAGAATAGATGACACAGCAGAATCCAGAAAGCCTATAGCCAGCCTTAGTCCAGAAGATGATGCGTTTAGAGGAGAAAAGGAAGGAAAGCTGCTGGGATGAGTTTTAATCGGGCCCCAGAAAGACGGTGAAGAACCGTGACTGGGCTGCACCATCGTAACTAAACCTTCAATTACAGGATAAAACGAGACTTTATTCAAATTAAGACCAGATTTTCTGGTGTATTTCATGTGGTGGCAAATAAGATATTTTTTAAGCATTTTCTAACAGTTTTCTTTTGTCTCAAATAAAATAAATATTCTTAATGTTTGGATTTTGAAAATCAGTCAAATTAAACATGCAAATTGAAGAACAATCCCAGTTGATGCAGCCCAGTTTAAGGTCATCTAAGGAGAACCGACTGAGCGTCTGGACCTCCGACTGAATTTACACCAGCACTAATCTAACTTTTATTCTAGGGACGTTTATTTCCCATAAAAGTTAAAATCGGAAGGAAAAATAACGTTTGTCTCCTCTGGTCAAAATAAGATCAACACGGTTGTCTTTTGCATTTTTCCAAAATGTCCTTGAAGGCATGGAGCTGTGAAAAATCCCTCCGCCTCCTAGTAAGATGTTCCTCGCTGCTTCAGCAGAAAGAAGAGATGTTCGATGGTTTATTTCATTACAGCACTTTAACTGATCGCCTGGCCGGTGCAAATCACTGATGTGTTCCCATTCTTTTTCCTGAAGTCAGTAAATAGTGATCCCTCGTTTATCGCGGTAGATGCGTTCCAGACCTGGCCGCGATAGGTGAAAATCCGCAAAGTAGGGACTCCATATTTAAAGTATTTATTTAACAGGACAGGGAGCGCAGCTGATCCTCATCAGCCTGATCAGCGGGACGGCTTTAAAAGGAGGACGGTTATCCAGATACGACGCCGGATGATTAACTATTGCCTGACTCGCTTCTCCTCCGGATTCGCTCCCGTCTTGGAGACTTCTGGATACTCACCGGTTCGCTGCCTGGATACCAACTCCGCTCTGCCGTCCCGCTCTCCACCGTGCTCACGCTCCCTCTCCGTTACCTCGTCCTCCTCATCCGTCTACCCTGCCACCTGGAAATCTACAATTCGCCACTGGATATCACCCCGGCTCAACTCCCCTCCACATTCACCCTGAACTTTCGCATTTTGCCGCTTCCTGGTTTACCCTCTGCTGGATCACCAGTGCGACCTCAGTTCTCCTCATCATTAAAGAAATAAAATTATTGTTTATCTTTTACCTCGACTCGAGTCTGAGTCTGTATGTCTTGGGTTAGACACTTACCCCAAAACATGACAGAAAAATACCGCGAATCGGCCAATTTCCCTTGAATAAGGCTCCAAAGAAAAAATCCGCGAAGTCGTGAATCCGCGATAAACGAACCGAAGTAGCGAGGGATCACTGTAAAATACTAATTATTAAATCATCTAATACTGTTTGCTAAATTAATTTAGAATGAATCTTTCTGAAGGTTTTAAAGTAACATTTTGAGTAGAGGAGCAAAAGCATTTCTTCTATAATAAAGTTTGTTGTGTGTGTAAATGCAGCCCAGGTCTCACACGGCCCAGCGAGCGACTGAGGGATCTTGCCTGCAGGTGGGCCTTTGCTGTGTTTAAGCTGATGAGGGGGGCTGTGTCTCTACGGCCGTTGCATGGCTCACAACACATTGGGTCACTTCTGCCAGCCACAACATGCAAGTTGCCAAGAGACCTGACCAGTCTGGTCTGGCACAGGGAGCTAGCAGAGAGAAGGGAAGCTGTTAATTCACCCCACCAGGAGCCATGAGTGGCTATAGCCTCTCTGCTGTTTTCAACTGTGTGTCAACGCCAAATAAAAAACACAACAACTCCATTTATGATCGCGTTAACATGACAGAACTCATCTTAGCTTTGTTAATAAGTTGTCAGCGGTAAAAACCTTTAACTCATTCACTGCCAGCCGTTTCCTGATCACTAACGGCCTTCGCTGCCAGCGTTTCTCACCGTTTTTACTGTTTTTTTAAGAGTCACAGAATATTGCGCGCTAGCATGATGTCAATGCCAAAACAACCAAAACAAAGCGGAGACTCACCTCTTACATCAGGAAGAGTCCGCGTGTTTCGAGCGTTATCCGTTCTTTCATAAGCCGTTGTCAAATTGTGATCAGCAGATGCCTTTCCGGTTCGTGCCTCACTTTTTTTTTACAGGAACGGCCCAAAACGATCTCCTAACACATGGATGTGTTGCTTCCTGATCATGTGATCTGTGACGTATGCGGATGAAGATCGGCTTCAGGGCTGAGATGTTTGTTCTCTCAGCGCGGGGGCTCGTTCCAATGCTCAAACAGTAAAAAAATGCAAATTGGCAGTGAACGGTTGGATCTAAAATGACGACTTTGGTCGTCAATGGCAGTGAATGAGTTAAAAGCCTCTTCCATCTTGATTTACTCGAGTCGGAGCTCAAAGTCAGATAAATTCACTGACCTTCCTCCGACTCCGTTAGCTGGCAGCGAGGTTCTGGTCCTCTTCCTGCTCTCTGAGTGCTCAGACAGAGCCAGCGGTCCCACGCTGGCCTTACAACCCGGCACAGCGGCCTGCATTATGACCTTGCTGCAGGAGAGAAATGCAGGCATTAGCTCATGTCGTGATTTCTGCTCGTCTCTGTTTGGACTCTGCGGGTTTTACCTGAGACACTGTGACGACGATCGGGTGTGGATCTTATTTTCTTCTCGTCTGTGAAGAAAAAAACATCAGAAATATGTAAACACGACTTTTCGTATGCAAACGTAAGAGTTGAGGCAGAGTAGGAAAGCATACATTCAAATGAACTGACAGATGTTGAAAAAACTAGTTTGTGAAGTATGTAAAGCATTTAGCGGGCATGTTGAGTTAGTGCAGCCATATAAAGCCAGAGATCTTTATTTATCTGAGGTGTTTCACTAGTTTTAGACAAAAACATTAACCAGCAAAGCAGATGGAAGGATGATAGAAATGTCTATAGGATAAAATCATGTACAGAAAATGGTGACAAGGACAAGTCATCAGCCTCGGATTTTTGAAACTTATTTAAAAAAAACTGTCTCTGCTCATCACCCGGGCTTTCCACTGGATGCGTATGTGGCGCATAACATAATAGATGTGTTTTCATCTTGAACGCATTGGCGCAGCAGCACTGAATGTGTTCCACGCAGCTAGTACTGCAAGATCACACGTGATTTCACCAGGAGAAAAGATGGCATCATACACCCTAAAGGTCTGTGGTTTCATTTTTTTAACTGATTGAGCATCAGGGTATCTGCAGGTTTAAGGGAGCCAAATTTAAGACTTTAAGACCTTTTTAAGGCCATTTTGACCAAATTTAAGCTATTTTTTTAAATTAAATTTAAGCTATAATTTCCAGCTATTGCCTGGAACCGGTGCTAACCACGTCGGAAACGTGGGATTAGCCTCCCAGTTACCATTAAACTTGCACTTCCCCATGGCACAAGCTCCCACTAGCTTAACCAGCTAATGTGCTCATCTAAAAATAGCCCCCTTTCACAACCAGCTGAATGTGTACGGTTCCGCTTACGCCAACATCGTACACAAAAAATGCTGAAACTAACTAGAAATTCTTGTTTATTGGGTCTTTGGTAATTTAAGACCTTTGGAAACTGTATTTAAGGATTATTTGTCATTTTTAAGGCCTTAAATTTAGAAAAACAAATGTAAGACTTTTTAAGGACCCGCAGATACCCTGGAAAATATGCACAGGCCTTTTATTTTGAAATGTATCAAATGTTTGATATTGCATCCAAGTTGGATTTCCTGTCTGGCCCAGTCTGAACTGCTGAGCCTGAAGCATTCTGGAAATAAAGCTATAAAACAAAAGACCCGAAGCGTAAACTTAGCAGAGGGGCGCGACACCACACTTGTGGGACACATTCGCGTCCGACGGAAACACCCACTGACTAGAAGGCCCGCTATTAGCTTTGCAAACGTAACACGATGATTACGCATCCGGTGGAAAGCCGGTGTCCACTCTAAGCTAACTTTACTGACAGAAAAAAAAATCTAATTCGAACACATTTCTAATTTGGATCGGGAATTTTTAAAAATAAATAAATAAATAAACCAGGGGCTCACTTACAGCATTCTCAGTTAGAGCTCCAGAAGGGGGGGGGCAGGACACGTTTTTTTGGGGGGGGGGCTGACGGGCAGCAGAACTCAGTGAAATCCTAACCCGTCTATACAGAAATGCAGGATGGAAGAAGGGAAGCCATACACAATCCACCACAGGGCAAGGCTACACAGGGAGAGCAGCATGGCTACCAGCCATCTGAAAGGAGGACAAATCCAACAACAAGAGCAAACAGAAAAAAAGGGGGGAAATAAAAGGAAGGAGAGACAAGAGACGTCTGGGCAGGACACAAAGCCTCTGATGTTGTGCTTTTCCACTGGGACTGGATTAAATCAAACACCTTTCAAAAACCCCTCGTGTCCGACTACCAGACAACGGGTTCGTTCTCCATTCCCTTGTTTGATTAAGTTGTACGATATGACCCGAATATTGTGTATATTTAACATGTTCTTTATCTCATAACAGCATAAATTCAATGGAACTTAATTTCTTGTAAACCCCGGGTGGTACAAACACCCCGACCCTGTCAGAAGAGCAGTGGAAAACCCAACAGGCCATTGACGATGATCCCAGCCCAACATTATTACGTTAGACACAAACACCGATCGAACAGAGGCATGTGCATGCATGCATGTCCACGGGGTTTCGTGCCTTACGCCATGCATGGAAACGGCAGAAAAGATGGAAGAAAGGTTTGGATAAACATTTCTCCAATCGTTCCTGGAATTCGACATGCAGCCAAGTGTTATGTAACAAAACAAGCAGAGGAGCAAGTGTGGAAATTAGAGCTCATCTCTCTTTTGTCTCAACTCCCTCCTGAGAATAGACGATGTCACCTTAGATGATGCTGCTGTTATCCCTCACACCAGATTGAGGATCAGGTGGAAATTACTCAATAAAACTCATTTTTAAAACCAAACAACTACGTCTAAGACACATCTGCAGATCGGTAACATTTTTTCTGTGGTGCCAAGCCAGTAGAGCAAGCCAAGAACCATCAACTAATCCGGATCTCTTGTTCAAACCGTGATTAGTTGAACCGCCGCTGCTACAAACTCCAGTGGGCGTAACTTGAGAGGATTTCTCAGATAACAAAGCAGAACAGCTCAACGTGTTCATGAGGCAAATAATAAAATAGGCGTGTAAATGTAATGCATCCACTAACTGCATATCCACTTCACACCATAAGTCATACAAAGAAAGCAAGAGAGAGAGAAAAAGAAACAGGACAACTTTATAATCAGCCATACTGTTAGCCATACCATTCACTGGCACAGCAACCACTTCTACAGGAAGAGGACGTAAGCTGGACAGGAAGTGATGTGAACTTACCTCCTTCATACAAAACCTCACTTCCTCTCCCCCACTATATCTCTGCTATCTTTTCAATGGCAGGCAGCACATCGGCCACGCAGTGCCCATGAGGCTGCAGCAGAACACTACCACCTGCCTGACATGGGACAACAAAAGCCAGAGCCTTATGGGTACACAGGCAGAGGCCAGTCAACCACCCACAGCCATGCTGACACCCAGACTCCCACAGCTGGTTTTACCAAGGCGCAAACGACGTGGACTTTAGACTAGGGCTGCAACGATTATTTTGGTGGTACGAAGTCTGAAAAATCACGGTTTCACGATTACCACGATTATTTTACATGACTTGATTTCACATCTGTATTAACGTATATAAATCACGCACACATCCTATAAAGTATTGCTAAAGTTCATGATTACATTCTAGAAAGGTTTTGTACCCTTGTTGATATCTATTGCCCTCAGCTCCTAGGTAATCAGCATGATAATGCCATGAGCCCAGGTGGGCTGATTCTACCCACCAATGGGAGGTGTCTCCTAATGGAAGGTGTGAATTTGAGCCGGCTTAAGCTTGGTTTATGCTTGACGCGTCCGCGAGTTCGCACGGCTCCGCACGGAAAAGTTGCGTCATTTTAACAACCACGCCCCTCCACCGCGTCTCCGCACGGCCCAAACTATCCGCACCGCGCACCTAGGAAATTTTCTAACCACGCGGACGGTTGGACGTGGAAAAACATGGCGGACTGGCAAGAACTAGTATGGCAGAGGTTCGTAAATACAGACATTTGTATGATTCAGCTCTCAGAGATCACCGTGATCAACATGTTGTTAATAATTCTTGGAGAGAAATAGCTCGCACTGTCGGAAAAGACGAGGACGCTGTTAAAAAATGCTGGAATGCCATGTTGTAAACAACAGTAATTTTTACTTCTACTATGGTGTAGTGTTGGATGCATGCCGTAGAGCTCCATGCTGCCCCCTACAGTTTGGGAGAATATTGGCTCATCGCAGAAACGAGCCGCATGAACCATAAACGCTGCAAGTTGTGAAGCGCGTTCCATCCGCGAGCCGCATCACCAAGCGGAAAGTAAATGCGTCAAGCATAAACTAAGCTTCATCAGTCAGCCGTGGGTGTGTTGGCCCTGGTCAGCCTGAAGCAGACCACCTCAGGAAGAGGGCTGAGAAACAGTCCAGTTGCACCCTGAAAAAAGGCAGGCTATGCTAACGTAGAAGCTCTCTGTGCTATCCAGACCATGCGAAGCCGATGCTAGTGTGAAAGGGGCTATAGTGGCATTCTACCCGCAAGCTCGTTCCCAACAGGGAGCAATTCCGACACGAAACGGGAGTGAAAGCATTCCACACAGCTGATCCTGTGACGTCGCGAAATCACGGGAGAACTGCAACACCAAACATGATTTCAGACGTCCACAAACAATAATAAACAAGAATAAAGACAACTACATGCATGAAAAAATGTCTGTGGGTTATTTTCTGTTCTGTTTACATTAGTCTCAGAAGTTCACAGGAAATGACTTACTGCACGTGACCTTTATTTAGAAAGTTTTCGGATGTTCGGTGTTTGACTTCCTGTCTGGCTTGATCTAAACTGCGGATTTGACATGTTTTGGAAGCATAGCGCGTCAAAAATAGACTCGAAACGTGACGTCCAAAACGTCACAATTCGCTGCCCGTGGAAAGGAACTCATCCACTATAAAGGCGGCTAATTGCTGCGTAGTACATTTCACTGCCGATTCGCGACGCTTTGACGGGCATTAGAAAGAAGGTGTTAGAATGAAGACTATTGTCATCAATGGCAGTGAATGAGTTAAATTACAGTTTAAAGCTTTTAAAATACCCTCAATTCTGTGTAGAGAACACCGTCCCAATGGGAAGAGTGAGGCGTTTCTCGAATAATAAACCCTGGTTGACCCCTGAGCTGAAATCGCTGCTGACACAGTGGATCAGGCTGCCAAGGTCATCACCATGAGTGCTGCAGAGCGTCTTCCAGTCTGTGGTCTGGATACAGTCCTTCAGTCTTTCTGTAGCTTCGTCAGACCACACTTTCACAAATGTTTTCTGAAGAGGCTTATCTTCTCAGTGGCCTAGTGGTAGAGTGTCCGCCCTAGGACTGGGAGATCAGGGTTCAGTTCCTGGTCGGGTCATACCAGACTTTAAAAATGGGACCCGATGACTCCCTGCTTGACACTCAGCTTTAAGGGGTTGGATTGGGGGGGTTAAACCACCAAATAGTTCCCGAGCGCAGCCACAGCTGCAGCTCACTGCTCCAAACAGGGGTGGGTCAGAAGCAGGGATGAATTTCACCAGTGTGTGATGATGACTATGGTATTATATTTACCTAACAGCCTGTTTAGAGTTTCTGTAAAAAGACACAAAGTTTTAACGGCTGACAACTGGTTAGGGTTAAGCAGTTATTATTATGAATATCCTTAAATCTCATTTCTACTTGTTCTTTATTTTCAAATTTGACTAGTAGAATATAATTAGGACATGATAAATTATATTATTGCTATGTCGAACAGGAAATACAAAGAGGCGCTGTTGATTACATTTTAAAATGGCTTGCTGTACTGGCTTGGTGTAGACAAATACGGAGGAAACGTAGTCCAACTACTAATTCAACCCTCGATCACTGAATTGTTCTAATATTACTGTTACATCCCTTCAGTCACTAACGTAATCCGACTCAGCTGGAGCTCATTTGCCTGCAGGATCTCTGAGTTGATGACAAGTTGGGCGTGTCTCAACTTTTTCTCTGCAAGCTCTGAAGATGGGCGAGAGACATTGTCCTGAATTTCTACTTTAGCAGCTTTGAAAAATCTTAAAGCACTTCCCATGTAGAAACGAATCAGTCCCATTGGTTGTTGATGCTGGTTCTGCTTCTGCTGTGTGCGTCCGATCCATTTCCCATCGTTTTGGTCCGTGTGGGTAGCGCTATTGTCTTGTTTTTTGCACAGTTGGAGTCTTTAGCATTTCAAACCACGGTTAATAGTCAAACCAGCTAATCCCCGCAACTCTACTTTAGACTAGAACAATGTTTCTCTATTACTTTGTCACATGTGTGGTGTAAATCCTACCCCAACGGCTAGGTCGCAGCAGTTTTTACCACCTTCATTCAAAACAGAACAAGACTTATGTGTCTGATAAGCATCTGGCCTGAGTTTTCTAATAAAATATAGTTTTAAAAAATGCTAATGTTAGTATCTCACTATACCGCACCGTGACTGAATTGTAATAGATACATCGCCAGATTATTGACAATACAAACCCGTTTTATACAGTTTTGGCACTTTTTCCCTCCTGCTGGCCAAGTAAAGAAAAATTAAATGAACATTCTGACTTTATGTTATTTCAATGTCCAATCGGTGCGTGTGGTTTGGTGAAAACATGAAAACTGAATTATTACAAATACTAAAGACATTTTCAACTGAGAGTAGCAGAGGCAGAACTTGTGTTTGCAGCTTAAGTGCTTGAAGTCAATAAAGTCAATATTTTCATGAAGCATGTGTCCAAAACTATATTTAACAGTTAGGACAATAGATTTTTCATAATTTAGATGTTGATATTTTGTGTAAATGGTTGACTCTGCAACCATGTGTACTCTAAAAATCTTTAATGTTAAATATAAATGCATAATAATACATTTAGACATTTTTCTTATATAAGTGATTTTCCATTTCAGTGCTTAAAGGGACTTTACGGAGTTTTGAATTTTTATGCTCGCGATTGCCCCCTCAGGCCAAAAGCGTAACGGCAGCTTCAATAGTAGGCTCGTGCACGAGGCGTGCATGCTGTACGTGCACACTCCTTAACGAAAATAACAGCTGAGACAGTCCCTCGTGTGTGTGTGTGTGGCCCGGAGGAAAGAGGACAGGAGAACGTGCAGCTAATTAATGAAATAATTTGGTTCTGTACCTTTCTCTTCAGCACAGCCGACAAAGGTTTATGATGGGTCAGTCCTCCTGCATGCTCAGATCATTCCCTTCCCTTGCTTGAAAATTTGTTCCAAAATGAAAGTTGAACCCACATCTTTTTTATCTGTGAATTCAATGCCGTTTGACGAGTCTCAAATAAAAATTTGGGCATCTTACTGTAAAAAAATATACCATTAATGTAAAAAACTCTAAATAAACCATGTCCACATCCAGAGTCGAACCCAGGTTTTCTGCACGAAAGTCAGACGTCTTACTAAGTGCGCTAAAGCGCCAGTTTGTATCTGTAACATTTATATCCTTGATGACAGCTGAAACAACGTTCATAGAACGGTTCGGAGCGAAAATGGCTATTTTGTTGCTAATTTGCAGGAAATATCTAGAAAAAAATTCTACAGAAAGTAGCTAAGGGTCCTCAGAAATGTAGCTAGCTTTGTCACTAGGCGTTAGGAACAGCGACAAAGTGGCACTGCCTCTCTCTCTGCTGCTAAAGCTACGGATAGCAAATGCTACGGGCGATGCCTGAGCGTGAACGCGCATGAAGCAGCCTGCTCGACCCGAGCATCTCTCTTTTTCTGTGATTTTACAGAAAAACAGGCAATCACAGTAAAAATGCCAGGACTCATTCTACAGGACCAGGGCATTGCAGGAGAACGTATGAAGAAGACATTTATTATTTCTATACATGTTTTGGCTGTCACACTTCCATAATGTCCCTTTAAACATTTATGTCTGCCGGTTTCTTATCTATTACAAAGTCTGGTATCGACTAAACAGGAGGCCCGGTTCCACCGTGGACACTCTGACCTGATAACCTGGAGGACGGATTTCATTTGGCCCGCATTTATTTTCCTGCTCAAAGATGACATTATAACTACTTGCAGCTCGTTTTCATATCATCGAATCACAAGTGGAACGATATCTTTAAACTTTCACTACATTTGTGTCTTTTAAAACCAGCTCTCAGAAAAAGCTCGTTTTTATCTGGAAGTCTGTGTGCCAAACGGCTGTGTCACTGACGTGTGCTGCGTCCGTTCCTTCTCATCATTCACAGATTAAAAGATCACAACTGGGTGACTTTTGTTGCATGCCTTCATTTAAAAAGACAACCAAAAATCCTGAAGACTCACAGAGAAAAAGAAAGTTGATTAATATTAACTCATTCACTGCCATTGACGACTAAAGTCGTTATTTTAGATCCAACCGTTCACTGCATTTTTTTTACTGTTTGAGCATCGGAACGAGCCCCCGCGCTGAGAGAACAAACATCTCAGCCCTGAAGTCGATCTTCATCCGCATACGTCACAGATCACATGATCAGGAAGCAACACATCCATGTGTTTGGAGATCGTTTTGGGCCGTTCCTGTAAAAAAAGTGAGACGCGAACTGGAAAAGCGTCTGCCGATCACAATTTGACAACGGATTATGAAAGAACGGATAACGCTCGAAACACACGGATTCTTCCTGATGCAAGAGGTGAGTCTCCTCTTTGTTTTGGTTGTTTTGGCATCGACATCATGCTAGCGCGCAACGTTCTGTGACTCTTAAAAAAACAGTAAAAACGGTGAGAAATGCTGGCAGCGAAGGCCGTTAGTGATCAGGAAACGGCTGGCAGTGAATGAGTTAATGAATGAAAGAACATTAATGTCACTTCTGCTTTATGACTTAAAAGCTACTGATAGGTAGTGATTGAGGGACTGACATGGAGAGGAGTTGCTCGTATTACTGAACTACATGTGAGCGTGATGCACGACGAGGCTCACTAACTGCTTTCATACTTACGACAGCGAACCTGAAGAGGACCTGGCCTGCCTCTTACTCTTGAGGGCTCGTAGTTTATCCCCCTGTGTGAGGTTGTTCCTCTCCTCTTCCTCGTTGTACTGAGAAGAAGCAGCGAAGGGACTAAACTGCGTGTACGTGTGGTTTGTTTGTTTTATTCCAGACACCATGAGAGAATCTCCCGTAAAACTCACCAGCTCTATTTCTTCTTTCTTAGATGTCTTGTTCTTGTTGTTGCCATTGATGGTTATGTCGTCCACCCCAGACAGGATCCTGGCCACGGCCATCTTGCCATTCTCTCGTTCATTTAGCATCTTCTCCTGGAAAACGTCTCCATCTGCCCAGAGGCTGTTCTGCTTCCTGATTGAAAAATAAAAAACACAATTCAAATCCATCCATTATCGTCCACTTATCCAGGGTTGGGTTGTGGGGGCAGCAGCCTAAGCAAAGAGGCTCAGAAGTCCCTCTCTCCAGCCATTCGGGCCAGCTTTTCCAGGGGAATCTCAAGGCGTTCCCTGGGCTTCCGAGAAACATAGTCCCTCCAGTGTATCCTGGGTCTTCATTTAGGTCTCCTCCTGGTTGGACGTGCATAGAAAACCTCACCAGGGAGGCGTCATTTGGAATCCTAGGATGTCCAAGGAAGGTCCCGCCTTTTTCGCCTCTGATTGGCTGGAAGGGCTCTGCTACAATTGGCTATTTCATGAATGAGGAAGCTGTTTTCCCTCGCTGCAGGTTTTTATGTTTACAGCCAGATCTTGAGGAGTTTTTTGGAGAACATGTGAACTGATGGCTATAATAAACATCCTTTCCTGTTTTGCAACAAACCAGGTTCAGTTTCTTTCATAAAAGAACCAGAAAAACATCAAATGTGAACTTCTAATAATTCTTGTTGCATTTCAACACACTGTAGACTGACTTTATATCTTTTGGCTCTATTGGGGTTATCTTGTTACTTAATTATTAGGCTATCCTATGTCTTCACTTTAATAGGTTAAGTCAGGTTACAACTTAGAGCACATCTCTCATAATCAGATTAAATGTGCATCATTTAATCAAACATTAAGTTAAAGCTGATTATGATTTAGACCTATTTTTTTTAACCAGTTTTCATTATTCTAGAAAAGAAACAGACCTGATGCACACCGCTGGGCAGAATAGGTAACCCACGTAAGGCGCATATGTATATCCTATGTTCTCTAATGCTTCAGAGCCAAGAGATTTAAAGTCCAACAGTTTGATAAATTCACAAGATTATAAATTCACATTTGACGTTTTTCAGTTTTTTATGAAACAACATATTTAGCTAAACAGGACAGAATGGTCATTATCGCACTAAGTTCACATTTTATTTACAAAACTCCCCAAAACAGCTTTCTGCTGGTGGCTGAAGGACAGTCTTCAGACGGTTTGCTGCCAATTGAAATAGCCAATCATAGTAAAGCCTTTCTAGCCAATCAGAGGCGAGAAAGGCGGGATCTTCCTTGGACATCTTAGGATTCCAAATGATGCCTCCAGGAGGCATCCTAACCAGATGCGTGAGCTACCTCAACCGGCTCCTCTCGAGCCAATTTTATTCTCATGAATTTTGAAAGCTTCTTCTCTCGGTGGTTTCTGAACAGTGTTGGGAACGTTACTTTAAAAAAGTAATTAGTTATAGTTACTGATTACTTTGTCAAAAAAGTAACTCAGTTACTAACTGAGTTACAAGATCATAAAAGTAACTAATTACCAACAAAAGTAACTACTTAGTTACTTTTTTCATTAAAGCATGCAAGAATTATTACAATAGTAAAATATAAATGACTAATGACTGAACATAATAAAATGTATGTCCAAATGTTTTATATAAACCTGAATAATTTAAACAAATAAGCACTTAACAGGAGGAACTACTAATAGGAACATTACACTAATCTAGACTATTAAAAGGTCACTGTGTGATATTTAACAAAAACCCAATCAGCTAAAATTTAAAATTGCAAATAGAAACACCTGTAATGGTTCCCGAGCCTTTAAATGGTCTCTCAGTCTAGTTAAATTACAGAAATAAATGTAATTTTGCACAGCATTCTAATTTTTACAGCTTCACATAATTGTGTATTTTTAGTAGCATTTCTGTTGCTACTAATCTAGTATCGTTTAAATAAATAAATAAATATCCTTTAAAATGACACTAGAAGAGGCACAAGCCTAGGACTTAAATGTACTAACATGGGTCAGACCCAAACACAGAAGAGCTGAAGCTGGGTGGTAAACACACACAGGTAGTTCTAATAACACCTGAGCTCCATGACGTCTGAGACAGATGCATCAGTGTTACAGCGGGACTAAAGACATGATCAGAAACAGGTTACAGCTGGATGATCTAGGAAGGCAGAAGATCAGGACGTCTGAGCGGTGAACAGGTGAGCGGACCTTCGGGACGTCCCGCTGTCACGCTAAGAAGGGCACGGCTGCAGACCCGCAGATTCGCTGCTGCAGCAACAAATCTGCGGGTCTGCAGCCGTAGACTAATCATCACGTCTTCCTCGTTCTTCACGGGCCGTGATGCTCTTAAACATCTGCCTCTTTAGCTCCTGATCAGCTGACGACAGCTTCAACACACCGCACTGCTTAACGCACGCATTTTCTTATCAGTAACAGGAACAACGTTTTGATAAAAGAAGACGTAATTAATTAGTTTGCTTGTTACAGAAAGACATTTTTTATTAACGCGGTTATTTTAAACGGAGTTATTCCCGTTGTGTCTACAGAATGCAGTGACTGAGACCGTGAGGGTCTCCGCCCACCCGGCCAATCATCATCGTGTTTGTAAGTGCGTTACCGACACCTCTCTCTCCCTGGCTGCAGCTGAAGTGTGGCAGTCGGAAAGCCTCACACTGTTGCTCAACGTTCGACAAGCACATAGTAACGCACAGCGTTCCGTCCCCAGTAACGGTAACGGCGTTGCAACGGCGGGAAAAGTAATTAATTAGATTATTCCGTTACCTATAAAAGAACGCCGTTAGAAACGCCGTTATACTTAAACGGCGTTACTCCCAACACTGTTTCTGAATGCCTCGGTGGTCTTGGTCCGTTTTATTTATCTGATCTGCTTTTAAATTACGAGCCCACGTGATCGTCAAAGCTGTGGTTTGTTGCACCACTCCTGACTGACCCAGGATCTGATGTCAAGTATTTTACACATCCAGAGTTCCCCCTGGTTTTAAAAGTTCAACAGCGATGGCGGCTACTGCCGGTGGGAGTGGGGGCAGGGGCTTGCAGGAGCTCGACGCTTGAGCAGAGGGAGTCGCACATTTGGTCGTCTTATTTTTCCTTTTTGTGGCAATGCTGCTGCGGCTGACATTATCAATGGCGGTGATTTTCTGTCTCTGTTAGCGAGTGTGAGACGGAGGCCGATTCACCCACTTCCTGTGCCAGCAGAACCCGTCTGAATGCTTCTGATGACGCAACCCCTTGAAGAGTTACGATATTTCAGAGGCAGCATTTAAAATGTGTCCGTGCTCGGTGTTACAGCATGTTTTTGTGATAAAAAAAAAAAACGAGGCGACCCAGAAAAACTGCCGGGGGAAAACTCTGCATGCTCGTTTTGCTGTGAATATAATACAGTCAAAATCATTTTTTATCTTTAGTTTTTATCCTTGCATTATTAGAGTAATAGCTTTCATATTTTGATGATGTGAGGTCATTTCCTGTCATGTTTAAAAATGTACATTATTAACATGGTGCTGAAGCTTGCTTTGAAGAAAACCATGAATCAAACCGTCTCCTGCCTAAAATCATTCGGCTCTGCCTCGCAGCCCCTGAGGTTCTCCAGCATCAGCCATAAGATTGCACTAAAACAGCCTTGTTCCACCACCATGGCCCTCGCCTGTGGAGCAACCTGCTGCAGAACCTCAGGACTGTAGAGACTGTTGATATTTAAATATTTAAAGAGCGAGTAACACCCAAATCAAAGTTTTTAGCTGATAACTTGTATAAATGAGTGTCTAATCGACCCCTTATCGGTCCACGTCACCTCCTGCCCTAATGCGCATGTGCGTTGCAGAAAGGGATCAACAATCGTGTCTTGTTGTGCTGTTGGTTGTACCAATCGCTTTGATAAAAACAACAAATCGCACAAGTTCTACAGAATTCCATCTACTCGCACCCCTTTCAAGGCAAACAAAAGAGGTCTTTGGTTGCAAGCTAGCAGAAGGAGCGACTGGAACGAGAAGATCATTAAAAATGCTCAAATCTCCAGCGATCGCTTCATATCAGGTAATCGGCATCGTAGGTTTTATAAACTCAACTGTTGAAACCCATATATCGATTTTATTTTGATCATCTCTGAAGCCTGTAAGTTAAAGCGCCTTGATAAACTTTAGAAAGGAACGCTATAAGCTTGGCCCACTAGCCGGCCTGTGGTTACCGTGAAGTGTGCTGTCATGACCGTAAATTACTAGAATCGTCTTTATGTGCACGGGAGAGGCATCTGACACATCTGACATCTAGTTATAAGACAGTTATGCCAGATGCTTCACTGAATAACTGCAGAGCTTGTGAAATGTTTACAATCACAACAGTGACTAAAGAACAGGTAATGGTTGTTTTTCTTGTTTACAACGACCCAGACTTTGTACACCTTTGTTTTCTTCCCTTGTCTTTGACTCGGCAGCACCTCAGTCTTCACAGCCAGAAAGTTTTCAATATTATAATCGTGCAATAGTATGTCCTGAACATGATTGTCCGTTACATAGCTGTACGCATCCAGGGTTTCGTAGGACTTCAGGCTCTCCCAGGAATAAAGGTTCGGCGTGTCCATCAGGTAAGCGTGGATGTCCGGCCACTGAAGTTTGGGCCATTTTTTCTCATCCTTGATCCACTCGCCTGGCTGTAACGTGTATGGATCGTTAAGACGTGTCCCGTTGACTGATGTCAGTTTTGCAGCGTAGCACGTTTTATCGCTAGAGGATAAACCGTTATAAAACACGACAACATTGCTAGCCAAATCAACGCAACCACAACAAAGAAACCAGATTAAGCTGGATCTTGTTTCTGCTAGCAAGATGCGCGCGTATCCGCTTTGTTTACAAACAAATAAGGGTTCTGTACACATTCGTCCATCTTCTGAACTCGCTTGTCCACGTAGGGTCGCGGGGGTTCTGTACACATGTAGTCATTATTTTGGCATTTTGGTGCATCTTAACATTTTAAATATTCAGTCTAAAACTGTAATTATGTCTCCCTCTTCAGGTTTAAACTCTGTTCTACTTTGACTTTTAATCAGCCACAGCTGATGGCTAAGAAGTCCCAGCTGACGTTGCCTGACCCGTATTACGTGGCTTCACTGCACTGGACTCCAGCCATCTCTTCGCCGCACCTCCAGCCGGCTCGGCCACTCACAAGCTGATAAGAAACGATGCAGGTCAGAGCCGCTCGCCTCCTTAAAAAAATGCCCTCCTTCCTCCTTTCTTTTAGTGATCTAGGAGGAGAGAAAACCCTCCGGCCTGCTGCAGGTTCTCCATTTGCTCAACCTACTGAACGGTGAGTCTGCTGTGCGTGCGCTTGTTAACGGCTCGTTTGTCCGACTGAAACTCAGACCGTGCTCGGGGCGGTTGAGGGGGGTGCAGTCAATCACTGCCTCAGCGCTGCTCACTCCACCTGCCAGGCGATGCCTCCTTTAGGTGCATTTTTTCCCAAACAGGGAGTGTGGGTGAAATAGTTACGTTTAGTTTTAATTTTGTTGAAAGATACACCACCCAGCGGGTCAACGACCCTTTAAAAAAAGGTTTGAGATCCCCCCTTTTAGCTTGGTTTTTATTTTATTTGTTTGAACAGAATTTTTATTCATTCATTCATTTTAACTCATTTTTATGTTACATTTTTCTCAAGCGTGTTTACGAACTCTTTATGTAGACTTTTTTAAAATTCATCTAATTAAATGTATTTATTTATGTTTTAGTCATGAGGATCACCCTGGTCTTGAAGGGTAGGAGAGTACGTGCTCTGTGTCAGTGTAATGAGGTCGTGTGAGCACGGACGAGTGACTTGACTAGTTTGTATTTTCAATTTTACAATAGTGTGTGAAGGCTGTTTATATATATTTGTATTGTATTTATTATATAAAGCATCTCTGCTGACTTTATCATGAAAAGTACTTTAGAAATTAAATTGGGCTGATTGATTAATAATTTGCTGACTCTTTGGCACATGATGCGCAGCTAAAATCAAATCTGACAATAAATAAATAAATAAAAATTCAGTGTGAAACAAAAATGTTTAAACCTACTCTTCAACAAAGTTCTGCTGAGGCCCTATGATGGACCCTGGCCGACAGATCCGGATCCACGCGATAGCCTCTGCTGCAGTCAGGCGGTAATGTTTCATCAGATAGCAGGCGATGAGCGTGCCGGTTCTCCCCAGGCCAGCTAAATACAAAACGGCATCATGTTGTTAAATAAAACATAAAGATCCAGCTGAGATTGTGTTGTCCTTTAGATCTCTCACCCTTGCAGTGGACAGCTATGGCTCCTTTAGCGTTCTCGCAAATGCTGATGAACTTTCTGACAATCGAGTCATTTGGGGTGCTTCCGTCCACAAAGAACAGGTCGTAATGCTCAAAGCCAGAGTCTGTAAAACGCCGAGCGTCATACATCTTTTTGTTTAGTCTGATGATGGTGGAGACGTTGTGCTTCCTGAAGTAAGGGATGTAGGCCTCAGGAGCATGTAGTGGGTACCCTTAAAAAGAAAAACATCCACTTCAGGAGTCATCCAAATGTAACCAGAGGCATTTCTGCAGCTCGTCAGTTACCGTTCTCTATTTTGCTTTTTGGATGTGGCCCACTGAAGGCGAGGAACTTTCCTGGGGTGATCCAGTTAAAGTCTCCATTTTCTGCTCGCTCGTAGTGCTCGTACTCTACCACGTCAAACTTTGAGAAGTCCAGCCAGCTGTACTGCACGGCCTAGACAGTTGACATGGATGAGATTTTATCAGACGTGGTAGAAGATGGAAAATAAATCATTCCTCAAAAAACAAAACCTACTTTGTGAACAGCACGAAGGCAGTCTAGGATGCCCAGATTGTACATGCAGGTTCCAAATGAGGCATCTCTGGAAAACGTGGCGTAGTTAGAACACTGAGGAATCCCTAAACTACCACGGTAAAAAGACTACACCCTCCTCACGTGGACTTTGTACTACTTGGGCGACTTACCTGAACGGAACATACGTGGAATTCCTCGAGACCAACAGACCGTACGCCTCTTCTGGCATCATATTTAGATGCATCACCTTTAAACGATAAAAAGCTCTCAAAACGACGTAAGCGATCTCTTGTAACTAATACCAGCATGATATTAGACACGCAGCATAATGTTCAGGGTCAAATAATATCCCCAGAGACGTGGAAAATATCTGCACACTTACTGCGTATGAGCCCACTAGGTAGGCAGCGTTGGCTTGCTTTTTCTGATCTCCACAGGTATAAAAAATGATCCTCTTCCTTGAGATTGTGATGGACTGCACAAAAAACAATAAAAACAGAAACTTTATTTAGCTTAAACATGTTTATTATTTTAAAACAGGAGTTCATAGTTTCCCATCCTTTACGAGTTCAAGTCAACACAGAGAGCAAAATAAAACTTTCTCAACGTTTACTGTTGAAGATCTTTATCTGGAAAGCTGCAAAATCTACGATCTTTGTTAAAAAATGGAGAAGAAAACTATTTTAGGTGGTGGCATATTAGGATAAGCAAACTTGTGACAGTCACTAAAAGAATATCATAATAAAGCTGAATCATAAAGTTTAGGAGCATTTTAGACCAGAGCATGAATTATTTCAGCTTTAAAGGGACTATAAGGAAGTTTGTATAAATTCCAGAAATAAAGCTTCTTAAAGCTTCGTTTATTTGCTCAAACGAGCAGAAAGTGCACCTGAAACTGATTATAAACAAAGTGCTGCTGCATTTAGCAGAACAAGATCACACCCAGAACCAAGAATGATTTATGAGTTTTGTCCACGCCGGGCCACTTTTGTGCTAAAATATCAAATATGCTCAAGTCATCATCAAGTCAACAGATGCAAGTCGATTCAAGTTGCAAGTCACTGGCATTCAAGTCCAAGTGAAGTTTTAAGTCTTTATATATTTGACCAAGTCAAGTCAGAAGTCATTAAAATAATGACTCGAGTCTTACTCGAGTCCAAGTCACGTGACTTGAGTCCACTACTCTGGTATGTCGTGTGTAATATAATAAAAATAAACAACTTCCCATATCAAAGGTCGTCTGAATAAAACAAAATGCAGTTTTTGAAATAATAACTTTAATTTATTAATAACCCTCTCAGGCTCAAAATAAGTTTTGATAAAAGGACGAACAACTAAGTCCTTCAGGGGTACTTCTGAGTTAAAAAATGCTCATGAAATACGTATGTGGAGTAACCAGGTAGGTAGGTTTTAATGTTGTAAATGTGCAACGCCTGCCTCCAGAGGGTTAAGGGAGAATTTATTCAAACTGGGTGAAAAAGAAACCTCCCTAAAACTGAACTGGTTGCAACACTCTAATAGTACCAAAAATGCAAAAACAGAAATAAGGAGGCCAAATCCTTATTTTACCAGCTCTGTACAAACCACCTAAACAAAGAGGAACGAACGGTCAGGTTTTGATGAGCAAGCACTATTAGAATCATAAATTTAAAGGGACTTTATGGACTTTTGAATGTTTATGCTCGTGATTGCCCCCTCAGGCCAAAAGCGTAATGGCAGCTTCAATAGTAGGCTCGTGCACGAGGCACGCATGCTGTACGTGCACACTCCTTAACGAAAATAACAGCTGAGACAGTCCCGTGTGTGTGTGTGTGTGTGTTTGTGTGTGTGTGTGTGTGTGTGTGTGTGTGTGTGTGTGTGTGTGTGTGTGTGTGTGTGTGTGTGTGTGTGTATGTGTGTGAGAGTGTGTGTGTGTGTGTGTGTGTGTGTGGCCTGGAGGACAGAGGACAGGAGAACACGCAGCTAATTAATTAAATAATTTGGTTCTGTACCTTTCTCTTCAGCACAGCCGACAAAGGTTTATGATGGGTCAGTCCTCCTGCATGCTCAGATCATTCCCTTCCCTTGCTTGAAAAATTGTTCCAAAATGAAAGTTGAACCCACATCTTTTTTATCTGTGAATTCAATGCCGTTCGGCGAGTCTCAAATAAAAATTTAGGCATCTTACTGTAAAAAAAATATACCATTAATGTAAAAAAGGAACTCTAAATAAACTATGTTCACACCCAGAATCAAACCCAGGTCTTCTGCATGGGAGTCAGACATCTTACAAGGTGAGCTACACTCTAGTAACATTCACAGTATCTGTAACATTTATATCCTTGATGACAGCTGAAACAACGTCAAACCAAAGAACGGTTCTGAGTGAAAATGGCTATTTTGTTGCTAATTTGCAGGAAATATCTAGAAGAAAGTTCTACAGAAAGTAGCTAAGGGTCCTCAGAAATGTAGCTAGCTTTGTCACTAGGCGTTAGGAACAGCGACAAAGTGGCACTGCCTCTCTCTCTGCTGCTAAAGCTACGGATAGCAAATGCTACGGGCGATGCCTGAGCGTGAACGCGCATGAAGCAGCCTGCTCGACCCGAGCATCTCTCTTTTTCTGTGATTTTACAGAAAAACAGGCAATCACAGTAAAAATGCCAGGGCTCATTCTACAGGACCAGGGCATTGCAGGAGAATGTATGAAGAAGACATTTATTATTTCTATACGTTTTGGCTGTCAAACTTCCATAATGCCCCTTTAAGAGTTAAACCACAAACTCACACATAAAACAAGGGGAAATAAATGCTACAAATCCACTTTACTGTTTAGCATAAATAGATATTGATTGACCTATGCCTTCTATCCAGTGTCGTTCCAGGATGTGTAATTAACTGCTGCGGTTTGGTTTACCTTGAGCTTCTTTGTCAGCTTGCAACAGAAGCGATAAAACATGGCCAGGTTAAGGGGGCCAAAGTCTGCGTAAAAGCTGTGAGAAGGAGAGAAAAAAGATGGAATAATCCATCAGAATATTTATTTATGCAGCCATCATCCCTGAGGAAGTTTCATCAGACAGAATCAGCGACTTTAGAAGGTCGCTGAAAATACTGAAGGGAGTAAAGACAACACTTGGAAGCATCTGATGCAAGAAAGGGACAAACTGAAAAAGAAAAAGATGCAAAAATTATATATTCTTGTGTGCTTTTAGTGTAAAACCTCAGGTCAGCCTTTATGTCTCAGGTGGACAGATATATCTCCATTAGGAGTGTTGAAATTGCAAATGCAGCACTTTTATTTGCTTTATTTACTTTGCAAATATTATTTACAGCAGTGCACCATTTTAATCTGTGCAAAAACTGCACTTAATATGAGATTAATTGGTTTAATACACGTGGAAGCCAATCCTCTGTGCAGACTTGGGTTTGGAGGCATTTTAAAACTTTTTACTGCATTCTGCTGAAGGCCAAAGGGGCAAAGTACAGAAACACTGCAGCACTTGTACTCACTTCTCATAAGCCAGCTCTTCATCTATGCAGAAACAGTGTCGATCAGCTGTGCTCTTGATCTTTTGCTGGAGTATGGCAAAATAAAGTTGATCTGTAAAAATGAGGGAGGGGCAGGGAGACAAAAAAACGAGTTAGTTAGATAAATACAAACTCCCGTTTATTATTTAAAAGCCAGCCATTATTATTTGTAACCGTCTGCAAATGTACTGTCTGCTCGTCTTTCCCGATAACTCACCCTTTATTAACTCGATATATCTTGAAACATCGTCTGAAGTCATCTTGCTAACAGATCTGAACATGACGTTTTCCACCGAAGAGATACGAAGTTAATTTCTTCACGAGAACTTTAAGCATAAGGGGAGGGAGGGTTGCTCAGAACGGTTCCTAAAAGTTTTAAGACAGACAGATTTTACGTAATAATTTAAAAGCCTCGAGTTTAAATATTCCTTTCGCTTGAAGTTATTTTCAAAAGGGAGAAAGTCTGTAACCGAAGAGGAAAGTGGGAGTGCTAGTGCGCACTCTGCTAAAAAACTGATCAGCGCGCGACTCCGCCTCCATTATGCTAGCAAGATTCCATTGGTTGCCAAGAAAAGAGAACGCTACGTAATTGGTCAGAAAAGCTGCCGGTCAGGTTGGTTCCCGCCTTTTTTAGTTTAAAGTTCTCTACATGCAGGCCGTGATAGGCCCTGATAGGGATGGTTGCCCAAGCGGTTGCCATGATGATCTACCAGCCAGTCAGATTTGCGATTCCCACTAAAACATACCTCCCTCTCTCGGACTTGAGCCGATGAAGGATGCACCAACCAGGAAACGTCATAAAATATGTTATTTAACGCAAGCAGAGGAGGAAAGTGGACAATTTCCTAAACGCAACATTAAATCACCACAATATTACCTAGTAAACATGTATGACGCACACGCAAACAGTCGTTAAAAGGAGATGATTTGCAGTGCACGTAGATGGACGAGGTGTCGCTGATTTCACTGAAATGAATGCTTAACATGAAAAGCTTGTAATTTCTAGTATCTGTGCGCATTGGCGAATAAAAATCAGCGCAAACCCAATGGAGCCAGACGGTGTCGCCATATTGGGGCAAAGCTGTAGAAAATTAAGGACTTTAATGCGCACAAAAACATGTGCGCACGTCCCTGTGCATTTGCCAGGTGAGCTGAAAGTTGACATGGTTCGTTGTGCAGACCCTCTTACCTGTTATCTCAATGTAAATATCAGAGTTTGGCTCCGCCTCTGAGCTGCTCTGAGCTGCACAGCGTTTTTTCCTCGACTCGGATCGCCTCCTCTCGCTTTTGCGCTTCATTTTCTCCTCAGGACTGCAGAAAGGACATTGTCGCGGAGGCGTCTGCTGCAGATCTGCTCGGTCTTTTTGCAGGCGGACGTCTTGTGTTGGTGCTGTTAGTTTGGCATGGCTTTAGATTCTGTTCTGCGCTCTTGCTGAGCCCCTTTCTGTGCGTGCTTGTGTTGTGTGTCTGCCGAGCCAGAGACAGAGTTGGCTGCCCCAGCCTCAGTGGTACTGGTGACGTCTCTGAGAGGGGGTGGGCAGGTTTCTGCTCGGTCTCCTGCAAGTGATGTATCTGGATTATAACTCAGATCAAAATGCAGGACTGCTTTTTTTTTGCCCTTTCTATAATTTTTAGGCCAGAACAAAACAGGCTCACACCTGATGATGGAAAAGAATGAGTCGTTTAAATCAGCAAAGTTCAGGTTTTCATCTGGCCTCATTTTAGATCAGAGCCAACACAAACATTTTATTTATTTGCAGAATGAATAATTCTATATATAATCAGGCTATACAAAATATATTCTTATCCAGAGGCAAAAGGGTTTTGCTTTTTTTGTGTGTGACAACATTTTTATTCTACGGGGGAAAACTGAAAAAGTCTGAATCTGATACAAAAGTCCATGGATGTCAGTAATCCAGCTCAGACTGAGAGACCATCTAAAGGCTCGGGACCCCTCTGCAGGTGCTCTGAATTCATTAGCTGATTTCAGTGTGACACTTTGAGTCTAATATTGAACAATTTCACAATATTCTAACTGTCTGAGAGTTTGAATGTGGGGTTTTCATTAGCTAAGCCATGATCATCACAGTTATAACAAATTAGGCTGAAATATCTGGCTTTGCATGGAATGAGTCTGTCTCATAGATTAGTTTCACCTTTTAGGTTGAATTAGTGACATAAATGAACTTTTGCACCAGCTTCTCGTTTTTCCAGTTTCAGCTGATTTTGGTTTTGAACCAGCCTGTTTGAGACGACATTCACAAAAGGTCAAATTCTGCTTTGTTCGTTTTCTTAAGTCAAATTACTTTATTAAATAAATAATTGCATTTCTAACAAACCGAGTCTCTCTTAGCAGTGAAGCATTTTTCATACTTTACAACGAAGGCGAGACTGGGTTTTAGCCCCAGCAGCTTCTATGTGATGGAGGAGGAAGAGAGGTCTGCTGGAGGCTGCTAGCACTAAATCAGATCAAAGCCACAGCTTCATTACAGTTGCCTGTATTTGATATAGCGCCTTCTAGAGTCATGTAACACCCCAAGGTGCTTTACAACACATTCATTCACACATTCACACGCTGCTGGGGATGAGCTACGATGTAGCCACAACGCACTGACAGAGAACTGGCACCACCGGTCCCTCCGATCACTACCGTATGTTTGGGTGAAAACCCTTAAAAAATTACTTTGGGTGACATTAAGCTAAAAAACAAAATATTATTGTTCATGCATATGTAAAAATGTTTTTCTAGAGGGTCTGCCATATAATTAATCAATTAATTATGCACACATTTCGCTGATCATTGTGCAAATATGTAAATGTAGAGTAGGACAGCGTCAAAATTAGAAACTTTTTGATATTTTTTTGCTAATTATTTCACCATCGTAAGTCAAACCGCTTAGAAAAGTTAAAGCACACCTCCCATGGCCGAGCCGACTGTTTTGATATCCAATGTGTGCGGGTGCACGCCGAGCCCTGCTTGTTGCAGCAGCCGTTAGACCCGTTTCAATGTCCTCGGAGGAATAACAATAAAGGCGATTAATGTCAAAACCCCCCACAGGTGCATAACAAGGGCCCTGCTTGCTGAAGAAGCAGCAGGTCCCTTAATAACAAGATTACAGGTAAACACACAGAAGCAATAAGCTATTATTTTTACTTTCAACCACAAAAAACAACAAACAAAAGAACTATGCAGCATAAGGGACACAGACATACTAATGCACATCCAGAATTGCACAAGTATTGAACACATACAGAATATTGCATTGACGTTATTGTGCAACAGGAAAATGCCAGTACCAGTTAAACTGAGGAGTTATACACCCTTACTGCAGATGGGATGAATGACCTTTGGTAGAATTGTTTTACATCTTTGATGTCTCAATCTGCCTTCTTTTCTCTATTAGATCTATATATTCTACTTTCTTGATTATTCTATAGTTAATGTGGTTTTAAAGCATGTGCTGAATGAGTGAACTTTACTCCTGCAGCTCTGCTCTCTTTTTTTTCGTGTCCTGTCTGGCTGTGAAGCAAACAGAATTAATGTCTGAATGCTGGTAACAATTAGCCTGGCAAGCCAGACTATATATGTGAATAGCATTAGCAAAGCAAGAATTTGGTCTAGTTCACTAGGCTAGGTAACAAGCCTTATAGATTTACTCTCAGGTGGAGCATCAAACCATCTGCTTTTAATGTCACGCCTAATACTTAAATCTTTAACGTTATTGTTTTTTGAATGGTTTGTAATTTCGACCGGACACGGAGACAGAGGTGAAAGAGAAAGGAAGAAAGGAGGGGGTGGGGTGGGGGGTGGGTCCAGGTCTGAAAAAATAAGCAATGATGGACAAGAGTCTGCTTCTAGACCTGCAGAAAAGGGACACACAACAATACATCAGGAGCAAGCTATCACTGCGTCAACTTGATGAGGAGCTATAAACTCAACATTGTTTAACTGAACAATCACACGATAATAAATCACAGTGCATTAAGTGCCCACCACAGCCTTAAGACATGTGTTGAATGTGCCCAAGTCCATACTTATGAGAGCACCATGTGAGCACCTGTGTGTGTACACGCACTTGTTTATGTAAGGTTTCTCTATAGGAGCGTCCAATAGAGAGTGTGAGGGACCACAGATCTGCCCCACAAAGATGTGTAGGAGACGGGGGGAGCTCCAAGTCCCAGAGATCCAGGAGCTGCCCCAGAGCACAGGGACCCCAAGGAGACTGCAACCAGAAAGGCCCCCGCCCCCCTCGAGAGGCACAGAGGATCACCCCGGGGGGCCACAACCAGCAGCCGGCAGAATCCCGGGAGATATCAGCGGCAAGCCCACAGACCCGCCCGCAGCCTCCCACCCCCCAGCCGGCCGAGCCCGGGACCAAGCAAACCTGGGACCCAGGGACGACCACCCCCACCGGGGACCCAGCACAGCCCAGGGACCCAAATCCCACGAGGCAGCCACCGGGATTGATCAGGCAGACGCCAAAAATCTTAAACCCCCTGACTCGGGAGCCACGAACACTCGGGCAGACCAAGGCACCACACCGGCTCTGCTCTCTAACCGACTATCATGTTTCCATTCCCACATTCAGAGCTGGAGGTGATAAATGCACCCAACTGCAGACGCATTCGGCTTTTGCCACAGTATGCGCTCATCCACACTGAGAATAAAAATCAAGTATGTTTTTTATTTAAAGTTCAAATCAATTTACTCATAAAAACCAAATCAATAGATTATGGGATGATACAAGATTTTATTCACATTGTTCCTTTTTTTTAAACACAGCAACTTTAAATTTATTTAGAAATGTATTCAAATGTGTATTTATAAATGTGCCTGGACAGCGTGTATTTTGTATGGGTCATTTCTATCTCATTTGGTCAAATGTCTATTTGCTCGTAAATGACAACGTTGGAAGTATACACACGTAAAATCCAGTACAACTACGCAACAGTCTCGCTGGTTTAAAGACGAGACATCAAATAAACAACTTAAGTCATCCTGTGGAGCAAGATTTTCAGCAATGGTCCCAAAAGATGAAAAGCATCTTTAAAACACTAAATACTTCTATCCACCCATCCATTTTCATTTGCTTATCCAGGGTCGGGTCGCAGGGAGGCCCAGACTTCCCTCTCCCTAGCCACTTGAGCCAGCTCTTCCGGGGTATCCTCAAGTGTTCCCTGACCAGCCGTGAGACATAGTCCCTCTAGCGTGTCCTGGGTCTTCCTTTAGGGCATCTCCCGGTTGGACATGCCCAGAAAACCTCACCAGGGAGGCGTTCAGGAGGCATCCTGACACTAAATACAGTAAAAATTAAACAAAAAGAAACACTTGTCGGTACAAAATGGCGACTTTTGTCAGTTACGACAGATGTATTGTTCTATCAAATCCAGAAATAAAATGGTGAGTTTTGGTAGTGTTTAGTACTCCGTCTCCTCTACTGATGTGGATTAAAGCTTACCCAACCACACACACGCTCCACATTTACCTTGGAGAATAATTTAGAGGTATTTAAGGAATGAGAAAAACAAACATCCCTCACAAATGCCTCCGAGGGTCCTTGTCACCGCCTTCTGTGATATCAGAGGTCACTCTAACTTATAAAGTCTACCAACTTGAGAGCATGCTGCATGCCCAGGTACTGCATGACATAACTGGAGCCTTTTGAAGCGGTCTTTGTGGCACGCAGGAAGCTACACATGGATGATCTTTGGTTCATCGCTGAAGTCCAGGGTCTGTCGAACTCCAGCGAGCTGAAGGAGCCAGGAAATGGGCATGTGATCCAGGCGGTTCAGATCAAAATGCACAAAGTGAACTTGAGAGTCTGCAAAAATAAGAAAAACATAAGAGGAAGGATGAAGAACATATAATACAAGCAGAAAAGGACACCATGTGTTAAGATGGCTTACCAGGTCCTGCAATGATGGCTCCACCTTGCTGATGCAAGTCGCCCTGAAAGTCAAACGCGGGACTAGTCATGGCTCTCCATATGCTCTTCATTTGACCCATAAACAAACCAGACTTCACATGGGGGCTGGGGCGTGCTGAAGGCACAAACACAGGGTGCAAAATGATATGATGCTACATCACAAATCTCACTGAAGCTTTAAACCTGAATCATAACATACCAGAATCTGTGAAGGTCTCCTCCCTCCTCATCCCAAGCTTTTGGTAAAGACATCTCTGTGGGTCCACATAGATTTCATAGGGATACCCCGTCAGCATGCAGAATGGCTATGAGCAATAGAAGAGCACATCTCATGTTTGTGTGTAGCAAGACTCAACGCAGATCACATATTTCCAGTGATTAAATGTTGCTGATTTAGTTTCTGCTGGAGCATAAAAACAGAGATGCACCAATTCTGGCTTCAAGACAAACCAATTTCCAATTTTTCTTTAAAAAAAAAAGATTTCAAACATGCATTCATTTAAATCAATAAAAATATTAAATTAAATACAAAAACTAACTCACCTCTATATGATGATAAGAAGACTGACCAATCACAACCAGTCTGATTCCTGCAACCTGCAAAGTCACGTGCATGAGGAATTTCTGAATAATAAAACAGCTATAAACATTATAAACATTTGGTTTGCAGCTTAGAAAACTCACCTCCAGAGCTTCTCTTGGTACTTTGCTCAAATCATCAACATACTCTTTGCAGCTGTAACACAAGAAGTTCTGCAGGAACGGAGAGAAGTAACAATCAAAGGAACTTTTCTGTCCACCAGAAGTTTTTTAAACACCGCATCAAAAGTTCATTTGATGCATAGCATATATTAAAACAAACCTGTGCTTAAATTGTTCATTTAAATGCAATTAATCAACAGCACAAAACCTAATGAAGAACTTTTTGTTTCCTACCCGCACGAAAACGATGACCGATTTCCTGTCCTGATATAAACCTTTGAAAGGGAAAGAGTTTCCGTGTCGGTCGTGAATTAAACAATCTTCTACTTCTTTGAGATTAAGATCGACTCTTCTGGTTTCTTTTCCCCAGCGCTCCCTGCGAACTTGTTGGGTAATTGGTGAAACGACTTCAGCCATGTTTCCTGGAGCTTCCCAGCACGCAGCGCTATTTTTGGGAGTTGCCTTCACGGCTGGAGGAACAAGCAGCTGATTCATGCCCACAAGCTGCAGGGCGTGTGTGTGTGTGTGTGCGCGCGTGTGCGTGTGTGTGTGTGTGTATGTGTGCGCGCGCGCGTGTGCAAGAAATGGCCTTTCTAGTTGTTTTTCTTTTACATTAGTAGGATCATGAATACTACACCAAACATGTTTGTTACACCAGAAATATGAGTATGACTGACGCTTATTATTGAAAAGGTAATGCATCACAAAGTGAAACGTAGATTTAACAAATATTCCTGAACAGTACTCTTAGAACTCAGTGTAAGTTATATTCCTTGAGAAATTCTTTATCAGAGTGATCTAAAACCCTGAAACGATTTAGAAAATGTGACTTATTTATTACAAAGAAAACTTTATTTAGAGGAACACTGTGGATAATTTAGCTGGGGGAGTTTGCAGGTGACATTTAGGAGTTCTAATTGATCATTTTGTAGGGATAAAGTTGCAAGATAACTGTTAAAAATGCGTTTCGAACATAAATAACCGACGCTCGTTCTGTTCCCATGACGAATTGAAAAACTCCCTCGTCGGCTTCCGTCGTTCTGCCCTCGCGCTGCGGAAGTGCTGCACAGAAGCCCAGTGCTGTTTGGATTAAGACCGCAGCGGCTCGATTCCAGGTCTCCCCGTGGCCGTATCTCTTCCTTCGGGACCTGTCAGCGCTGGTTTTGGACGTTTACTACAGCGGTATTATGCGAGCATCGTTCGGAGTGTGGCCGCAGCGTGTGAAGTGGTGAGAGCTACAGCTAACTTAAACTTAGCATCTGATGATGACTGGCCTATCAGAACACACCGTTAGGATCTTTTTTCCCCAGTGGTTTCAACTGACAGGATAACTGTGAGTCAATATCGGACATAAACCCGCAGAGAGCTCGGGTACAATTCTAAACCGGATGTTTTAGACTGCGTTTGTGTGTTTGCGCAAGCTAAACAAACGACCACCTGTTCACTGTTTACATCTTTGTGTTTTCCTTCGACAACAAACAGACGAGACATCTCTGCAGATGTTTCTGCTGATGATCAGCTGAAAGTTAGCCGTTGACAACAACGTTTGCTTATTTTATGACGAGGAAAATAGTTGCTCTAAGCTTCCTCATAGATTTTTAGGATCTGCTCTGTCGTTCTTTGCATAACTGTGCAAACATTGACAGTTTAAAAATATTTTGCATCAAATCAGACATTTTGTAATTATTTACAATAGATAAGCAAGATTTCTTCAGGAAATTTCAAATGTCCTTCATTTGGACTGACTTCTCTCATTTTCTGATAATTTTAACAAAATGTCTTTCTTTTTGTTAAGCCATTTGTGTGAAATCTATTTTATTATATTTTCATAGTTTGTCATCCAGAATTAGTTTACATTTTTTCTGTTTTAATTTTTTTAGAACAGCCGACTTTAGATAAACAAATGCAGAAAAATATAACAAAAACATGTGGTGGTAAACAGGTTTTTAAGATGGCATTAAAATTAATTTCATAAGACCCTAGATAATGCGCAGAACCCTCAAGCTCCCAGGCCACTGATAGAAGAACTGAGCTTGGAAGGATGAGACTACCCGCAGAGGGTGAGATGGGAATTAAAAAATAATAATTATATAACATAAAAACAACATTTAATCAGTATTAAATAGTTCATTGTCAACAGCTGTCGAAAAATACACATTTTTTCAGATTTCTTGAATACAGTTCATGTAAAAAATCCAAATGTAGCACATAACACCTAAAATAGTTAAATTGTATGTTAACAAGGTGATGCCCAGTGAGCTGTCTGCTGAAAAGTGACGTACAGCAGTTGATCAATCTCTCTGGTCCTGTTTCAGACCTTCGCTGAATTTGTACTATTTCTTCAAGAAATTCTTTCAAATTCTGTTCGGCTTGCTTGCTGTCATTTATTCACACTCTAAATCATGCTGTCATTGGAAATTAGGGAAAAAGCAGCAGAAGTCTAAAGAATACACTTCTATAATTAACAAAAGTTGTTTAACAACATGACAATGAATGCTTTGCTCTTTGGAAGCTACATATATAAAAATAAATGTAGTTTAGGACTTCTGCATTGTATGCTTACTGTCTGCCAGAAATTTAATGGCTTCATTTTTTTTACTAATGAGGCATATTTTAATTTAGATTTTGGTGTAACGAGACATGATTTACGGTCATTTTCTAACAAATGCATTCTTGATCTTCTAGAGTTTCGTTGAGTCATCTATATGGGCCATCTTCTCTCCAAAAATGGTTTACGCCTGAAGAAGAGGACACGCAAACTGAATCACAGGAAGAAGAAGAGGAGAAACTGTTTTCTGCGGGGGCCCTGCATGCTCTGCTTCATCATCCACAGCAACAACCGTGATCTCGACGAAGACAGCGACCAGCTGGAAGCCGGTGTCAACGGGTGCCGTCACAACAGCGTTGCTGGAATCGGTGTCCCCGGTGTTTGCGGAGGTGGCATTAGCGCGTCGGCCGCTTCCAAGCTCGCTGAGCGATACGCAGCACTCGCATCTCCTGAGGACTGCTCCAAGTTCTTGCTGTCGCAGAGAGAACTCGCTATCTGGGAAGGCCAGGGGAGGAGTCTTCTGTCGGCGGTTCCTGCTAAACTAATTCCACCACCGGTGCTTTTCCGGACTGCCGGTGTGTCTGTGACTGTGCCCATTCCTCTGCCTGTGCCCACCTGCGCCAACGACTGCTCTGAGATGGTAAGCATGAGCACTCATAAACACTCCAGCTGGTGAAGGTTCAACTTTCAAAAAAAAAAAAAAAACATTTGTTGACAAGTTTATTGGCCCTACAGATGTTCTGATCACATTTTTAGCTCCCGATCCAAGTCATTTATTTGATTTGGTGTGTCTGTCAATACCATGTTCCAATCCGATACTTCATCAATGCATTAAAATAGGAAGAAAAAGGAGAACACCTTCAAGTTGTCCTTTAAACTTTTTATTATCATTTATGTATTTCATTCTTTCTATACTCATGTCATTTCCTTAGTTTTTCTGCCAAAAACCTCAGTCTTTCAGGAAGTACATTGATGTGAAATGTGTCAATAACTAATATTTAAAAGTTGCCTCGTTTCAAATTGTTTAATTACTTCCTCAAAAGGTGGCTGTAATGAGTGATGCATGATGCAATACGACAGGCCGGCTTTTTCCTGCACAGAACCTGACTCCACAGTGGCTGTAGGTGATCCAGGAGGCTACAAAACCTGACATTTTGTTGTCTGTAGACAACGTCTCTCTGTTTATTAACATATCTTTCACTGGCAGCTGGCACCGTGATTTTGTGTCAGTTGCTGCAGTGAATTGGAAGTATTAGTAGGGGATTAGGAGGACCAGTGATCCATGAGCCCTGAAGAGAAAAACCAAAAGCGAGAGAAGAAGTTTGTTTTTGTCATGCAGCTCTGTCTTTTCCACCATATTCAATACCCAAAATGCACACATTACAAGTGACTGTTGCACTGCCTTTGTTATCCAACTTAAAATGTGTCCAAACTGCAGACATTTTTGCTCTCCTGAGGCGACACGTTAGCCTCCAAGCTACCATCTACACGTTATGGTGTCTGAATCCCTGCCTGCCTTAAATTGTTTAACGTTTTGGAGTAATTTTTGTCCAAGAACCAAAGAATATGGATTTAGGTGAAATTGTTTAAATTACAACTAAGTCACTGTTATTTTGTTTAAAAATCTAAGTCTCAGGATGAATTCAAAAGGTTATTGTGTTGTTTTTTACAAGATTAAATCTGATCTTTTCCACCTGATTCCGATCGTTTGAAAATCATGTGATCGGGACGATTTCTGATGATGTGATAATTGTCGTCGTCGTCGTCTTCCTCCACTTATCCGGGTCCGGGTCGCGGGGGCAGTATCCCAACTAGGGAGCTCCAGACCGTCCTCTCCCCGCCCAGCTCCTCCGGCAGGACCCCAAGGCGTTCCCGGACCAGATTGGAGATGTAACCTCTCCAACGTGTCCTGGGTCGACCCGGGGGCCTCCTGCCGGCAGGACATGCCCGAAACACCTCCCCAGGGAGGCGTCCAGGAGGCATCCTGACCAGATGCCCAAACCACCTCAACTGACTCCTTTCGATCCAGAGGAGCAGCGGTTCTACTCCGAGTCCCTCCCGAATGTCCGAGCTCCTCACCCTATCTCTAAGGCTGAGCCCGGCCACCCTACGGAGGAAACTCATTTCGGCCGCTTGTATCCGCGATCTCGTTCTTTCGGTCATTACCCAAAGCTCATGACCATAGGTGAGGATTGGGACGTAGATCGACCGGTAAATCGAGAGCCTGGCTTTCTGGCTCAGCTCCCTCTTCACCACGACAGATCGGCTCAGCGCCCGCATCACTGCAGACACCGAACCAATCCGCCTGTCGATCTCCCGATCCCTCCTACCCTCACTCGTGAACAAGACCCCGAGATACTTAAACTCCTCCACTTGAGGTAGGACCTCTCCCCCGACCCGGAGTTGGCAAGCCACCATTTTCTGGTCCTTAATTGGCATCCCATATTGTTTGTTCTATATTCAACCCTTATCAGAATTTGCTATAATTAGATCAAATTAAACTAATGTGAATCTCTTAGAATAAAAGAAGATGGTACCTTTAATCTAGAAATTTAAGAATAACCTAATGTTGTTGTTGTTGTTGTTTATTTTTCAGTTTTTTGGGCTCATGTGACTTTTTGTGTCTTCACGTTGTAGCAGAAGAACCGCAGCAGTCATAAGTCAAAGCTTTGCTTTAATTTGCTCCTATTGAGAAGTCTCTAATGCCCTCACACACTAAACTACAACAAAAAGCCCATGTCTGCATGTTATCTGTGTCTGTGAAAAAACACAAAAAACCCACACACACCATGGATAACAGCTGCCAAGTAGGATTTACCATCTGCACTTACTTTCCCACACTAAAGGGATGTTGTCTAGGTGCTTTTATTTAGCTGTGAAAATTTAAAGTCTGGCAGGATGACAGTGGGGCAAAAAGTATTTAGTCAGCCACCAATTGTTCACGTGCTCCCAGCTAAAAAGATGAGAGGCCTGCAATTTTCATCATATGTATACCTCTGAGGGACAAAATGAGGAAAAAAAAATCCAGAACGTCACATTGTGTGGTTTAATATTTTCTTTTTTACTAATTATGGTGGGAAATATCTGGTCTCCTTCAAACAAGCAATATTTCTGGCTCTCACAGACCTGTAGCTTCTTCTGTAAGAGGCTCCTCCATCCTCCACTTGTTACCTGTAATAATGTTTATGTTTATATATTTAGCAGACGCTTTTGTCCAAAGCGACTTACAAGTGATAATCGGCATGTTGGCCTTGAGGCTAACAACAACAATAACAACAACTTGACATCAGTCATGGAGAGGAGGGAACAAGGAGTGGACAGTAGAGAGGGGGGACGGGTGCAGGGAAGGTGCTAGTTTAGAAGATGCTCTCTGAAGAGCAGGGTCTTCAGGAGTTTCTTGCAAATTGAAAAGGAGGCCGCTGTTCTGGTAGTGCTTGGAAGGTCATTCCACATTTGTGGAACGATGCATGAGAAGAGTCTGGATTGTCCTGAGCGTGGTGTAGGCACTGCTAGCCGACGATCCTGTGATGACCGGAGCGGCCGGGCCGAGACGTAAGCCTTTGCAAGAGGATTCAGGTAGATGGGAGCCGTACCATCTCGCACTTTGTATGCTAGTGTTAGCAATTTGAATTTGATGCGTGCTGCTAGCGGTAGCCAGTGGAGCTCAATGAACAGAGGGGTGACGTGTGCTCTTTTTGACTGATTGAAGACCAGACGCGCCGCTGCGTTCTGGACCATTTGAAGAGGTCTCACAGCACAGGCTGGAAGACCAGTTAGAAGGGCGTTGCAGTAATCGAGGCGGGAGATGACAGTAGATTGCACCAGGAGCTGGGTGGCATGTTGTGTTAGGTATGGTCTGATCTTTCGTATGTTATACAGCACAAAGCGGCATGAACGAGCAACAGAGGCAACATGATCTTTAAAGGTCAGGTGTTCATCAGTCACAACACCCAGATTTCGAACTGCCTTTGAAGGAGCCAGAGATAGGAAGTCATTTTGGATTGAGATATTGTGCCGTATGGATGGTTTTGCTGGGATGACAAGTAGTTCAGTTTTAGAGAGGTTGAGCTGGAGATGGTGGAATTTCATCCCTTTTGATATGTCAGAGAGACAGTGTGATATTCGTGCAGAGACAGTGTGGTCGACCGGTGGAAAGGACAGATAGAGCTGGGTGTCGTCTGCATAGCAGTGGTAGGAGAAGCCATGTGATCGAATGATCTCACCCAGTGAGTCACCCGTTGGAATGTTATCAGCATAAAAGACACCTGTCCACAACCTGAAACGGTCACTCCACTATGACCAAGACCAAAGAGCTGTCAAAAGACCCCAGAAAAAAATTGTAGACCTGCAACAGGCTGGGAGGACTGAATCTGCAATAGGTAAGCAGCTTGGTGTGACTAAATCAACTGTGGGATCAATTATACAAGACCACTGATAATCTCCCTCCATCATAGAGATCCAGAAGAGGATTGGGACAATGTCATATGGTCAGATGAAGCGAAAATAGAACTTTTTGGTAAAAAATACTTGTTGTGTTTGGAGGAGAAAGAATGCAGAGTTGCATCCAAAGAACCCCATACCTAGTGTAAAGCATGGTGGTGGAAACATCATGCTTTGGGGATGTTTAAATGCAAAGGGACCAGGATGACTGATCCGTGTAAAGGAAAAAGTGAATAGGGCCATGTATTGGAAAATCGTTGGAGAGAGTTAAAAGACTGAGTTGCCCAGCGACAGCGCCAAAACCTCATTGCTCTAGAGGAGATCTGCGTGGAGGAATGGGCCAAAATACCAGCAACAGTGTGTGGAAAACCTTGTGAAGAGTTACAGAAAACGTTTGACCTCGATCATGGCCAACAAGTATCGAGATGGACTTTTGTTATTGACTAAACACTCATTTTCCACCATAATTTGCAAACAAATTCTTTAAAAATCAGACAATGGGATTTTCTGGATTTTCTTTTCTCATTTTGTCTCACGGTTGAGGTGTACCTATGATGAAAGTTACAGGCCCCTCATCTTTTTAAGTAGGAGAATTTGCACAACTGGTGGCTGACTAAATACTTCTGTAAATGAATTTGTTACTTAGGTTACTTTTAAACATCCAGTAGCATCTGTCTTCGGAGTCTCCCGAAAGTCTCCTCGGACTGTTTCTGTTAGAGATCTCAACAACCTGCTGTGACAAATCGGACTCACCTGGTTTATCCGTGTGTTTCTTCATGCAGGTGTGTAAGAGGAAGTGCTCAGAAGTGCAGAGGTGCACCCCTTCTAAGCAGCCACACTGTGCCTTCGCTGCTGCTGATGGAGAGCTAGAGCATGACAAAGTGGGGAGAGGGGAAGACGGAGGGGGTGGAGAGGCTGCTTCGAACTCTAAAACTGGCCACTGCCACCTTCCCATCTGTCCAATTCCCTCCTCCTCTTCCTCCTCCTCATCTTCTGCTTCCTCTTCTTCCTCACCTGCTGACGGCTGCTGTGGTTTGGGTCTTCGTCCTGATTCATCAGATAGTTCAGACTCATCACCCAGCGGCCTGAATCACTATGACGACTGCCAAGCAAGAAGTTCTGATCCTGCTGATCACTTAAGCATCAACCACCTGCCTTCCTCCATCCTTCTTAAGGTCAGATACTTTGTATGTTTTAAAGGCGTCCCAAGCATTTAAAACTACATTTACCTTGTTGAATATTGGCAATTTGGTGTGCCTAATGTAGCTTACCTATCTGTGCTGTTTCTGACCTGCTTTCCTATGTAAATGAGTAATGCTGTAATGGTCACAGAGAAAATGTTTGTTCTGAGAAAAGCCAGTTTAACATGTTAGAAAGAGACACACTACCACGCTACATTAGCATTTCCCAAACCACTTCACCATCGACTATATAAATGCTTTGGTTACAGTAACGCTAAACATAAAACAATGCAAGCTTGAACTACTGCTAGCGCCAGCCCAAGCTAATATTAATGCTAGTCCAAGCCAACGCTAACAGTTTCTCGTGCTACTGTCAACGCCAGCATGAGCTAATGCTAACCCTAGCTTGAGTTGCCAACTCTAGCCCGTGCTTCTTTTAATGCTAGCCTGAGCTAATGCTAACCCTAGCCTGAGCTACTGCCAACAGTTGCCTGTGCTTCTTCTAATGCTAGCCGGAGCTAATGCTAACCCTAGCCTGAGCTGCCAACTCTAGCCCGTGCTTCTTTTAATGCTAGCCTGAGCTAATGCTAACCCTAGCTTGAGTCACTGCCAACATTTGACAGTGCTTCTTCTAATGCTAGCCTGAGCTAATGCTAACCCTAGCTTGAGCTACTGCCAACAGTTGACAGTGCTTCTTCTAATGCTAGCCTGAGCTATTCATATTGTCCTTGTTGGACAAGAGGGAAACAACAAAGATGAATGTTTACTTTACAGACTAAGAATGAACGATGGACAGATCCACAGCTTGGGGTCCTTGTTCTCTTCCTCGTTAGGCCTCATCTTACCCATTTAAAAGATTTTGTTACAAATCCACAATTACCTTAAGGGCTTCCATTCATTTTGATCTGATCTGCTATCCATCGTCTTCTTCTGTCTCCTTCAGAAGTTCTATGATGTAAAGACAAGTTGAGTTTACACACTTGACATTTAGCGCAGCCATCTGTAACTTTTTTACTGTGAAATCAACAAAATAAAAGGTAAAAAAAATGCTGGTTGGTTTTGGACTAGGTTTACAGAAGTATTAATGCATTTAAATAGTTCCTTTGATATCCATCATGGTGAAACGGGTGTATGAGTAGCATGACGTCACATGCAATAGAGCAGTGGTTCCCAGCCTTTTTTCTTTTTACAAGGACCTCCTTTCCCGTGTTCAAGAGAAGACACGGCCCCCCCAACCCCAACTCCTACGCGCATGCACACAATTTAAAGTGACTAATTATAAACTTCATACAGACACGCAGAGTTATGCCTCTTACAGAGTTTTGTTTGTACTATTGGGTGTGTTATCTGGATTTTAAAAACATTATTTTTACAAATATAATCTTGTAAACCTCACAACCTCAGCACACAAAAAATTGTGGGGACCCCCTTGGGGGGGTCACAGACCCCAGTTTGGGGACCACTAATAAAAAAGGCTGAAAGAACAGTTTCCAATTATGTAAAAAAAACAAACAACAACAACCATCCAGTATACCTTCAAACATACGCTCTTAAAGAGAAACATATTGGTAGATGAGAATTTGTTTTTTTTTCTTTCCAACAGGTTCTGTCCCATTTGACCGTGAGGGAACGCTGTCTTTGTGCTTCTCTGGTTTGTAAGTATTGGAGAGACCTCTGCTTGGACTTCCAGTTCTGGAAGCAAATTGACCTCAGTGGCCTACAGCAAGTAAGAGACTTGTTTTCTCAGAAATTACTCTTTAATTTCAGGAAAGTTGCAAAAAATCACGATACTCGTTCACTTAATGTAAGACAGAAAAACCTCTTTCCCCCCCCCTCTTTGTGGTGTTTGTTTCTTAGGTCAACGACGATCTCCTTGTGAAGATAGCTTCTCGGAGGCAGAACGTGACAGAGATCACCATCTCCGATTGCAGGGGGGTCCATGACCACGGTGTGACCTCCCTGGCCTCCCACTGTCCAGGCCTGCAGAAGTACACAGCCTACCGCTGCAAGCAGCTGGGTGATAGCTCTGTGATAGCTTTGGCTACACACTGCCCTCTTCTGGTCAAAGTGCATGTTGGTAACCAGGACAAACTCACAGATGCAGCATTGAAGAAGGTGTGTTTTAAAAAAAAACACTTGTGTTTCGCCAACAAATACTTTTCTTGTTGGCTTTACTTGTTTTTAGTTTTTACAGAAAAAGTATAAAGACATTTGGAGTATTTATTATGTTAGAATGATTTATTTATGTTTTTGTCATCAGCTTGGATCAAACTGCAGCGAGCTGAGGGATGTCCACTTGGGTCAGTGTTACGGCATCACAGATGAGGGCATGATGGCCTTGGCCGGAGGATGTCCCAAACTACAGAAACTCTACTTGCAAGAAAACAAAATGGTCAGTTTGCCTTTTCTTTGTCAGCTAGCCGTCTGCTCCCTGCTTTCTCCTTGTCCTGTATAAGTTCTCTTCATACAGACACAAAGGCACGCGCACGCTGGTCGGGCAATGTGATGTTGGTGATTGAATAATTAGAAAACGAATGCAGCCAAATCTGTAGGCCACGACTACACACAGTTGTTAATTGATCAAAGAATAGATTTTTATCCACCTCTGGTTTAGATGTGTCAAATAATTGACAAATCATTTTCTTTTTTGCTCTCACTCTCAGTCTTCAAAACGAATACAAAAGCACCTGATCATAGACTGATTAAAAAACAAAACAAGGAAAAACAAATTGGCTTCAGGTTGCAATGTTTCTCTTTAATAATTTTATATTTTGACAAGTTTACAGTTTAAATTAACAGTAAAGTGTAAGAAAAACTTGTGTTTTCTCTTTTATCCCCCAAAATACATGTGAAATGTGTAAAAGTTAAATTAATTTGACACAATTCAAGATATGGATTGATAAGTATGCTAATTTGTAAATTTTTACACACACTCACGCATGCACACACACACACACACACACACACACACACACACACACACACACACACACACACACACACACACACACACACACACACACACACACACACACACACACACACACACACACACACACAGAGAAAATAAGTGTCTTAACTGACCACCAGATGTCATTTTCTTTTCCAAACAGCTGACCAACTGATTCATCATTGAATGCCTTTCTACTCCCAACATCTCCTCTTTGAGTGACTGCTTTGAACTTTTAAAGCTAATTAATTCATTTCTGATATGTTATTAGTAAGAAGGCAGACAAACTCCGTTTCTGTTAACACAACACCCATCTTGCTCAGCCATCTCTCTTCTATAGTCATGACTCATTCTCCATCTTACTGCACACACGTTGTGTCTTATGGTCCAGGTGCTGCACTTCTTCACAGTTAGTCTTTTTTACCATTCTTGATATTGTGTTTTTAAATCCATTAATACGATTTATTTTAAACATTTTAAACACAGTTTGTTTAAGTTAGCATCATGGTGCGTCAAAATGTGAACAGTATCCCCCTCCCTCACAAAGCATGGCCCTCTGACAGATTTCTTCTTTCCAAACGCTCGTTATCTCCATCCTCTTTGTTTCACTAATGCATTCCCATCTTTTCCCAGCTAATATTCCTTTGGAGTCGGTGAGTAATCATGACCTTGATGAATCGGCCCAGTGTAAATTGTCAGTATTAGCTCACTTTTTTAAAACCCCATTCATCAACTAAATAGTAAAGGAAATTAGCGATTAGGGCTAGGTGAGAGATTAATATTGCTGCTGATAATATTTCAGCAGGGCCGTATCGATTTCAGATGGTGATATTTCAGATGTGCGAGGGTTGCAGTTATTTAGCTTCCCATCATTAAGGCAGAGAGGAATGGGCTGTGCTTATACAGGAATTACGTCGTGGAAAGTGGTAATCTAGTTGCCTGGCCCACAGTTCCCATTAACTTGCCAGAAGTGATGATGACGGGGAAGCCTCTTATGCTCTCTGACAGCTTGGAAGACAGTTTCAGGTTCTCCACCTTATTGCTGATTTTATAGCTTTGTGGGAAGTGGTTGAAATTGCAGTCTCCAAATGAACGTGGTGCTTTGAGATCTAAAAATATGCTTCAACGTTTAGATTTTGACACCAAATGAGGGCTAATGGCCGAGTCACATATGAGGTGTATAGCAGCAGTAGCTCAGGTGGTAGAGCGGGTTGCCTCATGATCGGAGGGTCATGGGTTCGATTCCAGCTCCCGCCAGGGGTATCCTGCTGTTGTGTCCTTGGGCAAGACACTTCAACCAACTTGCCTGTGTTAGTGGTGGTCAGAGGGGCCGACGGCGCCAAATGGCAGCCTCGCCTCTGTCAGACCTCCCCAGGGCGGCTGTGGCTACAAGTAGCATACCTTCACTATCAGTGTGTGAATGTGAGAGTGTGTGAAAGCGTCTTTGGGTGTCTAGAAAAGCGCTCTATAAGTTCAATGCATTATTATTATTATTATAGCTGTCTTGTACTTGGAGAACCTGGTTTCACACTAAATCAGAGATTAGAGGCCACAAGAAAGGCTTTTCTAGAAGGTTTAAATATAAGTTTGTGGGAGCGTCGTTTGGGTTCAGTGAGCTGAGCCGTGAGACGGGCTGTTTGAATGGCAAAGTCATGGGACAGAAGTGAAAGTGTCCTACTGAGATTCTCTCCTCCCCTCTTCCTACACCACATTCTTGTGTCTGTCTGTCCTAATCAGTCACAGATGAAGACGAGCCTTCCTCTCACTTTGATCTACCCGTTTTGTCCTCTTCGTTCTACAAAATTCAATAGTTAATTCTCTTTTGGGATGTGTCTTTGTCATGTGAGCACCCACAGATGTTGCTTTTCTCATTTTTCCTGCAGGGGTTTGTTTTTGGGAGTTAAGACCATATCAGGCTTTGGAAATGCTTGAATAGCTTTTAAGAGAAGATAATGACTAAAACAAACAAATGGTTGTTGTAAGAGAATAAACTGTTAGCTGCGGTGCTCTTGCAGGATGGAATATGTAATGAAAGTAACTTTTTTCATTTTAAAGGTCTTGTTCTCTGGAAAATCATGTAATACTTGGTCTTTTAAAATCTGATCAGTTGCAGATGCATCCCAAACAAAAGTATCCTCAACTCTTGTTGCTTGCATTAGCAGCAGAAGGGGATAAAAAGGTTCAGGGTCAGATAAAGCCGATCTTTTCTCTGTCTGAGGTAAAATTAGCATTCCTTTACAACGGTGCATTCATATTGTGTCCAGGACGCGTCATTTGGATTTCTAGGATGTCCAAGGAAGATCCTGCCTTTCTCGTCTCTGATTGGCTAGAAAGGCTCTACGACGATTGGCTATTTCATTTAACTGCAAACTGGCTGTCCTCGCTGCTGACTGTGTCCTGGGGGCACAGATCATCAGTGCCCCAGACAAGCTGGTTCTCAAAGTCAGAGACTCTCTTGGTCAGCTTGCTTCTCACACCAAACCTTCCGTCAGGAATCTTGGCGTGACCTTTGACCCGGCTCTCACCCTGGATTCTCATGTCAGCTCTCTTGTTCGCTCTTCCTTCTTCCATCTCAGGAACGTTGCTAAGCTGAGTCCCATTCTGTCCCGCTCTGAACTTGAGACAGTTATCCACACCTTCATCTCCTCACGCTTAGACTACTGTAACTCTCTTTTCACGTGTCTGAGCAGAACCTCCCTGAACCGTCTGCAGGTGGTTCAGAATGCCTGTGCTCGGCTTCTGACCAAGTCCTCCAAACACACCCACATCACCCCGCTTCTCCTCCAGCTTCACTGGCTGCCAGTCAACTTCAGGGTTCATTTCAAGATCCTGGTTCTGGTCTATAGGGCCTTACATGGACAAGCACCATCTTACATTGGTGATCTTCTTAGTCCCTACACCCCCAGCAGGTCCCTGAGGTCCAGTGACCAAAGCCTACTGGTTGTGCAGCACCAGGCTAAAGACCAAAGGTGACAGATCATTTGCTGCTGTGGCCCCCAGACTCTGGACCTCTCTCCCCCTGAGCCTGAGATCAGTGGACTCAGTGGTCTCCTTTAAAAAGCAGCTGAAGACTCACTTGTTCAAGCTGGCTTTTGTATGACCTTCTTCACCTCTCTCTCTTTATTCTGCTCTCCCCACCTATTCCACCTTCCTCAGGATCCACTGATTTCCCTTTTTCCTATTCACTCTCTCTCTTTCTTAACATTTTTTAATCACAATTTTCTATTTTTTGCTCATTTAAAATATATTTTTAACAATTTTCTAAATTCTTTTTTATATTTTTACGTTTTTTGTTTTTGTGAAGCGCCTCATGGTTTTTATCTTGAGAGGCGCTATAGAAATGATACTTTCTTCTTCTTCTTCTTCTGCCACCAGCAGAAAGCTGTTTTGGGGAGTTTAGTAAAGAAAATGTGAACTTGGCGCTATAATACACATTCCGTCCTGGTTTGCACAATATTTTATGTTTTATGTTTCATAAAAAACTGAAAAACGTAAAACGTGAATTTTAAATCTTGTTGCATTTATCAAACCGTTGGACTTACTTTAAATCTCTTGGCTCTGAAGCATTAGAGTACATAGGACAAACCTATGCACCTTACCTGGGTTACCTATTCTGCCAAGCTGTGTGCATCAGGTCTGTTTCTTTTCTAGAATAATGAAAACTGGTGAAAAATAGGTCTAAATCATAATCAGCTTTAACTTAATTTTTGATTAAATGATGCACATTTAATCTGATTATGAGAGATGTGCTCTAAGTTGTAAACGGCCTTAACCTATTAAAGCAGGATAGCCTAATAATGAATTAATAAGATAGCCCCAATAGAGCCAACAGATATAAAGTCAGTCTACAGTGTGATAAAATGCTACAAGAATTATTAGAAGTTCACATTTGATGTTTTTCAGGTTATTTTATGAAAGAAACTGAACCTGGTTTGTTGCAAAACAGGAAAGGATGTTTATTATAGCCATCAGTTCACATGTTCTCCAAAAAACTCCTCAAGATCTGGCTGTAAACATAAAAACCTGCAGCGAGGGAAAACACGAAATAGCCAATCGTAGTAGAGCCCTTCCAGCCAATCAGAGGTGAGAAAGGCGGGACCTTCCTTGGACATCCTAGAATTCCAAATGACGCATCCAGGACAGAGCAGAGCGTCTCTCGGCTAATAGAAGCTAATTATTAGCATTAGCAACTCAGCATCTAGTGGAACACATTCAAGCTTGGGGTATTTATGGAGATAACGCATACACGTAACATTTTTTACCTAAGAAAGAAGAGAGAACAAAGGAAATTAGTCATGTTGCTGTTAGCCAATCATCTGTGAGATGTTTGCATATCATAAATAATGAGTAAGACTCCACTTCCTGCCATTTTCAGTCTCCCTCTCCCATGAAAAAGTAGCGCAGAAGTTTTTCCGCCCAACTAACAAAGCGTTAATTATTAC